TCATACATACATAGATATATCCGGTTCCTGAGGCAAACAGTTCTAGACAGTCTAGGCAGTGAGAACTGGCTAAGTAATGTGGCTTAGTTAGGTTTCAAATTTCATGGTAATCTTTTAGGTTAGCCAATTATCTTTTTAAACCATTAAAATATCTTTTAAAAGTGCTGCAAATTATTGTTAATTATACAAATCTGGGTTAATTGGATGACTTACAAGAGATCCTTAGGGGAAAACTAAGGTAAAAGAATGTACAAAATGCACTTAAGATTTAAGATATTTAGGTTTTAGCTATCGCACCATCTTCTTCCTAAGAAAAGCTATAAAACTGACTAATATTTATTCCCCACCTCGTTTGACTATAAAAAATAATTCATTTTAAAGCACAAACCTCTCTTATATAAGTGAAAGTAAATAACTTAATCCATAAAATGTCGCTGAAGCTCCTAAATATTAATTGGCTAAATTAATGCATGGCCACGTTGGGTGCTGCTCATCCCACTCACTCACCCCCAAAAAAAGGTGAGGGAATGTGAATTTTCTGCCTTGTTTTCCCAATTGTTATCAATTTCATTATCATACACGTATATATAATATAACAATGTCCCTGATGGTTTTGGTTTAACTTGAAATTTGTATTTGTTATTCATACATCAGGTGGGAAATTTGCTGAATTTTCTTTGTTTTTTTAAGCAGATTTTAGCCTTAGCACAAACTATAAACAATCTGTGGCAATTTATTATACAATACAGAGCAGGCACTTGGGAGGAAAAGCACGTAAACAAATGCGACTGGATGCCATGGGAAAGTACTAGATTTTTGGCTGTATTTGAGGTGTACATACAGACGGCATTGTTGAAAATGAATTTTGATAAATCAAAGTCCAAACTTCTGCTCGATTCGAATAAATCATCAAGACCTCAAAATAACAACAAACAATCGTAAATCAAAGGCGTTAATTGCAATAATTTGCATGTGGCCATTCTTCAATGCGCCAGCAGTTGTACATAAATCGAAGAAATTTTTGTTTTTCCAGCGGAACTAAAAATATTTTAAATTCCAAAACAGAAATATATATAATTTATTTTTACTTATATAAGGTACTTTCTTCTGCTGCTCAGAACTTTCTAATTAACGAAGAAAGATCAGCTGATCATTGCTTTCTTATGCATAATCTTTTAGCATCGTTGTGCTAAATACTGTTGTGTTAATTTGCCAGAAAATTTGTGCAAAAACAATACCAAATTATATGGAAAATTTCCGTGGCCATAAATAAGCAAGAGCTGTATGCTTAAGATTCCAGGAAAACCCATTCACCCACTCCTCCCAAAAAAGAAAAAAAGTGAGACGAAGACAGATCATGACGCATCGCTATCTCCCCTTTCCTGGTTTCTTGGTAGCCCGACAATTGAACACACACCCATTGGGCATATTAATTGGGATTGGCCAAGTGGCTGTGGCTGCCAGCGCTTCCAATTTGGGGAACATAAATGCAAATGCTGCACGCGTCGCTCGATATTTTCGCAGAATTTTTCGGTTTTATTAGGTCCCCAGGCACTTGGGTTTTACCCCGATTTCTTCTTTGGCGGTAGGCCCCTGTGGAATTACCCCTTCGAGGGTAATGACATTGCTTATGCAAATTATAATTAATTACAGCACTTAAGGCGATTATATTTGATATCTATTCGAGGGTTAGTACTTAAAACAAAACTCTAAAACTAACTATAAAAAACTACATTTAGTTAAAAGTAAAATCAGTTTTTATTTAAAACCAATTGTTGACTTTTTAAGCTGTTATCAACCTTTTGCATTACTTTATTTTCATGAGATTAAAATCAAAATGAACTTCTGTTATAATTACTAAGCCTAAATAGGTTTTTTTTTGCGTATATGACATCATTTAACTTACGTAGATTACTTAAGAATATTTACCCGTAAAACAAAATCTTTTATGGCCATACAAACTTGGTATTTACTTAGGCACTGCCCTTTCCTTACACTCTTAAATTATTTTTGTTATTTTGGTTTTAGTATAAGTATTTACTTGTCGTTTACTTTAGCTTCATTGTCGAGAATCTTCTGTTTGAGCAAGTTTTCTTCTCGCTTTGGAATATGTGTATTTATTTTGGTAGTTATTCCTCGGGCGAAATCTTTTCTCCTCCCTCTTAGAAGATTGTGTTCTATGGCCATAAGGTTGAGGTCGGCCGCAACATCCGTTCGCCGAGTGCTTTCAAATGTAAACGAAAGAAAAAAAAAAAAGTATGCAAAACAATGCAGCCGCTCTCGCTGGAGCGTTTTGTTGGGGAATGAAAAGGTCTAACGCCCCTTGGCCCAGCGTCCTTGCCTCCACAGCAAAACAGTTTTCTTGTATTTCTCCAGATTTTTTCGGTTGCTTTTTCCTGCCGTTCTTGGTGCTAAATTTAAACATTTCGCCATTCAACAGATATTAGCGGCGCCCTCGTTAATTGTTCTTGCCCGCAACTTCTGTTGTAAAACAGCGACCGAAAATAAACATTTGAATGAAAATGAAAAATTTGTCTAATTTCTCGTTTATGTGCTTTGGCAATTTCCCCCACTAACTCTGAATTTACGTCACACACTCACTCGGTATTTTCTCTGTAGAAGATTTCACGCGGAGATCAGAGGTGTTGTGGAGTCTGAATGGAACTCTCTACCATTCAGTTCCGTCGTGTTTTTCACACCCATTTGATGGAACTTTGATGGCAAACAAATGTAAGGGGAATAACAACATCTTTCCAGGGACTTTGTTCTAGTGCGAATTCTAGTTTTCCACTTCGACTCCGCACTAATCATCAAATCAATTGTGTTCAATGAGTTTGAAAGCAGGAAATTGAAGAAAATTAGAACAGAAAAACAGGAAAATCTATTGGGGAAAACAATGGAAGTGAGGTCAAAATATTTAACAGGAAAAAGAGAGGTGTTTTTTTTAATGTTTCCTCAAATGTTTGGTAATCTAACTTGAATTTAACACATTTTTCTAACGTTATTACCCAATCCACCTAATATTCTCTAAAATAACTAGAATTCAATAATGTCACGCCTAAGTCAATATTTGATTTAGTTTTTATGGACGTGATATTTCACAATTTTTTTTCGCAATGACTGGAGACCCTTACAGGAAATTGGCGCTTACTCAAAAACACCATTTGGTTAGGCAAACAAATGAAGATATCTTCACAGTCGACTTCTGTTCGGAACAACACATGTACTCCAAACGTGATCTTGATCTACTCCCCCACTCTCTGTCATGGCCTTTTGGACGGCCAGTGGTGTTTACCCCTCCTTCGATTTTCGCCATAAAACACATACCAAAAATAAACCCCAAACAATTGCCGGCTCGGGCGGGCATTTGCAGGCCTTCCATTTTAGCCACAGCCAATGAGTAAAAGAAACATCAATTTTGTGCTTTTTGTTTTGAATATTGGAGGGAATTGTTTATGCTTTGCACTTTTAACGATCGCGCCTGGAGGCTTTACTAGCTCCTATTGCCCCTTTTGACGTCTTACTTTTGAGTCAATAAAAATCATTATTCTGATCTTCTCAGCTAGTTTCAGGCTGCAGTGAAGATTTTATTAAAGACTTTTTGAGAAAATAATGAAGAAAACTGATGCACTTTCTAATGGAAATTTCTAAGGCCATTGATATTATAGGTTCTGAGTAGCTGTCCTAGTAACTTAAGTGCTTCAATATAAACTCATTCTTTGGTTAAACATTAGGAAACTCGAGTTTTCTTTTAAAAAATTAAAATAAAGAACTATCCAAACGTTTCTTTAACTTTTCAGCATTCAAAACTATGCTATTTCAGACCTTTTATGGGTCCATTGAAAACCATAATCTTTATAAAAATCAAATCAAAATTTCCTTATGCTCTCTATCCCCAATGAGTTGCCCCTTGAGATCCCTTTCCCTTTTGGGAAACGAACTCCTGCCAGTGTACAGTGCATCCCATAAACATTTAAAAGGACGCCCGATGCCCGTTCCCTGAGTGCTTCTGATGGTTTATGGCCCCCAAGGCTTCGGATTACACAATGCTCAGGCACTTTGATGCTGGTCCTCTTACTAGTACTCGTACTCGTAAATCCCCGGAATCCGACATCGCCTCTTGGCGTGCCAAAGTGGCATTTGATTTATTTAGCATATTTATTTGTTTATTTTATCTGCATCTTTCTCTTTTTTTTTACAACAAAATGGAAAACATTGTTTATGGATGCCAGATAGTCGTTCCAAAAAAAGAAAAAGAAAAAAAACAGAAACTGTGCGCCGGCGCAGCGTTAAGGCGGGACGGTTTGAATATTTATGGCGCGTTGTCAAACTAACTGGGAGGCAGTAGCTGTAGTAGCATCATCAGGATAGGTGGATAGTTCAGAGCTGGCTATTTTTTATGCCGGGCACGTGGTGGGCGAGCGATCGTCCGCCCAGATTGACCAATGGCTTAATTAAGCCAGCCGCGAACTCTGCCGGCATGCGGAACTTGGAACTTGGCCCGGCTTAAACTATCAATCATGGATTTGCATTGTTGGTGGTGTGGGGTAGGTAGGGATTGAGACATGCCAGCCTCTCAGAGCTCAAGGACACGCACAGACCGTTCAAATCCGCTTAGTGTAATAACGTGTTTCTCCGTTTCCTTTTGCGATGGGGTCGTCGTCGTCGTTGTCGTTATCGCCTGAGCCTGCGGGCCTGTGAATGTGTCAACAGTTAAATCGATATGTTTTTTCCCCTGTTGATTATAGTTAACTCGGTTTTTCCCCTTACGCCCTTACCCTTTGCCCCCTACCCCCATGCCGTTTGCTTATGCCTTGATTATGTGGCGCTCACAAAAGTTGACTGGCCTGGCCCGCATCCTGGCCTTAAATGTCCTTGGGCACATAAAAGAACATAAAAGGGTGACCGCTCTGGGGTAATTGAGAAAAACCCCAGTAAGAAGTGTGTTAACTGACAGGCGGATATATAAAATGTTTAATATTTATTTCTTTTCCCCACAGCCAGCCACGATTGGCCAGATCTGGACGGGATTCGGACATACTGCAGCCATGATAGGACGTTTGTTTCGCGCCCACGGCGAATTCTGCGCCTCGCATCCCTGGGAGGTCATCGTAGCCCTGCTCACCATCACAGCCTGTATGCTGACTGTTGACAAAAACAATACCCTGGATGCGAGTAGCGGTCTAGGCGCAGCCACAGCCTCAGCCGCCGCTGCTGGAGGATCGGGACCTGGAGCAGCTATACCACAAACGCCTGTGGGAGGATCAGCTACATCCAGCAGGCACAGGCCCTGTCATGGATGGAGTCAATCCTGTGATGGCCTGGAGGCCGAATACAATGCCGCCGACGTCATCCTGATGACCATCGTACGCTGCACAGCCGTTTTGTACTGCTACTACCAGTTCTGCAGCCTCCATCGTCTGGGATCGAAATATGTGCTGGGTAAGTACTGACGATGATGGAATTACATCACTGGGGGGCACGTGTGTTGACCAAAGTGGTTAGAACGTTGGCATTGTTTGGTCCCCACTCCGAACTATTATGATGGAACCTCCCGCCAAAAAAAAAGCTGGGAAAAAACGCAAACCACACACAAGACTGGAATGTTTGGCCAAGATTTTAGAGGTGGGGCAGGCGGCAACAGAAGCACCAGCAGGTAGCAACCTGAAGGCGGCAAACGAAGCTCCGTGGTATTTCTCACGTGCGCTCTAAACGATTCGACCTCCGTCCACTAATACGTCCGTCCAACTCATGTCGCCTTCTCTTTCAGGCATCGCCGGCCTCTTCACGGTCTTCTCCAGCTTCATCTTTACGACGGCCATCATTAAGTTCCTAGGCAGCGACATCTCCGAATTGAAGTGAGTACTCTAAAAATTAGAAATAGAAAGTATTTTCATGTATTTTTAACTTCATTTTTAGTCGACTTTATCTTAAATAAAGTAATTTATGAATAAACCCACTTTCAACCACTTTTCAGGGATGCCCTGTTCTTCCTGCTGCTGGTCATTGACCTGTCCAATTCTGGCCGACTGGCCCAGCTGGCCCTTTCGGGCAGTAATCAAGCAGAGGTGACCCAAAACATAGCTCGAGGTTTGGAGCTTTTGGGGCCTGCCATTTCCTTGGACACTATCGTGGAGGTACTGCTGGTAGGTGTGGGCACGCTTTCCGGAATACAGCGGCTGGAGATGCTCTGCATGTTCGCCGTACTTTCGGTGCTTGTCAACTATGTGGTCTTCATGACTTTCTATCCCGCCTGCCTGTCGCTAATCTTTGACCTGTCTCGGTCGGGAGTCGATATTTCGGTGGTGCGGGAGAAAGCGAAGGGTTCACTGCTCCTGAAATCCCTCACAGAAGAGGAGCAAAAGGCCAATCCGGTGCTCCAGCGTGTCAAGCTGATCATGACCACCGGCCTGATGGCCGTGCACATCTATAGTCGCGTCGCCTTCTCCGGCAGTGACTATGACTCCGTGGACAATACACTGTCGCCCACGCTCAGCTTGAATGTGAGCAATAATCGCACAGAATCTGGAGAGATCACCGACATCATCATCAAGTAAGTTCTACGGATATATAATTTGATTTATAAAACATAAAAATAACTATTTTTGTACAACTTTCCAGATGGCTGACCATGAGTGCCGATCATATAGTAATCTCAATTGTTCTCATCGCTTTGGTGGTCAAATTCATTTGCTTCGACAATCGCGACCCACTGCCGGAACAGCTGCGTCAATCTGCTCCGGTGGAAATCGCCGCCAAGGCTTCACAAACCACTCCCATTGAAGAGGAAGAGAATGAGAAGAAGAAGCAACCAGAGATCAGTGAAGCTCAAGCTGTAGTCCGTGCAGCACTCTTCACTATTGAAGAGCAGAGCTCGGCCAATGCTTCTACACAAACAGACCTTCTTCCTCTGCGCGACCTGGATCTGGTGGGTCCTGTTATGCCACCTCGACCACTGCAGGAATGCCTAGACATCCTGAACTCTACTGAAGATGGCAGTGGGCCCGCTTCTTTGAGTGATGAGGAGATCGTGTCTATTGTTCATGCCGGCGGCACTCACTGTCCGCTCTACAAAATCGAATCTGTCCTGGGCGATCCAGAGAGGGGAGTCCGAATCCGCCGACAGATCATTACCAGTCGTGCCAAAATGGCGACGGGTCGACTGGATTTCTTGCCTTATTTGCACTTTGACTACCGCAGGGTGCTTAACGCCTGCTGTGAGAATGTCTTGGGATACGTTCCCATTCCCGTTGGATATGCCGGACCACTGCTGTTGGACGGTGAGACCTACTATGTGCCAATGGCTACCACTGAGGGTGCTTTAGTTGCCTCCACGAATCGTGGCTGCAAAGCGTTGTCCGTTCGTGGAGTTCGATCTGTTGTGGAAGACGTGGGCATGACCCGAGCGCCATGTGTAAGATTCCCAAGTGTTGCTCGTGCAGCAGAGGCAAAGTTGTGGATTGAAAACGATGAAAACTACCAGTTGGTGAAGACGGAATTCGACTCCACATCTCGTTTTGGCCGTCTGAAGGATTGCCACATTGCCATGGATGGACCACAGCTGTATATTCGCTTTGTTGCCATTACCGGCGACGCCATGGGAATGAACATGGTGTCCAAGGGCGCTGAGATGGCTCTGCGTCGTATCAAGCGCCAGTTTCCCGACATGCAGATAATCTCACTAAGTGGGAACTTCTGTTGTGACAAGAAACCAGCGGCCATTAACTGGATTAAGGGACGTGGCAAGCGTGTGGTCACCGAATGCACCATTTCGGCTGCCACACTGCGCTCTGTGCTGAAGACGGATGCCAAGACGCTGGTCGAGTGCAATAAGCTAAAGAATATGGGTGGCAGCGCCATGGCCGGCAGCATTGGTGGTAACAATGCCCATGCCGCCAACATGGTGACCGCCGTCTTTCTGGCCACGGGGCAGGATCCCGCTCAAAATGTTACCTCTAGCAACTGTTCAACGGCCATGGAGTGCTGGGTGGAGAACAGCGAGGACCTCTACATGACCTGCACAATGCCTTCGCTGGAGGTGGGAACTGTGGGCGGCGGCACAGGGCTGCCCGGCCAAAGCGCCTGCCTGGAAATGCTCGGAGTTCGCGGAGCACACGCCACAAGGCCGGGTGACAATGCCAAGAAGCTGGCCCAGATAGTCTGTGCCACGGTCATGGCCGGTGAACTGAGCCTAATGGCAGCGCTGGTCAACAGCGATCTAGTCAAGAGTCACATGCGTCACAATCGGTAAGTGTTTATTTTTGATTTTCCAAATAAATTACAAATGAATTTTGATATATGTAAGATAAATTAAAATCAAATTTTATACAGGTTAGAAACTAATCTAATTCGTTTATCAATAACCTTTGAATCTTAAATTTAGAAATACAATTTGCAATTTAAATGAAAGTAGCCCAAAATGGCATTCATATTTTTAAGTAAATAAAATTACAATTTTTCCTGTTTCTTGAAGTTTGATTTGATATACAAAATATGGAATAAACATAATTCTAGTTCTTCTGCTGACTAGCAGTCATACTAACAACTATATATACTTGAAGATCCAAAATGTAATATATGTTTTTCTTGTTGTTTTTGCAGCTCCTCCATTGCCGTGAGCAGCGCCAACAATCCTCTCAACGTGACCGTGTCCAGCTGCAGCACCATCAGCTAAGATTGGGCGCTCCAAGGGCGCCGACTTCTACCCTTTTGTACATAGAGTCTCTTACCGGGCAGGCCAGGCGTTGCAACTCATTTCTTTAGGTGTTACCTTTATAGTTGAATGTTTCACAAATTGCTTGATAAATAACCTGATTGGCCTGGCCAAGGAAACGAACAGCAGCTTCCTCCAGTTCGGCGAATCCTTCCAAGCCAATGCTGTGAGCATAGGATGGGATGAAACTATATCCACTGTTGCTGCTCCTTCTTCCACTTAGATTGTACGTTTCGTCATAACGCTATTTTTTTCAATACCTATATATATACTGAATACTGAACGAAGATACGCTGGAATCCCCTCCAGAATGCCAGTCAGTGGAGCAGCTATGACCAGGACTAGTGCAAGCGCTGAACTTGTAAAAAGTATATCCTAAGCGAAAAGTAGTACATAGGGTTTGTATAGTGACTAAATTAAAACGTTTAATTAGAGCGAGTACGATCGATATCGATATCTTATAACTTCTGTTTTCGTTTTTTAACAAAAGAAAAAACAATATATAAACACAAAAAGCGTAATGGATAAATGTCTTTTGTATAACGCTGCTCACGGGTTTACAAATCTGCACTTCATTTATTTTACTTTTAATAATAATAATTATTAATAAATTATTATAATTAATTTATAATAATTCACGGCGCGTTTTATTAATTAGTTGTTGTGTGTTTTCACTTTTCTTCATGGATGAATCGTATAAAAAGAACAAGAGCGAGGGGCGGTTAATTCTGATCGGTGGACTCCTTGGCCTCAGCCTCGGCATCCTCGCCGCCCTCCTCAACGGGCGGCACGCTTACATCGGCGCTACTGTCGGGCTGAACGATCACCTTCTTGGGACTTGGCTCATAGCTGTCCGCCTCAGCGGAAATTGCCCCCGACGATCCGGGTGTAGCATCCTCATCATCGTCATCGTGGGTCGTTGACTCTGGCTGTAGACTGGCAGCTGCCTCGGAGGCCACGCCGTTTTTCGTCTCCTCCACGGTGCACTCTTCGGGATGTGAGACCTTACGCTTGGCAATCCGTTCGCTGAGCGCCTTGTGCAACTGGGCAATGTCTGCAGGCCGGCCCATGGCCAGGAAGATCTTAACAACGCCAGAGTTATCAATGGCTGTCAGGCGCAATGACTTCTGGCTGGCTCGTTCCGCAACCATGGCAGCCCAGACTTTGGTGTTGAGCAGGAGGCGTAGATTTCCAGAAGTACGGAAGACCACTCGCGAGTTGCCCCTACCGTCCTTGGCGTCGTTTAACCGCAGGCTACCCCGACCACGTTCCTCCCAGTTGCTGTTAAGAAAAGCAAATAGCTTACAGCTTACGTCGATGATATTGATCTCATCCTCCTCGCCGGTGAAGGTCTCTACCTCCTCATATTTGCGCTTTTGGGCGCGGCTCTCCTCGTACTCCCTGGCGACATCCGTCAAGCTCTTAGCCTCGGCGGACTCCTTGTTATTACTACTGCTGCTACAGGTGGATGAAGAGGCAGCTGCCTCGCTGGTCTCTGTGGTCTGGGCAGCGTTTTGAATGACGCTGGAGAAAAGCAATGGCGCCGACGACGAGGCGGCGGTGGATGAGGAGGCGGCCTCCTGAGCGGAACCCGATCCCAAGCTGCCGGCCGCCTCTGTATCTGGCTCTGAAATGACCTGCTCCGGATTGGGGGCGACGACGCGCTCATGCACATTCTGACCAAAGACAAAGCCGCTAGACTGCACATGGGGCATGTTGTTCTTGGCAGCGGCAAACATGCTCGAACGCTCGATGCCATTGCTACGCAGCTTGGTCAGTGGATCCGGCCGTTCGTCCACATCGTCATCATCCTTATCGCCAGAAGATTCGGCAACTGATGAGCCGGTGGCAACCACTTCTTCGTCATCTTCCTCGTCCTTTGCTTCACGCAGAAAGGGATTGTTCAGCAGGGCGACCTCCTCGCCGGCGGTCATCGATGTGGAACTATTGTTGGAACCGCTGCTGTTGGCCAGCACAGCTGGACGCAGTACTGCACCGCCCAGGCGAGAAGCCTTAAGGGTGAAGCCACCTCGGAAACAGTTAGTTTCGACTGACGCTTCTGGGGAGAAGAAAAAAACAAGATTCGTTTGTCAGCTTTTGGGTGAGTCGTCAGAAGCCAAAGTTTTGTGTCCGATTGGTAATTTGAAGTTTCAACAAACACAAAGCTGTTGTGTTTTCTAACACTTACCATTATTTTCGGACATTGCAAACTTAGCTAGTTGCAAATTTGAAATATAAATTGCCAAATCTTTTCCAGAAAAGAGCGTTCTGTGTCAAGCCTGCCGAACTGTTATCGCTGGGATATCGCAACTATCGATAGGCGCGGCGGTAGTAAACGATATTCAACACTAAACTTCAGTGCTGTCAACTTGCCGCTGGAAAAAACAAGAAATTTACAAGTCATCGGCAGAGCAGAGAGTTTGCCAAAAAGATCGGCTTTAATTGTATTTAAACAAAGATATAAATTTAACAAGAGTAGGTAAGCTTAGGTAACCAGATATGGCTCAGACTCTGGAGGATAAATCGATTTGGGAGGACGGCGAGGAGTCGCTGGGCGAAGAGGTGATGCGTATGTCCACCGATGAGATTGTGAGCAGGACTCGCTTGATGGACAATGAGATCAAGATCATGAAGAGCGAGGTAATGCGCATCACGCATGAAATCCAAGCTCAGAACGAAAAGATCAAGGACAACACTGAGAAGATAAAGGTAAGGATCACCGTGAGACTATCTTCACCACCAACTATTTTCATCCGTAACACATTTCACCCAATAGGTTAACAAGACGCTTCCTTACCTGGTTTCTAATGTCATAGAGCTGCTGGATGTGGATCCCCAGGAGGAGGAGGACGACGGTTCGGTGACCGTATTGGATAACCAGCGTAAGGGCAAGTGCGCCGTCATCAAAACATCCACTCGACAGGCTTATTTCCTGCCCGTCATCGGCCTGGTGGATGCCGAAAAACTGAAGCCAGGTGATTTGGTTGGCGTCAATAAAGACTCTTACTTGATCCTGGAGACCTTGCCAGCGGAGTACGATGCCCGCGTCAAGGCCATGGAGGTGGATGAGCGTCCAACAGAACAATACTCTGACATTGGTGGCTTGGACAAGCAGATCCAAGAGCTTATCGAGGCAGTTGTGCTGCCCATGACCCACAAGGAAAAATTCAAAAACCTTGGCATTCACCCTCCTAAAGGTGGGTTTTTGACTCTAATTGGAAAGTATTCTTCAACTATATTAATTGTTGCTCTTTTAGGTGTTCTCTTGTATGGTCCTCCTGGTACTGGTAAAACTTTGCTGGCTCGTGCCTGCGCCGCTCAGACCAAGTCAACCTTCCTCAAACTGGCCGGCCCCCAGCTCGTGCAGATGTTTATTGGTGATGGCGCCAAGCTGGTGCGCGATGCCTTCGCTCTTGCCAAGGAGAAGGCTCCTGCCATTATCTTCATCGATGAATTGGACGCCATTGGTACCAAGCGATTCGATTCAGAGAAGGCCGGTGATCGCGAGGTACAGCGAACCATGTTGGAGCTCCTTAACCAGCTGGATGGATTCAGCTCCACGGCAGACATCAAGGTAATTGCGGCCACTAATCGTGTCGATATTTTGGATCCAGCTCTGCTGCGGTCAGGTCGTCTGGATCGTAAGATTGAGTTCCCACATCCCAACGAAGAGGCCCGTGCCCGTATTATGCAGATCCACTCACGTAAAATGAACGTTAGCAACGATGTAAATTTCGAAGAGCTGTCCCGATCGACGGATGACTTTAACGGCGCTCAGTGTAAAGCTGTATGTGTTGAAGCCGGTATGATAGCCCTGCGCCGATCCGCCAATTCTGTTACGCACGAGGACTTCATGGACGCCATCATGGAAGTGCAGGCGAAGAAGAAGGCTAATCTTAACTACTACGCTTAGGCTAGAAATTTGCAGTTTAACTCCACATTGTCCGCTCCCATTAAAATAAACCATGAAAATATAACATTCTTCAGTTTATCAATCAAAGTTTTATGCTGAAGATTTCCCAACTGGCATCAATGCAGGGATTAAATAAACGAAAAGTATAAAAATTAACTAATTCCATTTATGAAAATGGTTCGTACTGAAATTTTATATGATTTTTTTCACTTTTGGCTTCAAATTTAATCCCAAAAATTATTTGATGGATAAACTTTCCAAAATAAACAAAAATTTATATCAAATGTCGATCGATTCATTGGTTTATCAGTACAACATTCACATTCTGAGTACGATATTTTTTAAATATCTAAAAAGGTCGGTTTTAGAATTAATAAAAAATATTAAATCGGGCGAAATTAGATGATAAATATTTACACGCACACTAATTAACCTAGAGGGATGATTAACCAATTCACTAAGACTAACCAGAGGGATCGAGTGTGTTTGCGCCATCAGGCGCCGCAGATGTGGAACTACTGCTACCTTGAGACGCTGCGCCGACGTTTGATGAGGTCGTCGCGGGGTTTTCCGTTGATGAGGTCGAGGGGACTGCGTCTTGAGGAGAAGCGGCGGTGGCAGTTGGGGCTCTCACTGAAGCTCCACCATCAACAACTCCAGCTACACCTGGTGCTTCGGCTCCCACTGGAGCCAAATTAACTGGCGCAGCAGCTATATCATCAGCAGCTGGCTGATGAGCTGGCTGATCCGGTTGTTGGAATGGTCGCCTCATGTACATGATGATACCCAGCAGTAAAGTCAAAACGGTTATCATGTACAAATCCCAATTGGCAGCAATGTTTTCATCCATGTAGAAGATGAATCTGTATGGCGACTGGAGAAGAATACAATTATAAAGACGTTGTCCATAGATTATCTATAAAGACTCACCTCCTTGATTGATTCAATTTTAGCCAGCATTTGCAACTTGAAAAGAGCAATGGCCACTGGCACTTTAGCGTCCGAGTTGGTCTCGGCAGCCAAATCATATAATCTCTTGGCTAAGTGCCAGTCCTTCTTCATGCCAAGCCCCTGCTCATGCATATAGCCTAGGTTGAACATGGCCTGGGCATTATACTGCTGCTCCGATGCTTTTCTGTGGGATTTAAATCGATTTGAAAACGTTAAGCTAGTTGTAATTTACATTTAACTAACCTGTAAAGAGCGGCTGCGGTCTCAAAGTCTGTTGACGTACCCCAGCCGTAGTAATAATAGTCGCCCAGCTTCACTTGGGCAGCAGAGTAGCCCTGGCCGGCTGCCCGTTTCCAATAGTAAAATGCACGGATAAGATCTTCGTGCCGATCGTTGAACACATGAACCTCCTCGCGGTCAAGCAAAAAGGCAGCATTACTTTGGGCCACCTCATAGCCCACTTCGGCCATCAGCGAATATTGCATGTAAGCCTCATCGATGCGATTCTTCTTGTAATCGCTGTAGGCGTGCATCAGTCGGCTGCTCCAACGTCCACGCTCTGAGACGGTCTTGAAGAACTGGAATAAAACCATTTTAAACCTGTTAGTAACTGATTAGCATTCGAAGTGTGCAATAAACTTACTTCTACGGCTGTCGGACAAGAACGTAGCATTCCCATGCCGAAGGCATTCATCACTCCAAGATTATAGTAAGCTAAAACATGACCTGACTGGGTGGCCAGGTTGAAATACTTGAGGGCCAGCTTGTAGTCAGTTTTGACGCCATTTCCAGCTGTAATAAAATTGAAATCAGAATAAAGATAAATCATTTTACCATTATTTAGCTTACTGAAATACATGTTGCCCAGTTGCAGCTGTCCATCCACCCATCCTTGATCGGCAGCCTGGGTGAAGTAGGACAAGGCCTTAATGGAGTCCTTGGGTACGCCTAGACCTTTAAGGTACATGAGACCCAATCCACTTTGACCCACTGGATCTCCCATTTCAGAGGCCTTGGTAAAGTACTAAAGAACAAAGAATACAAAACAAAAATTAGCAAATAATTTGTTGTTATCAATTATTTTCCAACCTTAAATGCCGTATCATTATCTGCCTTGATTTGCTCGCTTCCCTCCAGATAAAGCTTGCCGAGGAATGCGAAGCCAATTGCATTGCCGGCATTGGCAGCCTGTGTGAAATACTCCAAAGCCTTTTGGTGGTCCTGCTGGGTGGCCTTGCCACCCTGGTAATAGAGCTGTCCTAATCCCACCTGAGACTGGACGTCGCCCTTGTCGGCCAGCAATTGGTAATAGTCCACAATTTCGGCTTCATGACTACCGGGATTCTCCAGTTCGTCCAACAATCGAACTCGATGCACAATTGGTCCATTGGCGAAGGTAATCTTGGAAGCAACCTTTTTGGCCACTCGCTTGTACTGGATCAGCGCCTTTTCACAGCTAACAGGGACATTTATGCCATACAGATAGCGATAACCCATGGCCATTTGAGCCAAAGTGTTGTCACCCAGCGCAGCCAGGTTGTAATGGATTAGGGCCAAGGGTTGGCTTACATTCTTGCCACCCACTCCCGACGAATACAGGAATCCCAGACCCATATGAGCCTCTGGGACACCCTCATTGGCTAGACTCTCAAACTCATCTGCAGCATGATTAAAATCGAAATCCATCCAGTGACCCAGGAGGACGGCCCAAGCCAGTTCCGCCCTAGCCTTGAGGTGGTTAAAGGCGGCAGCCTTTTTGAGCAAAGTGAACGCCACTCTTTTATCCGTTTGCGGCTTGGCCAGCATGTCCATGGCGTTGTTGTACATGGTTTGAGCTAAAAGTATTAGGTTTAGCAACGGCATTAGATGAGTACAAGAAGTCTACTTACCTTCAATTTGCTCTGGGGTTAGTTCCACCACCTCAGTGGGCTTGCGTTTGGCTTCAAGTCGCTCGATCTCGGCCTTCAACTTTTGCTGTCTCATCAGACTGTCGTTCCAAAGACGTTCGAGCAGAGCAGCAGGCATTACCTTGGTCCTTGGAGCAAACTCCGTCGAGTCCTTGGGCTTGGCCGCTTTGCGTTCGTTGCTTTCTACAGGAGCCCGTGGCTCTGACTCTGCCGTGGTCACCTCCTCCGCCTCTGCTTGCGTGGAGGGCTCATTGGGCAAAGTTGGGGTGGCTGTGCCTGTGCCAGTGCCCAGACCCGTTCCTGTTCCAGTAACCGTTCCCGTACTGCTGCCTGTGGCTTCTGTATTCGGCCCTTGTAGCTCCTCCGCCCGCAGCTGCCAGGCCAGGAGCAGCGCTAGCAGGCACATCCAACTATTGGCCTTCATCGTTATCTATTTGTATTTTCGTTGGCGGGGAATGGTGATGTCGCTTAATGGGATTTACACCAATAATTTTGATCTACGTCTATTCCCTCTTCTATCTGCTGCTCTTCCACTTCTCTGACGTGTTGTGTTATTTACTTCTTCTTCAGGACGCAACGCCACCGGACCGATTTTATTGGTTTTTCTTAGTGCTTTCGTTCGACTTATTAGTAGCTCATTTTAGCCACCTTGTCTTGGTGGTTGGAATGCCTTGGGTGTCTTTCCTTAATTTTTCACACGTAAGATTCTTTTTTAATCTTTTTTTGTTGCACCGCGCCAGTGTTGTAAAGCACCGCAATGAAAACAGTCGTGGTCATGGGCAGTTTCAAAAATATATAAGGGGGGTTAACCCGGCCAGCTTGAGCACTAAATATTACTTTTTGCGAGATTATTTTAAGGCAAGTTAATAATGAATTTATTTGTGCTTTAATATAACAAAAATCGAAATTACACTTCACGATTAAATGTAATTACAATTTTTGAAAAAACTAATAGTTTGATTAAGTTGCGCATTTAAGTTGATTTATTTAAAGAAATCAAAGCCGCTAAATCATACATTAAATTTATTATATAGTTTTTGAATAATTTTATTTCATTGTATATATCATACAAATTATTTTACTAAAATATTATAATTAAAACAAAGCAATATTTCTCCTGCCTCCTTTGATTATTAGGAATCTAATGAGCCCCTTTTGGGGGTATTGAGATATACATAGCTGTCCAGTTACGCCTCTGCACTCTCGCCTGTTGTTTCGTTATGCAAAGGGACCCACAGATTTAACAGAAAGGAATCTGAATGTGGAGCTGTTGACGTCTGGTCGAAGGTGATAATTCGGAGCGGGACTAATTAGAATACGAGGAAGGTTTAAGACCCGTGAATCACTCACTTTTGTGTCGATCGTTCCCGCCAGTCAGCCATTGAGCAGCCGGCATGGAGATGAGTGTAAGTAGAAGCTGCGTGCCAGACACCCAAACCCAAAACCCAAACCAAAAACAGAAACCAGTTCCAAGCCGCGCTTTAAGCGAGTCAGTCGTACAACGAATCACTATTTAAGTTCGACTGCCAGCGCTGGTGAAAGTTACAGCTGTCGCGTTTGCCCCCCTGGCCAAATACTCACCTTTCCCCGTGTATTCTTATCCTCCATCGGACATCTGTGATTCCAGGCTGCCATGTTTGCACGTGTGTCCTTCTACCCCACCCTGCTGTACAATGTCCTGATGGAGAAGGCTTCCGCCAGGAATTGGTACGATCGCATCGACGAGCATGTGATACTGGGAGCCCTGCCCTTTCGCAGCCAGGCCAATGACGTAAGTAACACGGAGATACAAGGCAGGAATCCTTTAAAATTTATGTTTAACCCCAGCTTATTGCCAAAGAGAATATGAAAGCGGTGGTCTCAATGAATGAGGACTATGAGCTAACCGCCTTCTCCAACAACACGGAGAAGTGGAGCAAGTTGGGCATAGAGTTCCTGCAGCTGGCCACCACGGACATCTTTGAGTCACCCAATCAGGAAAAGCTCTTCCGCGGCGTCGAGTTTATGAACAAATTCCTGCCCCTCAAGCAGAGGATTGGCGGTCTGAGTTCTTCCCACCTGCCGGAGAACGTGGGCTCTGTATATGTGCACTGCAAGGCGGGCAGGACGCGAAGTGCCACTTTGGTTGGCTGCTACTTAATGATGGTAGGTTAATTAGCATCTAAACGGAGTTTTTAAATGCTGATGAATCATACTTTGCAGAAGAACGGCTGGACTCCAGACCAGGCGGTGGATCACATGCGCCAGTGTAGGCCGCACATTCTGCTGCACACCAAACAATGGGATGCCCTTCGGTTATTCTACACAAACAATGTGCAGGCCAAGTCATGACCAAAACCGGACAATAGCCCAAATTTATTGTTTACAGAAGATTACCATACGTAACATAGGTGCTGTCCGTTACCCAACTATTTTAGTGCTGAATTTCTTGTTGAATATACAATTTTCTACCAACCAACAATGTGCAGCTGTTAATTTATACAATTGTTTATTTACTGCTTATCGCGAAACTATGAATAAATAACTGGTGTTTCGTGGTTCGTCAACTGGTTGCACTGGACAATTAAGCCTTTTTCTCAGCATCCTTGCCCTTGATGGCCCAGAAACGTTTGATTCCGTTAGCCAGACCCACATCATTCTGGATAAAGTAGAAGAGACCGCCCAGTGTGGCCACCGAGATGATGATCAGAGCAATGTGGGCCACCTTGGGCAGAACATTGCCCACGACAGAGGGCCGCATGTAGTCCACCACCATGGCTTCAACGCCCCTGTTTTTGGAGTATAGAAAAATGCCAATCGTGATTACCACATTCTTAACTTAGAAAGCTTAACATTTGGAGAATTTTCAATTACGAATGGGGTGATGTCTTACCAGTGGGTGTGGATGACGACGGAGATGGCCAGAAGGGCGTCCAATACCTGGGATGGGGCGATAAAGGCAGCTGGGATGATTGCCAGAAGACCGGCGGACACAACACGCTCCACAGTCCACAAAAGGGTATGACTCGATCCAGCAGCGGCCATACGAGGTGCACTTACGGAGATCTCGCGAACAGCGGGCTGAAAAAGCAGGCAGAGATTATCATTAGCTGCATGCTTTAGGCAATATTTTTAGGCACTCACCACTGCAATCTTAGCCACAGTTAGAGGCTGAACCACTGCCCTACGTTGGGCATTGGCCACCAAAGTGGAGTAACTCTTCAGGGGTGCGATACGCGCCGACTTGACGAGATTTGCGGCTAAAAGTGGATACCAACAATCGGTTTGGTTATATAATAAAAAGATGTTTTGTGGCAAATAAACGGACAACTAGCCAGCCAGTGGGTCATTACCATTGCATCGGACAGCGCCTCGCAGGAGCAGCGAGAGAGACATATTGGGATGTGTAGAAATTGAGAATTTTCAGCTCAAAATAAAAATCCTATTGCTGCGTACCGTGAGACGTTCCTTAATTGAGAAATTATTCAACACTGGGCATAAGGTGGCCAGCTATCTACGATTACTATATATACAGTACCGATATACAGTACCGGATAAAATATTGGCAGAGCTTAGAAAATCATTTTCTACCGTTAAAAATAAAATTGGTAAATACAAATGGAACATTTCCTAAGTAAAACATAACATTTGAATTGATTTAGTTTATTTATTTAGCTGATTTTATTAATTGAACAAAACATTTGAGATTCTAATGGGACGGAATGGCTGTTTGTAGATTTAAATCTAAATTGTATGGTTTGACTTACAAACTAGGTTTAAAATTTGCTTTAAACATTCGAAAATTCGCATTCAAAGGCACACAATTATTCCTAAAAGTCACTTGATAAATGGTTGTAAATTTGTAAATATCGTTGGATGGAATAGCTAAAAAAAATACTTTTGATCTTAGTAAGCTACTAAACTCCTGACCAGTGCACAGGCGACCACAACCAGACAAGTTAGTTGTAAATTAATTGTCGCTCCTCCTGCTCGGTAAAAGTCCCAGTCAAAGACAATGTTGGAGGCATCCGATGGTTTCCAGGGGTTTAACCCATCGTCGAAGAACATGGGACAATCGTCACGTTCTCGTTCATACTCCACGGCATCAATGGCCACTGCAGCGCCCTCGGAGTGGTTCCACGACGTCACATCCTGCTCCAATTTGCAGAAGGCTCCCACAGCCTGTGACATAAGGACGCGATTGAGGTCAGCGCGCTGATAAACCCAGCAGCGGTACTTTGACAGAGGATCCAAATCGTCGTAGGTGATCAGGTAGGATTTAAGATTCTCCTTCCAGAAACCAATACACTTCATGCGGTAATCGGGATCACTGTAGATATCAACGGGGCGACCCAAGTGATCCACTGACAGGCAGTAGTTTTCATCCACCGCCAGTTCCTTTTGATCAGTATCGCAGACCGACAAATCGGAGATGTTTTGCTTGCAATGGATGTCTGGACGGGGACTCAAAGTGACACCACCTAGAATTCTAAAGAAGAAAAGGTAAAAGTTTTAATATCGTAGAAGTAATTTTTATCAGTTCTATGTTAATTACATACCTCGTTCTGAATGGATGCTCTCCTCTTTGTGTAAAATTGAATTTACCGGCAACGGGGCAACGAACGGGCACTGGATTTTTGGCCAAATACAGATCATATTTCCACGCGTTTGAATTGGGGAACTGTACCCACGAGCAGACCGTACTGAAATCGTCCTTGATCACGGCCAAGCCCTTGCGGTAGCGAATAATATTGTGATGTCGAGGCATAAAGTCAAAGCATACGTAATCCTTTTGGCAACCATCGACAGTCAAACGGGCCATCATCACCCGATTACCACGCCGTTCTCGGCAAACATAGATCGTTTTACGGTACCGGGCCTTGTCCGGATAATAGGTCTCGTTGATGTGAGTCTCACTAATCGAGACATCGGCGTCGATGTTGGCAGTGTTCACCCATTCGCCGCTAAAGTTCTGGGGCAGTGTGCAACCGGGCTCAACAAACTCGGCTTTCACGGGCGTTAGCTTAAGACGCTCCGGCGAGGTTTCCGGCGTCTTTAATGTATTACACTCGGCCGTAATGGAGACACCCACATAGAGATCATCATCTCGATTTTTGAGGAAGCATCTGTACTTTTCATCCTTTCGTGATTCCTTTGTATTAGCCACAGCAAAGTAGTGGTTCTTGCCGACAAACCAATCACCCAAGCAGCTGAACTCCACGGTGCCGGTAAATGTACCCTCCATACCCTCGCACTGCTGGTAGGTTACGTTGAACTTCTGGTTCTGAATGAGAAACTGGGTGCCCGCTGTTTGACAGGACTGAATGCGAGCGTCCGGCTTATCGCACACTCCAGTGAAGCGGAATCGGTTCTGTAAGATAAAATAAATTGATATATATAAATTCGATTTTATTCTTGAGATTTCAAACTGACTTGATATGTAAAATGCCAGACGCCCTCCAGCGATGAACGACAGTTGATGGGCACAAAGTTTTCATTAAACAGCGTAATTAACTGCTGATCGTCCTTAATGCCTCGACACACATAATCCACAGTGGGTTCTTGGCCATCGGGTATGCCCACGCAGGGACCTTCAAACTTTTCGAACACATTAAGCGTGCGAATGATGGTCCTGACGCAATGGTAACAGTCCTTTGAGCGCTCCTTGAAGACGAAAGAGTATTCGTCGCCCTTGTGTTTTGTGTAGTTGATACAGTACCCTCGGCTGGACATCGAGGTGGCGTCGATTACCGTCAATGTGGGCAGGCCCGTTTCCCAGGAGAACCATGATCCCTGCAGGATCTTCGGAATTACGCAGTTGTCCCGCTGAACTAGGTTGTATTGGCCGACAGCTGTGAAATAAAGATTCGTGAATTTTGGGTGGACAATTCACATGATTCACTTGTAAGCCTTGGGTGTGGCTTGCGAATCAATTAACAAACCTGAGCCCAGAAAGCCCGCCAGGCAGATAACAACCAAATAATAATGCATTGCGAGTTTGGTGTCTTCAGAACTAGCAACCATACATATTCTATATTATTTTGCTTTTAAATGGACGGATTTATAAGCGGTTTTACTCTTAAGCAATAGCAAAACACGCAACAAACACAAGCTACAAATATTCCAGCCGATTTTTACAACACTAACTATAATAGAGCACCAACTTTACAACACTAATTAATTGGAAGTAATCGATAAAGTTAACGGTTACTCTTTCAAATTTAAAATGTGTGTTAATAATTTAAAGTATAATTTAAATATAGGTTTTTAAATAACATTTATATCGATTTCATTTCTATTAACTTTTTATTCTATTAACTAGATTGCAAGATTTATGTTTTGTATTAATCAGTAAACTGTGCCTTTTTTGTTGTTTATTTAATGATTTTTTTCATTTAATAATATCGGCAATTCTTGTTTAAAGTGATATTCGTACAGTTCTTCGTTTGTTTAAGGCCTATTCGTCTCTTGCATCTTTACGACACAACCCCAGACAACAAAGAGCTGTAAAAGATTAACCCGTCTATGTAATTTTATAAATAAATAACAGTATTGATAGTCCATATTCAATTGGAATAGGTGTTGTAATGAAGTTAAATTTTCAGAAAAAAAGTAGAAATCCGTTGTCGATTGTTTTAAACTATAAAGACAATTTAATTTCCTTAGGTAAAGATTTATTTTGTAGTTTTTTATGTATGTATTGACTTAAACACTTGGATTTTAGAGGGTTAACATTAACGGCCGTCTGGAACTGGAAAAACGAGCACAACGAACCCGAACCCGAACGCCCCCGCTATTATTCATCCCGATGCAGTTTGGACCTTTTCGTCACTTGTCACCGAATTAGCACACCAATTTTAGCAATTATCGTTGCTAATCGGGTGATTTATGGCGCGATTATGACTACTGTACAGGTATCACAGGAATGTGATTCACATGCACGGAGTTCCTAAGCGCTGCAGCCACTTATATGATCCGTTTGAACTTTGGATCCTCTTACTAGTATGAATGGCGTGTTGGCTGATAAGTCCGGCAAAGTGTCTAGGTGCACGGTGTTTGTGCCTCCGTTCGTGCCTTATCAAGATGGCAAAGGTCAGCTTGGGCTCCAAGCATGATCAGACTGGCCGATTTCAGAATCAAGTCTATATGGGAGCAGCTCGATCGGAGGCCTGCCAGTATCAATTGAGCCGGCGACAGCAACAGTTCACTCATCGATTCCGTATTCCAAAGAAATCACAACAAAAATGGGTTAGTGACATGCGCTATGAGGGAAGATTATCCCCCTTATAATAATTTGCTCCTTCTCATCCACTTAGCAACTGCAACCAGCGGGAGTGGACTCCACTTGGAGGCCGTCGATCGCATTGGCTCCATTCCCCTGGTGGAGTCCAGCGTAAAGCGAGTGGAAACCATCTACGACAAGGTCAAAAACAACAATAGGCTCTTCTCGTGGTACTTTGAGACCGCCGAGGCCACCATTTCGGCAGCCTATGAAACCATCCAGCCGGCGGTCAAGCTTTTTGAGCCCTCTATTCAGAGATTGGATAACGTAATGTGCAAAAGTCTGGACATCCTGGAGCAACGCATCCCACTGGTCTATCTGCCACCTGAAATGGTAAGAAAAGGCTGGTTACTCTCCCCAATTCCCTGACATAAGGACATCCTTCTTTTCATAAAGATGTACTGGAACACCAAAGAATATATGTCGGATCACCTAGTACGTCCAGTCCTGAAGCGCGCTGACTCTGTCAAACAGATTGGGAACGCCGTTCTGGAGAGCCCACTGACCACCTACGCCGCAGATCGCCTTGATGGAGCCTTCACAGCCGGCGACAAGTTCGTGGACAAGTACCTAGTGCCCATTCAAACGGACCAAGATCAGACCGATGGTGAGTCTTGGGGTTATCTCTTAAATGTTAACACTATGAGAGAGTTCGATTTCTGTAAAAATTTCGTATATTATTTTGATAGTTTAAACGCGATTTCTTTAAAGCAAATTTGATTTAAAAATTTTATTTATTCAAAATTATTGTAGTTCAAAAATTGCTTTCGACCCTGGATGGTCATATAACGCCGATTCGACTGCACTTAACACGAATGCTTGGCCAAAAAAGTTAGTATGATTCCTTCATGTTATAAGTTACTAAAAACATCCTTATAAATACATCAGACTATAAGAAAACTAAAAAAAACATGAATGTTTGTTGAGCAAAATCAAACCATTTTTAATGTTAATCTTTAGGCAAATCACTCCGAGATGCAGTCATCTCATAGTGTATTTTTAAATGCCGACGTTGTCGGGGAGGTTATCTCTTGGGAATTGCGAATTCATTGAAATCTAAAGCCAAAGAAAGACGTGATAAGCTCTAGCCGGGATCGGCCAAGATCCGCTCTCGTGGTTACACAGCAAAAGAAAATACAAAAATCGAATTGGCATGGAGTTGGGTACTAACACATTCGAAATATTTGCTTTCCAGCTCCGCAGGAGGATGATAACGAAGTGGTGCCGAATGAGAAGGGCGCCATTAAGGCGATCCATCACGGTCAACGATTCTCCCGCAAGCTGAAGCGCCGACTAACCCAAAGAACCATCGCCGAGGCGCGAGCCCTTAAGAAACAGAGCAAGGAGGCGATCCATGTGCTCATATATGCTGCTGAACTGGTTAGTATACAAGGTTTTCGCTCACATACCCATAAATAAAAAGAACATATGTATTTTTTAGATTGCTACCGATCCCAAACAGGCCGTTCAAAAGGCCAAGGAACTGTGGGTGTATCTGAGTGCCGATGAACCCGAGAATCAAGCCAGACCCGCTACTCTAGAACAGTTGATAGTTCTTCTAACACGTGAATCGGCCAGAAGAGTGGTGCACTTGGTGAATTTCAGTGCCCATGTGGCAGCCAATATACCCAGGTTAGTAGGACACAGAAGAAAACTTAGCTCTCCAAACTGTACCCACTTCAATTCCTACAGAAATTTGGCGCACACAACAACAGAGGTGGCTCACCAAATTATATATATCAACCACCGCATTATCACAATCTCCCGACTGGACAAGGTGAAGACCATATCCAAGGAGGAAGCCGAATCTCTCTTCAAGCGTATGCTGGCGTTCTATGGTAGCCTGCAGGGTATGACCAACAGCTACCTGGTAAGAATGAAAATCTTATTTGACTTTAAATTGAAAATCATTGAAAATGTATCCTTTAGGAACGTGTTGCCAGCTTTCTATCCGGACGCATCGAAGCCGAGAAGGTGACGGGCAGCGACAGCGCCAATTCCAATCACAGATCCTCGCGGAGAAGGCAGGAGCCGAACCATTACCCAGCCGCCCACAATAACATCAACGGCGTCTACTAGCATTGAATTCTTTATTGCAATCGTATTCTTATTTCTTATGATAGAGTTCTGTTTCTCCGTGCATATACGGAAAATTCAGTAAACTATATTGTATATCTTTTTTTTACAAAATGCATTTGCCAATAATTTAAGCCAAATATCATAGAATCTTTCTTTACAAATTTAATGGAAACTATTGCTTACCAAAATACTACGAGAAAATGATCTTCAAATCAATCAAATTACACGATGAAATATTAGCAAATCAGAAGTTATCTTACAGTCTCCTGAGGATGATTAATAGCGACATCCTTTGACATCCATGTCCATTCCAACTACATTAACTATCGATATTTAAATTAAGTGGCAGCAACACAGGTTTAAGATAACGATTCTTCAGTAAAATTTTTTAACACATTTTTTAAATTACTTAAAAAAGTTAGCTTTGTAATGCTTGAGCTCGTTTATGCTCTCCAGTATGTCGTCTAGACTACGATGGGCAAATGTCTTTTTGGGGGCGGACTTCTCAACATCAGGACTCCATCGCTTACACAGTTCCTTGATGGTGGACACATCCACGATGCGATAATGCAAATAGTCATCCACCGCTGGCATGAATCTTCTAATAAACAGCCGGTCCATGTAGACCGAGTTTCCGGCGAGGGGACAAACACGTTTTGGGATATTCGATTTGAGATATGATAGCAACAGGTCGGATGCCTGTTCGGGCTTAACATCGGAGTCCTTGCAGCGATCCACCAGACCGGATTCGTTGTGGTGCTTAATGCACCACGCGGTCATGGTGTCATAAACCTCCTGCGGATGGTTAATGGCAAAGCAGGGTCCCTCGGACTTCACGTTTAGGTCCTTGTCCGTGATGATGCAGGACACTTCCAGTATCTTGTCCTTTTCTATGTCCAACCCAGTCATCTCCAGGTCCATCCAAACGATGTCGGTATCCACGCCATCTACGCTATGGCTGCTGCTCATTTTGATAGATGAATTGGACACCACGGAACTTTGAATTCCGGGGATCCGCCTACTCACCAGCAATCCAAAACGTTGCAGTTGAGAGAGCATTTATTGTTTATGCTCGAGTTGTATTATTTAACTAGCGAAACCAGGCGGGCACCATGTGTACGATAATTATTCGATAATTCTTTGATAATAACAAGTACACCAAAGTTACGTTTTTCAACACTAAAATAAAGGAATCCTCTAATTATCTTTAAGTCTTGTGTGTGTCTTTTATTATTCTTTAAATTAATTTGTCAGCATGTGCACCTGAAAATATACTCCGCCAGAAATCTATTTTTATAGCACGTTTGATAACGATTTAAGTTGGATCCATTTTAAAAGTATAACATAGGTATTTCTTAACAAAGCAAGCGCGGTCATACTTTTGACTCTGGTACAGAACTGACATTTTTATCAAATATTGTTATAGGGAAAACGCAAAAAACGTTGCTATTATCGCAGCATGTCCACCTCTTCGGCAAGAGACCAACCGGGAACCTCCCAGGAGACATTCGAGGACTTTTACTCAGAAGTAAGTGAGGCGGGTGAAACCGCTTGCTCAGTTTTTACACTGAAGGTGGCTCCTCCCATGGGCGGCCGCTCAAAATAAACTAAAACATTATTATTATGTACACTTGAATAAATGATTTTGTGCCTATATTGCAGGTGAAAGAAATTGAAAAACGTGATTCAGTTTTAACTCCTTCTCAACAAATTGATCGTTTACTTCGTCCAGGTTCAACTTACTTCAATCTCAATCCGTTCGAGGTGCTCCAAATTGAGCCCGAGGTCGAGGTGGCTGACATAAAAAAACGCTACCGCACCTTGTCGATCCTCGTCCATCCAGACAAGAATCCCGACAACCAGGAGCGCGCTCAATTGGCATTCGATATTGTGTCGCGTTCCTGGAAGATCCTGGAGAACGAACTAACGCGTAAAAGGTGTCTGGAGGTGTACGAGGAGGCCAAGGGGCGAACGGATCAAATGGTGAGTATTTAATCTCTCAGAATTGTTTTTTTAGGATAGCCGTTAGCTCACAGCCACGGAATAAAAATTTCTAAAGTCGATTTATTATATACAACCATATTTAATTGTTTTTTTACGTCCCTTTCAGATTGCAGAAAAGCGAAAAAAGCTCAAAAAGGAGGGTCGGCCAAACGAGCCAATACCCGAGGACGATCCCACAAAGTACAAGCACGCCATTTACGTGATGGTAATGAAGCTATTCGCTGATATGGAACGTCGGCGCCAGAAGCTCGACCAGCGCGACCAGGAGGAGCGCAAGCGAAAGCGCGAAACGGAAATTGAGGAGGAGGAGCGGGTAAAGGCGGATCGTGAGTGGCAACAGAATTTCGAGGAGTCGCGTCAAAGCCGAGTAAATAGCTGGCATGACTTCCAATCAGGCGCAGGCAAGTCCAAGAAAGCCAAAAAACAAAAACATATGACTGGCATGATGGTGCCACCTAAGTTCAAGCCAGAGTCGCGATAATATTGCTTCCCAGCGCGGCGCTGCTTCCTTCATCAACGCCAGACCACCTCTGCCTGCCTCCCCGCGTCGCGTTGCTCATAAATATTTTTACATTTTTATATAAGTATCCTTTGGAATTGTAATTGACACGTGCATAAAGTATAGATATAAGAAATCACATATATATCTTGTCTTTCCTCTAACGATAGATGGCTGGGCATCCTTCTTATTCAAAGCCTACAGTTCCGTGTAAAGGGATGCAGTGAACACAATATCGCGTTTAATGGCAGCCGACGCCTCTTCCATCTTGGACTGCAGTCCAGGATTGCCAATTCGTATGGCGGCCGTTTTTACATCACGCAGAGTTTCGTCCAACTGCTGGATACATCTAACGATGATGCCCTCCTGAACTTCGGTCAGTTTCATAATCTCAGCAAAGGGCTGTGGATCAAGTTAAGAGTGAATTATACTTCAAGAGTTAGTGGCTGAAATAGAGGCGCCTTACCTTGTTCCTGGCCCACTCGTATACCACCTCAAGCAAACCAAAGTTAAGACGGTTTTCGGCCTCGATGGCAGCCTGGAAGCGCTGCTCTTCGGCAAGAATTGTATCGTTGATTTGCTCAAAGGCTGCCACACACTTCTTCAACGGCTCCGGTATAACCGGTTCGCCTTGGATCTTCGCCTGGAAGACAAGGCCCGAGAGCAGTGCGGCTATCTCAGCCGGCTCGAGATCGTTAAACATGTTGCACAGAATAAGCTCCGTGATCAAAAGTTCATTTTGGCCCATCTCACAGGCAACCTTACCCTTGAGTGTTACCTCATCCAGTTCATCTATGTATTTAAGGGCCCGAAGAACTTGCAGCTTGTTGCAGTAATCCGGATAGAGAGTCAAGCTTTTAGCTGAGTTCTTGAAGCGCAGCTCTTCGATGTGGATCTCTAGCATTCGGCGCTCGTAGACCTTTGCAAACTCCTGCTCGAAACCGGCGATGTTGGTATGAGGCAGCAAATCACCCACTTGGCGGCAAAGGTGGTCTACGTAGTTTAACATTGCTACCTCGCTGTCGGCATTCACGTTTATCTCCTTGGACAGGTTAACGTACTTGATGTTATCCGGGTTGGCAATGTGACTCTCATTCAATTGATAAAGATCAGTTACAGCCTTGACAACGGATCCACCTGGTGGAGTATCCTTAAAGCGCTCCAGCTGCCGTTGTTCCCAATTTCGGATAATTACATCTGCATCGACTTTTATTGTGCTCTTGGTGATGCTTATAATGTCCGTGGCCTTAATGTCGAGAACAGTGTGTCCTCCAATTCCTTCTGGCTGGAATATTTTGTTATTGGGCGTGAGAGAGATTATTTTGTAATAGAGCTCGCCCCGCTGAAGAGTGTCGCTATCTTTTGCCTTGAACTGATGGTCCAACACCAGTACTTTATATACAGTATCCTTGCCTGGGACGGATTTAATGTTGAGTAAAATGGCCAGTTTGTTGTAGTGTTTGCCCTGGGTGATAACAATGACGCGGCCAACCTTCAGCTCCTTCTGGATCTTGGCCTGGGTTACAATGAATTTCTAGATGGAATGGAAATATTAGGATTATACAAAATGTTCTGTGGTCTAAACCCACCATAATACGGTGCTTCTCCTTCCAATACTCCACTGCCTTGTCGTAGAAGTTCACGAGAGGTTGTAGGTGCTCGCCGAGATTTGGAAGCATGGCGAACTTATCTTCGGCCACGCGCAGTTGTTTCTGCTGTGTGGGCAACTGTAGCTTCTGGTTGAACTCCTTAAAACTAAACTGCATGATATCCTCCACCTTTATACTCTCAATGCGCAGGCATGTGAGGATCACCGCATAGCGCAGAATGAACTGTGATTGTAGCTTCTCAGGTAGGCCAAGGATCATTGGACGTAGCTCCATCGACGGTGGCACGTTTCCTTTGCACAGTATGATCACAGTTCCCGTCTCGTCATGTCCACGGCGTCCTGCCCTGCCGGCCATTTGTATGTACTCTCCCGGTTTTAAATTACGCATCTCTAGACCGTCAAATTTCTTGCAAGAGTCAAAGACCACGGTGCGGGCGGGCATGTTGACGCCCATGGCAAATGTTTCGGTGGCAAAGAGCAGCTTCACCAGACCATTCTGGAAGAGCATCTCCACTATCTCTTTGAGAATCGGCAGGATACCGCTATGATGCACGCCGATACCTCGCTCTAAGGCATCTTTAAGCACGAGGACCTGGGGGATAGTGCGATCCGGTGGCTTTAGCTTGGCCAGGCATTGCAGGAAGAACTTCTGCACTGCACCTTTCTCTTTTTCGGTATTGAGATCCACCGACTGCAGAGCGGCCACATTAGAATCACACCTATTTCGTGACAGGGTAAAGGCAACAACTGGCATTTTGTTGTTTCGCCTGAGAAAGTCAATTAGTCCGATCCAGGTGTACTGCTCCTGTTTAGCATTCACATAGTTATTTGGACCACCTCCACCGCCCTTGGCTTTGCCCTGCATCTCCTTTTTGCGCTCCACAGCCTTTTCGTAGTTACCCTGAAGATATTTGCCTTGAGAATCCACCAGCAGGAAGATGTCGTCACGACTCTTTCCCCCGGCACCAGTGTAGAGGAAGTGTGTTAATGGCACTGGTCTTTTCAAAGTACTAATCACATAAACCTTTCTCTTCTTGGTGCTTCCAACCCAATCCGCCAGTTCCATTGTGTTCGGGACCGTCGCACTCAGCATAATGATATTGACATGATCAGGTAGGAGAATAATGACCTCTTCCCAGACGTGACCTCTCTCCGGGTTGTTGATGTAGTGCACCTCGTCAAAGATCACCCACTCCAAATCTCGCGTGACTTCGCTACCGCAATACAACATGGAGCGCAGGATTTCGGTGGTCATAATCAAACAGGAGGCTGTGGGTTCGATCTGCAGGTCACCGGTTATGAGTCCTACATCCTTGAAGGTCTTCCGGAAGTCGCGATATTTTTGATTAGATAGCGCCTTTATGGGCGATGTGTAAATGGTTCGGGTAAGATCTCTCTTAGATAGGGCTATAGCATATTCTGCTACTACAGTCTTTCCAGCTGAGGTGTGGGCTGCAACAAAGACATACTGACGCTGCTCCAGCTTGAGGATGGCCTGCTTCTGAAAAACATCCAATTCGAACGGGAACTCCATAGCTGGGCATGGTATTTGCTCCTTAAAATCGTTGATCGGATGGCTAATATCCATCATCTCGGCCCAGTCACTCTTAAAGTTCTTCGTGGTGGTGGAGATGTTGAGCACAGGTTTCAGATCAGCCTTCATGATCTGATCGTCTACATCCTGGAACTCCTCTGAGGGAAATTGCACTTTCTGTTGGCTAGGATCTGCAGAGACTGCAGAAGAGCTTGATTCCTCAGTACGTGTGATCTTCATCCACTCCTGGACGTCCAGATCCTGCTCTAGGTTTTCCAGTAAGTCCACATTAGAGTGATCAGAGACCACAGGTGGCAGGGATACAGGTTGCGATTTGGAGAAGTCGTAACCAGCGCTAAAGCCTGGTGGCACTGTTAAAAGCTTGTCCCCGAATTGGAAATTTTCCACATCCAGGGCGGCGATCTGCTGGCGCTGCTCGTCAAATCCACCCGGCCAAAAAGGAAAGTTAGAGTGGGAGCCACGCGTCGCTTCTTCCAGCAAACCCGGTTCTCTTTGCATGGACATCGAGTTGTTTGCATTAGCGCCCACATCCTCTAGGTCCACCTCCACGAACTCAAGTATCTGGCCATTCTGATCCCTACGAGGAGCCAGCTTGGTGCTACCCGGACAGCGCGGCACATGCAACAGGCGCATCGCATCAAATTTTCGGGGCAAAACATCCGGTAACGGATTGTGAAGGGAAAGTTCCGGATGCAGAATATAGTTGCGCAGCCTCTCGAGGTTCTCTTCACCCCTGATCTCACTCATTTTATTTGTTTGTTCCTAGCGAAAATTAGTTTGTTTGGCATTTGCCAAAAAGTCGAGTAAACAGACAACAAAAGAGTCGGCAGAAAATTTCGATTGACTGGTCACCCTAAAAATCGAGAATCAGTCGCGTGCCGATTTCTACCTAGGGTGCGTTGAAATTAAATTATTTATAATTATATTAAAATATAATAAAAATGATAATCTGATTCCCAAATATATTACAAAAACAAATAGGAATAATGCAAAAATTCAATATTTAATAAAATATTTGTAAGCAAGTGTGAAGCTCCGGCAATAGTATTTCGTCACCTACATTACAACTGATCTTGGTCATCTCTTATACATTGTTTACATTCATGGCACAGTGTAAGAATCAGGTTTCTCCAGACTAGTCTAGTTACTTTCGGCGGAACACCTCGACCTTGAGGGGGTGACACTTGTCGTCTGGGACTTCTGCGCCCACCTGGATAGAGACATCCCCTTGCGGACAGGCGCTCAAGGCCACCAGAAGATTCATGTCGGCCACGAACTCAATAAAATCCCCCTTACGAGCGGGACTTGGCTTGCAGAAATATTGCTGCGTATCCTTGGTGAATCCGGTACACATAAATATATTCCAAACGTCGTGCACATCCTGCTCTGTCAGTCCGCGCTCCTCTACCACCGCCTTGACCAATGAACTGTGACAGCTGCCCACCCGATCATTGCCTGTGATTAACTTGTAGGTGTAATCGTCGCAGCGAGTTCCAATCACGTCGTGCAGGGCACCACCATCCTCATCGATTCCATACGCGGCGAGGGAGTCAAACACAAAGGTAGCCATCGGACGCAAGTAGGGGAGGCAACTCCACAGACGATCGTAAACGCGCAGGTGCGACGAGTGCAGCTGACGCGTCTTTCCTGAGTAGAAGCGCTCGGCGGTGTTCTCCAGGTTCCAAAAGTTCATGTCGCCCACTTGGGAGCCTTCGTTCACGGTCACTCGGCATAAGTCGCCCTTCTGCATTGTCCAGGTGCGGGCCTCTCTCTTGGGCACGACTACTGTCTGTACAAGATCGCCAGTCAGAGCTTGATAGCGTTTATCCTGAAATCTCTCAATGGGTTAGAATTAAATATTTCTCCAGGGACTAAGAGTATTTCATAGAGAATATGTCGCGTAACTTACATCGTATTCTTCCTTGGAAACAATCGATGCCTCAGGTTTATCATAACAGACCACAGGCAAGTGTTTCTCAAAGGTGCGGGGCTTGGAATCCCGCCCGCACCATGGAGCGGGAGCAGCAGCAGCAAGGGGAGTAACAGCGGCCATGACTACACAGAAAATATTTGTCACTGAAAACAGCAGGTAAGAAACTACTTACCTTTAAAAGATTAAATACGTTGTGGTCTTATCAGTCACCAAGTTCCAACTGATCTAGCTTTACAGCTGGTCAGAGCAGGTTAGCTCTCTAAAAGCTTTCGATAGGCACAGCTTTGCTCTATCGGATTTTAAATGATCACAATTCGTTAATCGTTGTTAAAAACACAGTTTATTTACTTTTTAGTAACACTAAATTTATAAAACTCGAGCAATCAAAATGAAATTAATTAAACATATCAACAAAAAACTATAATTTTTCTGGTCTTTCCTGACAAAACGTTTTTAACTATGAAGCAATCATGAATGTATGATGCCGTTCTCGAATCTATCCTACATCTGGCTTTCTTTCGTTTGCGAGGGAGATGCTAATCAATTGATAATACCTAAGTTAATTCGAACCTAAACTAAACATTGTATCTTCAAACTTTGTAGTCTACTGTGCCTATGTCTCCATCATGGTGGGCTGTGGCTGCTCGTTAAATGGTTTATCGTTCTCCATCTTTTCCATAAGCTCCTCCAGCCAGATGCGCAGCTCCTTAGAGGAAAATTCCTGCGGTAGCGGCAGTCGTTCTAGAGCGACTTTAAGCACAGAGGATGGCTCCATCTCAGGGCAGACAATGCACATCCCGTGCACAAGACAGCTGAGGCTCTGCGCGATCTCACTTTGGCAGAGCCGGTGTTTGGATGTGGGACACGGCAGCAGACTGATTCGCGAACATGGTTCACTGAGCTGTGGCTTAAGAGTCTCCCAGCGCGCATTGAGGTCCGCAATGTTGGTCACATTACGGATCTGCTTAAACTTGGTACTGATATCGATATAATCCAAAAATATCTGACCCTGGTTGGCCCAGTTGGGCACTCGGATGCTGCTCCCTTCTGGGTCTTCAAACTGAATTAGCAAACTGTGGAGGTATTCCATTTTTCCTGATGGATTATAAGATGATCTCTTAAATATCGTCAAAAACTAATATCAATAATGAACTAACCGTTTATAATGGCATCGGGAGCAATGTGTTGGAAAATTACATCGTGCGCTAGTGCAAATTGTTTAGCCTTTAGCAGATACTTCGCTTGAAGATGATGCTTTCCTGACGATCCTGCCTTGACGGCCTTCGCATAGTCCACCCACGACATCGGAACTCCCAACTCTTCGACGACAAAGCGCTCTTCGGCATTTAGAGGCACCTTAGCGGACACGCTGACGTTTCGCTGGAGCATTTGCTGAACTGCTCGTTCTCTGTGAGGCCTTCGCTTAATGTGCAGCAGAACAAATATGCTCCAGTGCCAGAGGCCTTCATTCTCCAGTTGGCTAGCGAAATCCACTGAGATGCGAGCCTCCACCAAAGGAGAACAATGGTGGTAACCGAGAGCTCGCAGAGTTTGTAAAAGCAGCCAACTAAAATTTGAAAATATAATTGAATTTGGAAATTAACTAACTATCTTTAAACGTACCTTAAACGAAAGTCCATGGGATCGGCGGTGTGTGTAATCGGATTGAGGGTTTCTTCCAGGGAATGCATTCGCTTGGAGTACAGCTGCAGCACGTGGTAGCGCAGGTCATAGATTGGTTTCTTAGTATCAGTGGGTGCGTCCTTGTAGCTGGGGCTCGGTGGCTCGGCATATAACTCCTCCGCTTGGAAGGCGCTGTTATAAGCATTGAGGGCGTCCGTAATAGTCGAGGTGGGGGCTGTAAAGTACCACAGTTGCAAGGCCAGAACTGTCAGCCAGTTGTGGTCCTCCAGCAAATTGATGGCTCCATGAGATGACCGCATCATCGGAACTCCGGCAGCAAGCATGTACATCTTAAGACGCTCCAGGTCAATGTATTTATCCGACTTACTTTGCTGCCAGGCATACAGCTGCTCCTCCATCAGCAACCGGAAGACAGCACCGGAACTAAGTTGGGCCAGCACGAGAGCTAGGTTGGCGTCATCATAGCTCAAAGCTAACTCACAAGCCTCATTTACTCGGTGGCAGCTTAGCAATTCCAACATATGATTTAGGTAGCTTTGGGTGCTAACCTTCTTCGAGAGCAGATCCTTGCCCATCAGTGTATTTTCAAGCCATTCGGAAAGTAGATTGCGTCGGCACATGACCATATAGTGAGAGTTCTTTTCCAGGTCTACCAACTCATCATGATCACCCCAGAGCGCAAAGAGAAGCGACCACACAGACACAGCGTAGTCCTCCTTTAGCCCAGCGTTTCTCTGCTTAAGCGCCTCGGAGAAGTGCTTGGAAACTAATTTTGTTCCGCTGTCGGAACGCAACCACGGGCACTCATTGTCTTCTTTTACAGACACGCAATTGCTTAGCTGAACCTCTAGATGAGGAATAATGCTCTCTCGGATACCCTCATTTCCTTTGACCATGTTAAATTTCACCAGCTGCATTACATTGGGTGACATATCGGTGGCTAAGCGGGGAGCGAAAACCATGGAGGCGGGCAGGAATGGTCCAGTAACTAAAATAACCAAATAGAATAAATTTAGACTTTTCATTCGTTTCGATATATTTTACTTACATTCTTTAAGGCTGCGCATATTGTTGAACGTGCTGGGAATCACCAACGAGTTTTGTGGGCCGAAACTAAGCTTGAAGCTACGTCCCTTGTAGAATCCCAGATCGGCAATCCACATATCGCGCATTTTATGTGCAATGGATCGAGGCAAGGGAACGGTAGTGGCATGTACCTTAACAGGTGCCACTTTTGGTTTGCACACAAACTTAAAGGCTTTCGTCGATTCAGTTTTTTTTTCCTTTACAGCTGTCACAATGCTCCCAGTTCCCATTGAAGAAGTCTAAAAAACGGATGAATGAGTAATGAGTTTGTGATCAGAGGTCAAAGGTTCTAAGATGTACCTCTTCGTAATGTGCATCACACATCAAGCTGGCCTCAGAGACAGACGATGAGACCGGCAGAGCCGGTGATGGGTGCCCAAAATCGTATTGACTCGAGCTTTCAGAGGCCCCATCTTTCCAGGCATTAGGTTCGGCATTGAAAAACTTGCGATGACGAAGTCGTCCAGCAGGCTCTGAAAAGATTCATGGGTAATTTGGAAATGTATAGTGATTGTGAAATGATTTTAAAATGATTTGAACTGGTATAAATATAATGATAATGATTTGTCGTTGAACTGAGCAAAATTATTCGGTTTAAAAGGAAATTTAATAATTGAAAACCCTTCATTATTTGTGCTTCTATTTATTTCTTTGTTTTAAACATTATTTTTTAAATATGTAATATATGTAATACTTTTAGAAAGCTAACAATTGAATAAATATTAACAAAAATGAAACAAGATTAAAGGATCTAGATACTACAAAAAATATATAACATTTCATTTATCCTTGATTTAAAGACATCAAGATATGGTCCACCTACCCATGGGTTCATCCTCGGTGGCATTGTCCTCTATGAAAAAAGATGACTTCATCAATTGCATTTTGTGCGGCTCGTTGCCGACCATATCCTGGGCCAGAGCAGCCGTGGGGCTGGTAACAACTGGTCGGTGACGCGGTGCATCAAACATAGAGAAATCTGAGTTGCCGCCGGCTTGAAAAAATTCTGCAAATTCATATAAATCCAAATTACATCTAATAAAACTACAGTTTATTTAAAGAATTTCTACTTACGTGTTTTATCCATTAGCAGGAACTCGGCGGAGTCATCCATTGGACGGAATCCGCTGGCTACTCCAGCAAACAAAACCTTTGGATTCAAATTACGGGCTGAATCCTCCGAAATTTTCTGCGCCTGGCGCAATGAGTTAAGTGTCATCTTTTCTGCGGTCGCCCGCTGTTGGGCCTCAAGCGCTGTCATTTTAGCCTTTTTCGGATCGGTGGGCACCTCGTCCTCCTCATCGCTTTCACCCAGGCCATACTTGGAGAAGTGCTTGACACGGAAGACCCAACTGCCGGTTTCCGGACGGTATTCGATAAAGCGCGTATCGTTCTTATCGCACACCCGCCGCAACTTGCCCTCCCAGTCCATCTCGAGCAAGCGTTGTGGCTCTTTTATAGCCTCATGCTTAGTCTTATCTAAGGGCCACACTTGGTCCAAAGTGACTTGTGCGTCTCGGTTCAAGCCGTGACCAATAGGTGGCTTGTTTTCGTCGTCGGGATAAATTATGATCTCCTTATTGCGGAAGTGGACTGCAGACGTTGGTGATACAAAGTTCTTTAAGTTACAGCAAGGTAAATCAAAAAAAAATACACTTACCAATCTCATCGATGTTTAAGCCAGCCACATCCATCTCCTTGCCGAAGAAAACATTGCCGTAACCTTCTCGACCCACCGTGAAGTTTGGCACCACACAGGATCCGTCCTCTGCCAGATAGGAGCGAAGGTCGTCCAGCGATGGAATTGTGTAGTAGCCCACACGTCGCAGAACAATGCCTGTGGGATGGGCCTCGTAGTCTGCGCCCTCTGCAGCAGCTGCCTCAATGGCAAGTCGAGATCGGCTCGCTGTAGAATCGTCCGCCTCATGAGACCTGCTGGAGAGAACGCTCTCATTGGCCTGCTCCGAAGTGAATGTTTCCCGTCGTGCAATGACGCTAGCTTGATCCTCGAACGGGTTTTCCGGGATGGTGGACACAGAGAGGCGAACGGTGGATGATGGGCGGTATGTATCCAGAGGCTTGCGTGGCACCAACTCATTAAGAGTGCTATTATGTGGCGATCCCTGATCCAATCCGGTCTGAATATTATGCTGGCGCACCTTTTCCAGATTGTTTGGATGCAACCATGACTCACGGCGACTGATATCCTGGCTATCCCTCCCATTTACTGCTCCAGGCGAGTTTCCTGCTGGTGCTAGTGGTTCACTAGGAATAACTCCGGTAAAAGATTCTCGTTCCTTGCCAGGAGTACCCACTTTGGAGCGAGACTGCGGTGTGTTAGGGCCACTTCCAATCGAGCTGGAGGGATTCCCGCTTTCTACGTTCTTATTTTTGGGTTTGATAACCAAACGCTTGGCATTGGGCTTGAGATTGAAGCCCTCCACAGTAGCATCGAACTCCTCGAGGCCATCAAAGAGCGATTTTCTATTTAAAGTACTGCCCAGGGCCTTCACCTTCACTGGAGCCGGACTGTCTTTAGTGGCAATCTTGTACTGGTTGTTGGTCATGTCTAGTACAGCCTGCTGGGCAGCTGGATTTGTGGCCCTGGTTGCATCTGACTCGTCGCTGTGCTTCAGATCCTTGAAAATGGGAGAATCTCCATACGGCGAAGTAACCCTGGCCAAGATCTGTTGATGTATGGGCTGATGCGAGGGCGTCATTATACCTATTGTTGGCTGAGCACCCATTAGACCTCCAGTTAATGTGTTATTAGTACCCATTCCAAAGCCGCCGCCAAGGGATCCTCCAACTCCTCCGAAATTACTAGTACCGCCTCCAAATAGTCCACCCGTTGGTGCAGCTCCTGTGCCACCCAAGGTTGTAGTTCCTCCTCCGAAAAGTCCTCCTGCTGGCTTGGCAGTATTCCCAAAAAGCGATCCGCCCGTGTTGCCTGCATTGAAATTAAGTGGTGCTGCGCTCGTAGCTCCAAATCCTCCGAATCCGGATGTTGCTGGCTTGTTCAATCCCGAGTTGAAAAGACCTCCTCCAGTTGTTGCTGTGCTGGTATTTAAACCAAAACTGGAAAACGGAGTGCTGGCCGTGGAGGTGGCTCCAAAAGCGGGGGCCGCGAAGCTGGTAGCTGGCTTGCTCCCAAAGAGTCCTCCACCTGCTGTACTTGTGGCCGGAGCTCCAAATCCAAAACCTGATGTGGCTGCTGGAGCAGCGGTGCCTAGCCCAAAGGCGGATTTATTTGGATCGGTGGCGGGTGGAGCTCCGAATAGTGAAGTCTGCTGCGTTGCACCGGCGGTGGTGCCAAAGCCGCCAAATCCGGTATTGGTCTGTCCGAAAGCAGGAGCTGCACTGGTCGCAGGGGCCTGTCCAAACAAGCTTCCTCCCTGACCAAAGGCGGGCTTGGCTCCAAACGGATTTGAGGCATCAGCAGCCGGAGCGGCAAATGGCGTGGTGGTCGCGGCACCAAAAGGTTTCTGTAGGAAGTTGTTTTGTTGGGCCGGAGCCCCAAACGCGCTGTTGGTTGCCGGTTGTTGTCCAAAGGTGGTGGTACCAAACATGCTCTTATTCTCGGTCACTGTTTGTCCAAACAAACCCGTACTTGGTTGCGCTGTGTTGCCAAATAATCCACCAGCTGCTGGCTGGGCAGGCTGGGCCACCTGAGTTCCGAATCCAAAGGCACCTGGAGCACTACCTGCCTGTGGACCCTTGCGCCCGCACATATAGTCTTCCAGGCGCAACTCCTCCAAGGATTTGCTCTCATACTCCTTCATGGCCGTGATGCAGTGCTGCTTTGTGTTCACACTATTGGGCTGGCCACTCTTCATCAGAGTATCGGTGCCGAGTGTCGGTTGGTACTTAACCACAGCGGTGCCCGTATTAACTCCAGTTGCCCCCACTGCGGCAGTCTGTGGTTGAGCAAAAGCCGAGGCGGTGCCGCTTCCAAAAACACTCGTGGTTGTCGGCGCCGCGGTTCCAAAGGACCCAAATCCCGTGGTGCTGGTAGCGGCAGCCGGTTGACCGAATAAAGAGCCAGTGGGCTGAGCAGCAGCCGTCTGTCCAAAGGCCGTCATCGCTGGCTTAGCGGCTCCAAAGGCGGGAAGTGTCGATTGACCAAAGAGGGAAGTGTTAGAAGCCGTCTGGGTGGATCCAAATATATTCGAAGTTTGCTGCGGTTGAGAAAAGGCTGCAAGGAAGGATGTAGCAACATAAGTAACAATAAACGACTTTAATTGATCGTTTCTAACCTCCAAATGCTGTGGGCTGAGCTGCGGCCGTGCTACCGAAGCCGGTAGACGTGTTCGCACCGAATAATCCTCCGGCAGGCTGAGCAGGCGTAGCTGTTGCACCAAATAACGATTGTTGGGCAGGCTGGGCGGCAAAAGTGGAGGTGTTTCCAAAGGCCGGAGCAGCCGGTTTCCCAAAAGTCGACTGCCCAAACGGAGTCGTTGTCGTGGTGCCACTAAAACCGCCAAAACTGGTGGCCGCCGGAGTGGTTCCGAAGCTGGGTTTTGCGCCACCAAACATGTTGCTCAATGCCGCTGTTCAGATAACACACATATACTTAATAGATCCCCTCCTTTGTCCTTCGTCCGAGTGTCAACGATCAAAATGACCAATTCTTTTATTTTACCACGTTGTGCAATCTGGGGCGGCGCAGCCTGTTGTGGACGTTGGGGGCTGCCCAGACTGTGCTTAGAACAAATAAACACTGGAAAATTTTGTCAAGTCTGCGAAAACAAAGCGAGTCGGGATGGTGAAATGGCGCGCCGTTTTTTCACGATGTTAGGAAAATGTAGACAGGAGTGTGACCGGAGCGCGGAAGCGCTAAGATAAAATACACTGCAACAAAGACGAATAATTTATTAGCTCTACTCAAATTTAAATTTATACAAAATAAATTCTTATTAAACAGTATTCTTAAAAGACATACAAGAAATTTGTTAAAGTATTACTTGCGTGCCAGAACGGTAATTATTTGTCCAGCAGTAACTTTTTGTAGCTTTAAAAACACTAAAAAACGGAAGGCATTTATGATTGGGAAGCTCTATGCCAAATAGCTACCAATCTGTACAGAATATCTTGACAAGAAAAATAAACTATTTGACATTTCTTAATAGTCATACACATACTGGACCACGATAGAGATATAATTATCATAAATAAAACGATATTTATACGGTATCAGTTTTTTTCACATCAACTTCAATCGGTGTGAACGCTGCATCACGTATCACGAAGTACTTTTTAAGTGTAAGTCGCGTATAAGTGCATATATGAATTTGGAGGGATTTTTTAGCGTCATCTGTTGTTTGTTGAGACCAAAAAATACAATGCTCATTCACAACAAACCAACGGTCGGAGCGTAACTTCTCGACCGGGAGCGCTAAAGAATTATTTTAATTAACTGTGAGCCGTACCCGCGAGTGTGTGTGCGTCGAATGCGTGTACATGTGCGGGAGTGTGAGCGGAGATAATTAGTTGAGCGGCAACTCCCAAATCGAGAACAAAACGAGCGAAAAACAACGCAAAATGCATTAGCGAACGACAATTGAATTGCGCGGAATGCAGGCTTTTGTGCAATAATTATTTCTGGCGATTTGTCGCAATTCGTTGAAATCTCTAGCGAAATTCGAAGCGATATGCTTATGTTGGCGGTGTGAAAACGAAATCGAAATTTCAACTACGTGTTGCTCATTTTCTGTTGTTTGCCTAATTTTGTGTCTTGTTGTTTTTATTTTCGCAAACGAAAGTCTACCGCTTTGCATGTGTGAGTGGTGATCGAGTGCGTGTGTGTTGGTGGTAAAAGTCGGCGCTGAAACAACACAACAACAAAAAGAAAAGCCTTCAAGATGAGTGTGTGGAGCGATTGCAATGCCAAACAGGCAGAATTCGGCATTGGTAAGTTGGAAATTTTGGCTATTAAAGCTATAAATTCACTGAAATATAGCTAGGCAAAAATGTTTAAACAAAGTGCTCTGTAAACAAATATAAAGGAAACGTTTATGAACTGTTGGAGCTCCTTTCCAGACCACCCTCTCTCTCTTATTTCACCGCATGTGTGTGCCTCCTGCTGCGTTGGTACGGTAAAACTTGTTGCACCTTCTCCCTTGCGCACACACCATTATCTGCTGTTGATCTTCTCTCCCTCTCTCTCTATTCGTCTGTAATTTCGTTTTTCTTTCCATTTCATCCTGCCCATTCAACACTAGCATACAATTCTGAGATTTGCTCTTGAAACGTAAACCTGTTTTCTATCATCTGTCCCGCTCCTCTCTCTATCCTGCTCTAACGTGCAACTGCATCACACTGGAAAAAAAACAATGATTGTACACAGAATGAAAATTAAATAGGATTAAATATTTTTAAAGATAGTATTAAATTTAAAACTTCTTATATGTACATATTTTAAAAAGTTTATGAAAAACAATTTATCTTAAATAAGAGACAAATGATTTTTGGCATATATGGAATTAGAAACCACTTTGATTTATTTTTCGACCTACCTATAGATGTAAAATGATGCTATAATTGGCAATGTTTAACAAATACTTTTAAAGTGAGCTAAACTTAAAAAAAAAAAATTAGTAGAGGAACTGAGAAATAGGTTTCGTTTTCCTTTCTGTGTACACTGTGAGACAAATCCCAATTCATTTGCAGTGACCATGAAATATCTAATCGCGAACCGTTTCGAGTACGTGTGAATTTTTTATGGCTCCCGCTTTGTTGACCTTTTCACCGCTGATCAATAGATACGACAGGTACCTAGGGTACAGGTACGATAGTTCAGGTAGACCGAGTGGAACTCTGGGAATCTCATTCGTTGGGAATCTCATTCGTTAACACTCGAATGGAGCTCCCCAGTGTTTGCACTTGTTATTTACACATGTTTGCCTTTGCCTCTGTCTCTGCCCTTTTTTGTTTGTTTGCGCGTGTACTAACTGTCGAAATCGTTGCGAGTACCCGATAATACCTTTGGGGCGTGGCCAGGTGGGCGGAGGTTGGTGGAATGGTGGTGAAATGTAATCAACTGCGATAATATTCGGAATATGGGGCGGTAGATAAGTTAGTCGTTGGCATTGAGGAGCGAATTTGGCCTTTGTAATGCGAAAATGCCTTACAGCATATACGAAATTCAAAAGAAGCTCTTTATCATAGACAGTTTGATGTATTCTTGTCTTATCGCTGGTTTTTCATTTTGTTTGCATACCCCATGTTCCTCAAAATGTTTTTAAATTCTAAACAAACGGCTGGCCCACATATTGTTAAATATTTCATAGTAAGGGATTTTCTTGGCAGCTCATCCATTTTGCGTTTTAAATTTTTCTAAAATATATTTGTAGCTAGTCAAAGGCGATAGCCATTGAGTAATCGCTTTATCACTTTATGGGGCTCAGTTATGTTATCGTTTATCGATGTGTGGCTGTGTTTGTGGGTGGCACTCAGCTAAATTTATTTCTGTTGAAGTGCGAGTGAGTGAGCCAGCTAAAGTTTAGTCCTCTGCCTCCTGCATAGCTGTAGTTGGAGCACACTCATTCGACATAAAAGATCGGATGCATATATGTATGTTTGTATGATGTGGTGTGGGATATAGCAACTCACTGCTCACTCATCCCCCATGCATAGTGGATTTTATTTAAAATAGAGTTCAGAAAATGTTTACTAAGAAACTAAAACTTATCTTTTAAAAGGAAAATTTAAATTAAAAAAATATTGAAAATTAAAAATATATTTATATATATATTGTATAACCAGTGTCTTATATATTGCTGTTTGTCCCACGGTACAACTCCTCTCTTTGACGATTTGTCTGTTCGTCGACCAAGTTAAAAGTTTGCCTGCGGTGACATCTTCACTTCATTGCTGCACTACTCCACTGTTCATTGCCTTTAGTTCGCGAGCACCTGCAGGGTGCACCTTTCCCCCTCAGACACTCGTTTTTATTTACTCACTCCACGCAGATGCATTCTACATCTAAATTTGAATAGCAAAAACAACAAGCGCGTTAATAATAAATGCAACAACATCGGATGAGGGGAAGAGCTCGGAAAGTAAACGTAAAACTTAATGAGGCCTAAGAGCAGTGAAAAGTGGTGGAGTCGAAACTCATCCAGGAAGAATACAGCGAGGGATGTGGTGGGGCAGACGGGGCCTAGTTGATTTGGTTTCTGATTTCAGAGTCTGGGTTTTCTCAATTTAATTAAAATTTTCCAGCTCGTTGGAGTTCGAGATGCATGAAATGCCTTTTGATTTGCATAATTTCAAAGGAAAGCCTTTTTTCCACTGCCATTTCCACACACCAAGTGAAAACTTAATCAAATTTGTAAGCGAGCCGAAAAGTTCTGCTCAGATTTCGAACTTAAATCAGAAATCTACAGTCCCTTAACAAAAAAAAGGTTAATTTTTTTATTCTTTTAAATTTATTTAAAAATGTGTAGTTTATTTATAAAAATTACACAAAAGAAACATGAACTGGCTTCCTCATTTGCAAACTTTTGGAAAAAAAATTTATTAAATAAACACTTTTTGGGGATAAAATTGCTTAGAAAAATTATTTTTTTTTGTTATTAAAGAACTAACTCTCTAATAAGAGTGTATCTTTGAAGTCTCGACTTTCATAATTTTGAAGATAAACAAGTTAATGTTACTCAACCGAATAAGTCTCTCCGGATCCTGTTATCATGTGGCAGATGCCCATACTCTGGGGCGGCTGCATAATTGTTTGCGTTGCTGACTCAGATCTGTGGACACTCATCCCTCGGACTTTACCCTCACTACAACTCCGGATAGTTGAGCAACCGCCCAAATGACTTGCACATCCACTTGGAATTCTGATTCCACTTGAATCGCCACCCTCGGAACTCTCCACTATTATAATGCTCTACCCCACCGCCAGCAAATCTCAGCTTTCCATTTCGCAATCTAAATGGAAACTCAATCGCTACAGCCATCCCGTATCGCAACTATACCATCCCCATTCTAATATTGCCAATGTCGGAGATTGTCGCATCTTTGGTTTCCCTTCTATGCTAATTGACCAACTGCAATCTTCGATTGCTCTCGGAAATTGCTTAATTAAACATAAATTGCCTGCCGCAAATGGCAGTTATGGGGATCGAATCCGATCGGAAAAAGTAGTTGGTTGGGGGAGCTTGCCGCGTCATTGGGGCATAGTGCGTCATCCGGTGTCAGTGGAAACTGGTTTCAGGCTGCTCAAGAAATGTGAGCCAATGTTACAAAGGTTACCAGTTTCCATTGAAATATTTTTCACAGAAGGGTTTTTACCTTTGATCGCGTTTAAACAAGCATTCAGAAGTCGTTAATTATATAATGTGTTTTAAAAAATAATGCATTTAGGTTGTCTTTTAATGTATACATAATCTGTAATGATTTTCAGACGTTTAGGATTTTTGTGGAAAATATAAGAAGATTAAAAGCTGTTGTTATTAAGATCTATAAATTTAAAGTACCACAAGCTATCGCTGCTCCATTTACTTCTAAAATATCTAAAATCTAAGAACAAGAACAAGGCCCATATTGAAATAATTATTTTGTGAAAACATTCAAGCAGTTAACCTTACTTGCTCGAAAAGTCATAAAACCAATTTTAGATTGTTTTTAAGTGATTTTCTCGGATGGCCCAAATGGGTCAAGTTTGTGTTTACATTTCCTCTTTTTGTCTTTTTGTTGCTCCGCAATTTTTTATGGCTCTGCTCCGTAATAATAACGTTCTTTTTTTTATCAACATTCTTTTTTGTTTGGATTCTAATTCTAATTTGTTTCTGGATACTTTTTATGACCGCAACGACATTAACCGTAACTGTCAACAGGCAAGAGGCTCGAAGCGGTTGTGCAAGTATTTTTATGAATTTATGTCCCATCAAATTTTATCTAGGAGTTTCAAGATGGAAGGGAATGTGTAGGGTATGTACAATGTACAATTTGGGGTTTAAGGTTTCCCGACGATATGCTTGTGGAATAATTACTTTTTGCCAAGCCCAAAAATATGTAGCGAAAAGAGGGGAGGGGCATATTTACCAGAAGATAAAGTTGTATATAATATAAATTGATTTGGTTTATCGGTAATGGAATATTCTATTTATAAAAGATATTTGTTCTATATTAAGTAAACGATATTTTGTTTGGCTAGTTGGACGTAAAGCTATCTTTCTGAGAAAGATATAATCACTTTGATTGTATTGCAATGAATCCGATATAATTAATTCACAATATCTAATTATAAATTCCTCCCAACATCTTCAATTAGCCGCATATGTATCTGTCCTGCTTTTGAAAATATTCAAAGTAAACAATAGAACAACTCCCACCGTACACCACTCCCCCAATATATTCTCTAAACATGAGTGCTGAGTTTTTTGTATCCATAGTAATCTCACCTCTGCCCGTTCCAGAGATCTTCTCCGCCACTTGTAATTAGTCAATGCCAGAGCATCTTAACCAACGAGAATCATTATAATTAACCCTCAAAACAGTTCCCCAGGCTTTGGGCAATTAAAAATATATATATATACATATATATAGGAAAATGTATATATATAGAAAACGCTTTAGGGGCTTAGCTCATAAAAGCTCGTACTTGGATATTTATACTCGAAAGCCTCGCGCGTTAGAGAGCGCCAAACAAAAATCCACTTCTATAGAGGAACGCAAAAACAAAATGCCTAAATGTGTAGAGAGAATTTGCATATGTGTATGATCATATATAGCCATAAAGAATCTTCTCTGAGCCGCGTGCTATTTAAGCCAGAGATTTTCAAATGAGCCAAGTTGAGGCTGACGTTGTCACATTGTTGTAGTTTTCGTTAAACTCTTTTTTTTTTACTGTCCAGTCACCAGTCACGACGCCAACTTCGACACCAACTGATGACGAAGCGCCTCAGTGCGGTTTATTTAAAATACATATTCACGTTGGTTTATGGACTGCGATTTATTATTGTTTTGGCTTTTGCTTTTATCTAGCTTTTAGCAAACTATAAACTGTTAGGGGGCTTTGGTTGGACGGAGAAAAAGGCACACTTTGTTCACTTGCGCTGGGGGGCTCTTCAACATCTCCCTTTTCCAGGTGCAGCTGCATCCGTTGGAGCTCTACACGGGGCAAAAATGGGGTTATAATTCAGCTGTATATCTTTTTTAATTAACAGAAATCTCATTTATTTTTTATTTTAAAAAGGGATTGCCCCTTAAATGAGGAGTCAAATCAAAAAGTATTTTCCTCCATTTATTTAATGTAGAAATAAAAAGCCTGGAAACTGTAGCTATTTTGTTTATTTTACCTGACTGCCTGCCAGCCTGTTGAGTGCTGACTGTTTTCAGTATTCTGGTTTCTATATTGGTCCGAACCCTTTTTCCTTCTCACTGCTATTCAGCCGTGACTCCCCTTCCACCGATCTCTGGATATTTATAGCCCAACAACTTGTGCATTTCATTATTTATGTATGATTGTTTCCGTTAGTCAACAAGTTTGTCGCTGCAGCCGGGAGAAAAGGTTCTTGGGATAGGCTTTGTTTTCCTTATCGGCAAACCATGGAGGAAAGGAAATGGTTTTCAATTTAATAACTTTTTCGATCGTTCTTGAACTCAACCCTCTCAGGGCTTTTTAGTTCTGGGTTCTGGGGCTTTTAAAACAAGGTGTGCCGTTTCCCTGTGACTGATTGCTTGACCGCAGCGGGAACGTTGGCGTAGGCGACGACGTCGAATGATGATGATTCATTGCCATTTCCGAGTATTTATTTTACTTGCGCATAAGTAGCTTTCCGAAGTGAAAAGAAATGAATTCTCTTTAATCACGCTGCGCATTGGATATTAAAAATAAATCCAATCAATTTGATAAGTTCTTAATGCGTAGATCTATATTTATGCATTTCTTGGGAAACTTTCCCAGCTGGGAAAGCTTCTCGGTAGAGGCTCGCTCAACTGGTTTCCGCAATTGACCCAGTCCCACTCCAAGTTAACTTTCCACGCAATTGGACAGTCGAAATAAAATGCAAAACGCAAAAAAAGTAACATATAAAACCAACTCACATGTACAAATGAGGATGAGATAATAGGAGTTTGAAATTAATATTTAATTTAATTAAATAAAATTCTTAATTCATGTTTTAGTTCTTATTTTGTACATTAGTAATTTACTAATGGGTTAAATCAGAGATCTTTTTACAAGGGTTGATAAAAATAAATATATGTTATATATATTTAGACGTGTTATTATAATATCTGAAAAATTAGGCTTTAGTTTGATAAATCTAACTGTTTTTACCATATCAATTTATATATTTTTGGGTTTCTGTGAAAGGGGGCTTTAAAGCTATTATTTTGACCCATGTTGTGTGGGACCACAAAAGTTGCGGCAATGAATACCTTTTGCGAATTGTTGCCGCTGTCGCTCTTAATGTGCTGTGGAGGTCGTTCTCGCTTGTTATGCTTTCCATCGAGATCGGGCAGCGCGAACATCGCGAGCATCGGTCATTGGACCGTATCTCATGCCTCTGCCGCACCGGTGCTCCCCTTCTGTTACGCAGTCGCCATCGGCACTTCCACCATCGTCATCACCACCACGACCAGTCCCAGTCTCAGTCCCAGTCCCAGCACCACTATTACCACCATCATCGGCAACAACACCACGACTACCACCCGGAGCGTGCCACGCGAAGGCGGCTCAACTTGGATTTTGTATCTTTTGTGCTTGACTGCGGCGCTGGGGATAAGAGTATTTTTTATACGGGGGTGCACATTTGTGTGCTCAACTATATATACTATATATACTCGTATGCTGTTGCCTATATCTGAGACTTGCACTATCAGGCAAGAAGGAAGTTGGTTGGCGACGATGGAGACGCGCTGGTTATTTCCCATTCTGTCTCTTGCCATGAAAACAGAAAGCATTACTCCGAAGGGAGTGTAAATAATGGGTTTTAATGCGATGATTTGATTAAACTTTAAGCAGCTATGTTCACTCCAGTGAAAATGTATTGCATGTTGTAATCATTTGCTAAATATTTATTACACCTAATTAGCTGTGAGCTTAATTTCCTTTTTCTCACCTTTAAAAACTAGTAAAGCAGAATGCTAATTCTGTAGTAGCATTCTTATTAAATTTCGCAAAAGGCAAATTTCTAGGAGGAATAAACTATTCCCATATATTTTTTCTTGACCAATCCAATCCATTAGATGTGCGACTTATTCTAAAACTAGACCATCTTATCAAAAAACAGAAGCGGATTCCGGGATGCCAAGTTACATTTCCGACTTCTTGGTGCGATATCGGTTTTCGTATCCAATGCAAGTGCGTCATTTGCAGTTCCCGTCAGACATCCAAAGTCTTATCGTCAGTCGGGTTTCGAGGAAGTTGCCTAAAGCGAGATTAAGCTTTTTATGTTAGATCTCACGTATGAAATGTATTTGTGGCACAAGTGGTTAGAAAAAAGGGGATTCTCGCGGGTGATTCGGTGGGTTTATCAAATATCCCATCCGCTTGGGTGCACAGATAGCGACAACCCAGTTTCCGATGATCAGCAGCCCGTCCCCCTTATGATGATGAAATGGGCTAATTGATAACCTTCCGCTCCCGTTGATTCGCGTTGATTTCGCTGTGATTTCGCTCAGTTCGCCGTGGCTGACAAGTGGAAAAGGTGCTCTAAGCCTAAGCTCCCCAAACATCCGAATTTTATTTGTCATTTTTGTACTAATTTTATAATATGTTCTCCTTCCAGCTAAGTGCAATTTCGACCAGGAGACGAAGCCACATCGTCTCAATCTGGATGTTGGCGATGCGGTGATAATCCTAAAGGAGACCACCCACTGGTACTACGGTTACAGGCAAAAGTGAGTAGTTATGTAACAACTGAGTTTATTTAACAATGATTGACAAAAAACTAGAACAGCTTTTTGATGAGTTAAACTTGGAAGTTTTTAGAAATCGAAAACTTATTTAAAATAATGTTTCCTTCCTCTAATCACCTTTGCAAGTCACAAGATTTCATTACTTTTCTTGTTAGTTATGCACTGCTATTATTTTGATCGGTATAGCTTGTCTAATCAAACAATCTGCTAGATCTTTTCCCCGGACTTTCACTGCAATCTCGTTTGTCTAATGCATATGCATGAGCTTGTTGGGAAACATCTCAGACATTAGCGGACAAAAAACGAGGAGCCAGCAGACAATCGACAGACGGTAAACTAAAAAGAAACAGCAGCAGCAGCCAAAGTTCAGAAGCGGAAATGCTTGAAAAGATATTTCACAGGCAGAGTGAAGAAATCGTAAATCAGGTACACAAGCGCCGCCCATTTGGTTGGGCCTTTGTTTACTCCTCAAGATGTGCCTGGATTGGGTATACCCGTTCCGAGGAAATCTGTGCCAGCGTTCTTGCCCGCCCTGAACGCTCCTTCATCCTTAACTCACATCGAACAGATGCCACCATGTGGCTGCCAAAGTTGCATGCCACATCCGTTGAGAAGATAAAGTTTTCTTTTCCCATCCCACCATTCAATATTTATACATGGTTTTTGACCCTTTCTTTTTGCTGCCGTTTGGTTTTCTGTTTTATTTGTATCTCTTTGGGTTTTTATCTGGGAGACGGCTGACCATGTCTTATCAAGAAAAACTGAGGAAAACAAGAAGAACGCCATCCGAATTGACGGACCGGAGCTGACCTTTTTCCATATTTTCTGCTGACCCAAACAACAACCCCATCCCAAGTGGAACCAGAGATTCCGGGGAGCCAGACATCTCGGATGGTAGAATAAATACAACGAGCAGCAAAGAAAGTAAATAAATAAAAGCACGAATTCTCCGATCACAGTGAGGAACGCTTAAGGGAAACCATTTCAAGACCAGAACGGGTGACGTTAATTTGTCTTAATTGCGTTGAATATATCCCAGACTTTACTGTTGACTTATCTCCCGGCAATAAAAAGAAATTCAAGGCGAGACACGACACTCGATATGCTGATAACCTTTCTGGCCCGAATTTCTGTTTGTTTTCGGGCTCTGTCGTTTGCCCTCATCAAATGCCTATTTTTATTTATAGAAAATTATTAATTTTAATTGTGAATTTTCTCACGATTTTAAAGCGTAAATGTTGGAAAATTACGAGGCTTTCAGTCTGGGTAACAAAATCAATTGGAAATGGTTAATCAATTTGAAGGTTAGACTGGCAGTGGAGAGATACCTGAACCGCAAAAACGTTGATGTAGAACTATGACCGGGGTTCAGGGACCCCAGAAGGGGGCAGTTCGGGGAAGTGGGCTGCTGATTCTATAAGTGATGAATGCCTCGAGCAATTAAAGCGGCCACCCCGCATGTCAAGCGGCGAATTGAGCCAAATTAAAGCATTCCATTTCATCCGACAGTGTCACACTTTGAGCGTACTTCCTCTGCAGACTGCCAGACACTGAAAAATATATGTATATCAAAGTTTTATAATGACGATTTTAGAACTGAATACTAAGGGACTTATTTTTAGCCTTTTCAAGTTAGTTATTTAATACGAAAAATAAGATTTAAGTCATTGGATTTCTTAATATTCCACATGACTCCGTTTCCCCAAGTGCAGGCCTTTCAGCTGTTCAAGTTCCCCTATCGCTTGGCTTGGGGTTGGGTAATTCATCAGGCGCAATGGCTGTTGAATTGTGTCATATATGTAAATATGAAGTGTCTACAGTGGAGCATAGTTCTGAGGCTTGGTTCTTCACTTAACAGTTAGGGGGAACCACAAATGGAGCTTTTACTGTGACGTTTGTAAAGCACGGAGTGGCAATTTGTTCTTTTTTGTTGCATCCCATGTGCATGCCACATTTTAATGACTCCCCCTCTTCGTTCATTTCCATATTATTGCAGAGCCAAGGAAACACGCGGCATATTTCCCAAGAGTTATATACATTTATGCGAATATAATATCGTGAATGGGGAGTTTTGCATCCAGCGTACGGATATTGTCGAGGAGATCACAAAAGTCCTCCTCGAGTGGGGCTCCATAGCCAAGAATTATTTTCTGGTGAGTTGTAATTTTATTAATAAACATAATCCAGTTTTAATCTTCGTATCTTTTTAATTACAGACCACAAATCCTAGCTTTCCGAAAATTCGCCGCAAAATGAACGAACTAAATAATAATCGAGCGGCCCTGATCTCCGGCAATCTTCCTTTGGATGAAGTGCGAAAGGTTAAGCTGCTGGCCACCAACCAGATCGATACTGGCAACAAGCTTCTCGGTCTGGACATGGTGGTGCGAGATGAGAGCGGCGACATCTTGGACACCAATGCCATCTGCACCACCGAGCTCTACGAGCAGCATATGCACGCCGTTCAGCGCATCGACAAGGCCAATGTGAGTATTGCAATGGCAAAACTATATATGTCAGCTATAAATTCAAGTTCAAGTCGTTAAAGAAATTTCAAAATCTGTTTGTTTTCTTAATTTTTCTTTGGGGCTGCAAAAGTTATTTATAGAACTAGTTGTTTGATCACACATTAAGTATGTATGAAAACTAAAGGAATTCCCCGAGTTGTGGTTTTTGCTGTTTTCAAAAATATGTATCATCAAGTGTGTCAACGTTGAGTTGAATACTATGCACTTGATAAGAAGCTTCTAACAATTTATTTTTAAAAACAATTATGATTCATGTGATATTTGATTTTCAAACCTTGTTAGTTGTTTAAACTCGAAAGGACAAATAAAAATGAAAATAACTTACCTGTATTCATACCATTTCAGCGGCTGTCCAGCGAGCGAGGAACTACACGAACTCCCGCCAAGTATTCGCACAACATCCTCCTACACGTAAACGCCTTCGTTTGCAAGTTCCAGGAGGACTCTGACCTGCTCTTCACGCTTTTCGATGGTGAAACGCACAAACCCATCAGCGAAAACTATGTGGTCAAGTGGTCACGAACAGGTATCGCGCGGGATATTGACCAGATCGACAACAATCGTGTGCTGTTCACGGATCTTAGTAAAAGCGATCTGGCCATTCCCAAAATGTACCTGGTATGCTATGCCATTCGCATCGGTTCTATGGAGTTCAAGGATTCTGCGGAGTCGAAGCGGACCAGCATGAGCATTGCTAATAGTATGCTCAATGCCTCGAGTCGGAAGGCCTCCCAGTTATCGGTGAGCTCCAGTGGATCGTCAAGTAGCAATGGGGAATACATTATCCGGCGACCGTTTGGAGTGGCCTGCAAGGACCTGACTCCTTTCATCAACAAATTGGACGACTTTCGCGGTAACATAGACCTGCCTTTTATCATGTGCGAAAAGGACACGCTGGATGGTACGCTAAGGAAGCTTATTGTCAACAAGGATATCGGCAAGATTGACTCCAAGATGGCTGTCACCATCGAGGTGTTACGCGGCGACATTAAGCAGATTAAGGAAGAATTTCCCAGACTGATGCATACAAATGTGCCGGTGGCCCGCAAGATGGGATTCCCAGAAGTTATATTACCCGGCGATGTGCGAAATGATCTTTACCTAACGATCTGCAGTGGAGAGTTTGCCCGCATCGCCAAAACTTCCGAGAAGAACGTGGAGGTATCGGTGTGTGTGGCCAATGAGCAAGGATACCTGATGCCCGGCGTGCTAAGCATAGGAGCTGGACATCAACCGATTGACGAGTACAAGTCGGTGGTGTATTACCATGATGATAAACCCAAATGGCAGGAAACTTTTAAGATCCACGTACCCATTGAGGATTTTAAGCAGTGTCACCTGCGATTTGTGCTGAAGCATCGCAGTAGTAACGAGCAGAAGGATCGCACTGAGAAGCCCTTTGGCTTGTCTTATGTGCGTCTGATGCAGGCCAATGGGACGACCATCACACAGGGTCAACACATCTTGGCTGTCTACAAAATCGACCACAAGAAATATGACAAGACGGTGGCCAATTCTTATTTGGAGCTTCCATCCACGGTTGCCGAGCTGCAGGGTGCAAAGCCCTCCATCAGTGGACTCACTTTACTGCCAAAGGATCAGCTCTCCATTGGGGTCAATCTATGCAGTACCAAGCTCACGCAGAGCGGTAAGAATGTCTTAAATTATAAACTTTATTAAATGACTTTAATGAATGTCTTTACTTACAGTAAGCTTGCTGGGTCTTCTTAATTGGTCGGCCCACAAGGAGACGCTGGAACAGTCCCTTAACGCCTTGTCCACTGTACCCGGAGAGGAGGTGGTGAAATTCCTGCAGGATATTCTGGATGCCCTGTTCAATATACTCGTGGAAAATGATCATCCCGAGAAATACGATCAGCTCGTCTTTATGAGCATTATACATCTGATTGAGACTGTGTCTGATCTCAAATACCAACACTTCCTCACCGTTCTCGATGTGTACATTAATGAGAGCTTCTCATTTACCCTAGCCTATACGTAAGCTATATATATATATATATATATATATATATTATGATTTAATGATTACTAATTACTGTTTTCAATGCTTAGCAAACTAATGGATGTGCTGCAGAAAAACATTAGTGATGCGATCACTCCAAAAGAAAAGTCTGCCGATGGCAATGATCTTGAGGAGAGCGTCGAGGTGCGGCGTCTGTACAAGACCACTCGTTACCTTCACTACGTTATGAAGTTCGTGATACGATCGCGTGTGCTCTATGCCGAGATGAACTGCAACACGGACTATTTGGACTTTGCCACCCGGTTGCAGGAACTGCTGCGGATGTTCATCGACATGATTGGCTGTCCGAGCAATCTGCTTAAGTCCGAGGGAGCACTGCTCAAGAATCTGCATATTATAGCCACGGATCTGATGCAGGTCTTCGATCAAGTTCGATTGAGGTGGGTTTGAAGTTGAGATTTACTTCATTTCGGAAACTAATTAGTATTTCTTTCGTATCATAGCGTTTCCATTGTGGAGATCCTTGAGAAATTCCCACCGCGACGGCTCACTCAGTCCAAGATGGGCTGCATCAAGGACTTTGTGGAGACGAAGCTTTTCACGCTGCCCAAGTGTCGGGCCATCTTGTTACCAGTGTTCTGCAAGCACATCAAAGATCATCTCGAGAGCAAGGAGGAGGTAAGTGCTTGAGCAATAACCACAATGCGTGTGCCACTAATTTATCATGTTGGGAACTGCATTTTGTTCTTAATCCAATGCATCGTCCTTGAAATTTGTCTTGTGAATGCACCGACAAGTCGCAAAATTAAAACATAACCCAACACATGATCAAGTCAAGTCAGCTACGAAAGTCACTAACTTAAAACAAACGTTTCAAATAATTTTCCACACATAAATGGCTTTAATATATCTAAAGTTGCTTAATATAAAAACCAACCATTAGGGATGCATTTAACTTTTAACTTAAACAAATAAATGTATTAAATCAATTCCATACATATAATTCCATAAAATACATAAGGTTATTAAATACCTCGGCGATTATCTGTGAAAAGTATTTCATTCTTGACATGTGACTTGTCTTGTCTTAATTTTGCTCAGTTCTAGTTCGAATTATTTAGTAACTATTTTAAGAGTCTAATTCTTGCAAGCTATGTTTAGTTAGTGTTAAGCATGTTGCATTTGCTTATTTTTAATAAGAACGTTTAGCATGTTAATTGGCAGTTTGAAGTGATTTATAGACTGTTATGCTGTGTCCTAGTTTTAGATCAATGTTTTGTTCACGTCCTAGTGTTAAGCACCATACATGGTAAACGATTGCATAATGTAGTGAATTAGCCATGATTTGTTCACAATAGAGATCCATGTTAGCTAGCGATATTCCTTTGTGTGTGTGTCTATAAAGCGAGATTACCTTTTTGTATCTACCACGGGGCGTAGCGAACTCATTTAAATGTTGTGTAAACATTTCACCGACGTGTTTAGTTTGGCCATTATTATTGCACCCGCTCACCGTCATCGTCATAGTTAGAAAGCAATTTGCATTTGGCAGCTCATCAAAGCACATACTACTCGTATAAAAACAAATCACATCAACCACCTGGGAACAGTAAACACACACCTCAATTACACACACACACCGAACACACCCACCCAAACAATTATGAATGCGCGATCTGAACTCGCTGGCACCTAATTATTCAGCTATATATCTATCTGTCTGTATCCTCTTCTCTAATTCCATTATCATTAAATGTTTATTTCGTATAATATTTCAAAAACCAAAAAAAAAAAAACGAATCTTTATTCACGCACAACCCAACCGATGTGTTGTTATTGTTTCTCTGTCGTTGCCACCGCAATTGCCTTGTACAAAAAAACATATAGGGAGACTCGAAAACCGATATCTGGCAGCAAGAAAAGAATCTTTCGAAAGCAGCCAAAGTGCTTGGACAGAAAAAATCCCAACTGCACACATGTGATACGACTGCCAACAAAAAGGTAAAGGAACTAAGTCTCTCTCATCCTTAAAACTCTCAGGTCAGGTCAGCTCAAGGTCAGCATCAACACCTCCTTGATTTGTTATCCTCTTCCGCTACGTTATTATTATGTTATCATTTAAGATCTTTTTGTTTTGCCGTTAAGCTTGCATCAGCTTTGCAAGCTTCATTCTGTTGATGGCTGGAAAATCATGAATATGCTTTCCGAAACTCCTTGATTTTCCTGCCATAGACTACTGCTAAGTTAAGCTTAAGTTGTTCCAGCTTTTTGCAATGCAATGTTAAATGGTTACGTGTTTTTTTATACCTGCAACGTTTCTATGTTAATTTTAATTAAATTAAACACTAACGTTAACTTTATCCTATGAAGTCCAGTCAGAAAGTCAAAAGAGCACATAACAGCTCTCGAAGCAAGAAGTTTTGACCCCAAAGTCCAGTGTTTGTTTACAATTTTAGACGATTTGGTAATAATGCTCTATGATCTCACTAAAAACTTACCAAATGATCTGAGATTGAAAGCAATAACTCGACTTACCAAACCCTTAAGTACTCCTTACTCCATTTCCATCAATTCCTCATTTAATATGTACATTTTCGTCGTTAGATTGCCGAGTGCATCAACATTATGAACAACATACTGAAACTTCTGTTCCGGTCGGACGTAGGCTCCACGCACAATGACATTCGGGATATTATGATCATCCTGTTCCGCACCGTGATGAAGGCAGCTCACGCCTTGGATAGGGATACGGGATTGGTGGGCAAGTTCTTTGCCATTATGCTGGGAATCCTCCAGCGCATGGATGCCCATCATTATGAGTACTTTGTGAAGGATTTGCATCAGCGAGGAGAGCTTAAGCACTTTGTCATAGAAATTCTTTTGGTCTTTGAGGAGCTGGTGTCTCCGCATCAGAAGGCAGTGTTCCCGCGGGATTGGATGGATATGATAATGCACCAGAATACTGTGATCCTGGGAGCTCTGAAGCATTTGACTGTGGTGATCACGGACTACTTCCTGTGTCCATTTGAGAAACAGATTTGGTCGAACTTCTTTCAGTGTTCCATTGCCTTTTTGGTACAGTCTCCCCTGCAGTTAAATGATTTCAATGATAATAAGCGGCAAATCGTTTTTGCTCGGTATCGTGACATCCGCAAGGACACGGCCATGGAGATCAGGAAGATGTGGTTCCAGCTGGGACAGCACAAGCCCAAGTTTGTACCCCAGTTGGTGGAGCCCATACTGGAAATGAGCATGATACCGGAGAAAGAGCTGCGCCAGGAGACCATTCCCATCTTCTTCGACATGATGCAGTGCGAGTACTACAGCTCCCGGCTGGAGCAGGAGAGCTATGGCGACACCAAGTTCAATAATGCCAATTACAAGGCAAATTTCTCGGACTTCAAGACAGCGATGATTGAGAAGCTAGACATCCTGATTGGTGCTGGCAAAGGCGATGCCGAATATAAGATTCTCTTCGAGACAATCATGATGGAGCGCTGTGCTGCCCATAACACTCTTAATGTGGACGGCACTGCCTTTGTGCAGATGGTCACCCGGCTGATGGACAAGCTACTGGAGTACCGCTTTATTATACAGGACGAGAGCAAGGAGAATCGCATGGCTTGCACGTTCTCTCTGCTGCAGTTCTACTCGGAGGTGGACCTCAAGGAGATGTACATCCGCTATGTCTACAAACTGTGCGCTCTCCATATGGAGTTTGAGAACTACACTGAGGCGGCTTTCACCCTTAAGCTCCACACTGAACTGCTGCGCTGGACGGACACGGAACTGTCCCATCAGCTGCGCAGCTTCCGGCACAGTAACTGCCGTACACACCGCCAGCTTAAGGAGGCACTCTACTTCGAGATCATGGAGTACTTTGACAAGGGCAAGCAATGGGAGTGCGCCATCGATATGTGCAGGGTGCTGGCTCGGCAATACGAGGAGGAGATCTTCGACTACCTCAAGCTGGCGGAACTTTTGAATCGCATGGCCATGTTCTATGAGAAGATCATCAAGGAACTGCGACACAATTCCGAGTATTTCCGAGTGTGCTTCTATGGCCGAGGCTTTCCGCGGTTTCTACAGAATCGCGTCTACATCTTCCGTGGCAAGGAGTACGAGCGACACAGTGACTTCTGTGCTCGAATGCTAGTACAGCATCCTCAGGCGGAGCTCATGCAAACGTTGGAGGCACCAGGCGAAGACATCACCATGAGCGATGGGCAGTACATCCAGGTGAACAAGGTGGAGCCGATAATGGGCCAGGCATTCACCAAGTTCAACGATAAAATCATCAACAACGAAATCGTCAAATACTTTACGGCAAACAACGTTCAGAAGTTCCAGTTTTCTCGCCCCTTCCGGGACAGCATGAGTGGCGGTGACAGGGATGATGTACGGAATCTTTGGCTGGAACGTACTGAACTACTTATACGCTTTCCGCTGCCGGGAATTCTGCGCTGGTTCCCAGTCATCGATACCAACACTTTCAAGATATCGCCCTTGGAGCGAGCGGTGGAAATTATGAAGGACACTAATCGGGACATTCGACAGCTTGTGATCCTCCATAAGAGTGACGAGAGTCTGCACATTAATCCTCTGAGCATGAAACTTAATGGCATTGTGGATCCGGCGGTGATGGGTGGCTTCGCCAAGTATGAGGAGGCCTTCCTTACCGAGGAATATCTAGAGCAGAATCCGGAAGACAAGGAGTTGGTAGAAGAGCTGAAGGAGCTGATTGCCAATCAGATTCCACTGCTGGATTTGGGTAAGTTGTTCAGTCGCAGAAAAGGTTATAAAATATTAATACCTTTTTCCCCATTCAGCTATCCAACTCCATCGAATGCGAGCGCCGGAAAGTCTGAAGGCACTGCAGGAACACCTGGAAAGCTGCTTCGCCGACATGCAGACGCACGTGGAGTTGCGTTACGGTCGCAAGTCCTGTGACCTGAAAATTGAACGAGATACGGTGGTAATGCGACGGCCGAACTCATTCCTGCCTCCTCTTTTCGATGGTAGCAATAATCGGCACTCCGAAACCAGCATGGGATCCTCAGAGTATGTAGTAATGGTTTTCTACTTTTGATAAGAGACTAATTCATTTCAATCGCCTTTTGCAGTAGCGGCCTGTCGAAGTCAACTTTTCTGCCACGGCCACAGACCAATTCCATTAAGAACCCATTTTCCGGTCTCAGTTTCAACACTAGGTGAGTGCCTTTCATGAGTTTTTTTGGAATGCTAGTCCTAACCTGAAATCTTCTAACTCTTTCTCCATGCTAACCGCTGGCATTTAGTTTGAGACTCTAACATTATTTTGATTTGGTTTAATTTCTAAATTGCTTTTTGATTTATTTTTGTTTAATTAATTACGTTATGTTGCTTATCATCTACGCTTATCTTGCCTATGCCATCATGTGCAGACCTAGTTTGGGACATTCGCCCAGCATTAAAAGCAACAAGAGCAAGGATAAGACTCCGGGCAAACGAAGAAATAAGGATGGAAAAGTAAAGGTAAGCAGTTGGAGAAATCTTATCATAAAACTCTTAATAATAATAACCTAATCTCACAGGAGCGTGAAGTCCATAGCATGTCCAGCAGTCAGTGGTACACACCGCCCTTGTCCACCATAACATCGACGCCAGAGAAGGAGATCAACACGTCTATTGCTTCGCTAGCCAGTACTTCTAATAGCTCTCTGAGTGGTCCTAAGACCCCAGATCCTCATGTTCTTACAGAGGAGGTAATTTTAATCAAATTAAATGTCCTAACAAAACCTAATCCTTGGAATTGATTTTTAACAGCTAACACCCAAGCGACCTCTGCGTTCGGAAATGGAGAAAGAACGTCGACTCTCTCGTCCTGCCAGCATTGCCACTCCCACAGCCACTATCAAGAACTTCCCCGACACACGATCTCTGTCCGAAAGCAGCAATCGCAATTCTGTTGGTATGTAAACTATTACCAAATAATGTTAAAGAAATATTATAAACTTGTATTTAAATGCAGAAACCACGGATTCTACTTCGGAGGAGGATATTCGACCGCCACCATTGCCAGCTAAGGCGCGGGACTCTACGGATTTCACGAGCTTGTCGCAGAACATGGATTGGACACCGAATGGTTATGCGATGCTCAGCACCATTACTAACAGTAGCATTAGCAGCATGAGCACGACCTCGACCCTGACGAAGACCAGTATTAGCAATACCACGTACGAGTATTTGGAGACCACGAACTACAGTTTGGTGGGTGCCGTCGATGGAAACAAACCGCGTCCGCCGACGCCGCCACCGAAGCCATCGCGCCACAGCAAACACATTCCATAGGGTAGCTAGAGAAGGGCGAGTTATATCCCCAAAAAGCTTCCAGTGCAGCGCCATAAATGTTCAAAAGTTGTCGAGTGCCAAATATTCCTGTTACTATATGTATAGCCGGCAATCGAGCCTGTAACTGCAGCCACAAAAAACAAAACCGCAACGACCTTTGCCTCAACCTAAACGACCGCCTACCAAATCAAGTGTCTTAAAAAACGATCGCATTAGCATGTAATATTCAGATTTCCGATAACTATGTTTAAGTGTTTGATTACGTTTAAATGGTATTATGTTGAACATGTCATTTTCGTTTAGTTATAGATTTCGTCTTGTAATTTGTTTCTTAACATACCCAACTGCTTGTCTTCCACAAGTACCAATTGATGTTGTACACATATGTGTTGTACCTTAGATTACCTACGACTAGATTTAAGCTTAAATCAGCAATTCGAAGAACTTTGTACGTCTCTTATGCAAACAAGTGCCACAGTCTATATGCAATAGTAATTAACATACACAAACCCCACGACCATATCTTCGATTTTACGAAACTGGAAAATGGTTTTAGCACAATTTTACTAAACAAGTCAATTACGAAATACGAAAACGAAATTTTGTATGCTACAATTTTAAAACATTTTTTGAAGAATGCATAACTATATACACTGTTTTTATACGATTCCGTATAGCCATAAAGTAGAGCGATTTAGATATAAGGCTTATATAAATATTATATATGAAAAACTGACACTGAGACCATACCGCACACTTATACTACCATAAGTTTAAATATTTAATTTTAGCCAAAATCGTTGTTTAATTTTGTTCAAATGGATTCTGTGTAATTTTCGATCTGTGTATCGGCCAAAGATTAAGCAATAATAAAATATAATTAAGCATGTAAATAATTTTGACATCATCTATGGGATAAACCTTTTAATTTATTTGGTTAAAAACATTTATTCAAGATAATTTTTTGAGGGTTTGTTAGTAAAACGAGAAACCTGTTGAAATGAACACATTGATCAGGCCGGGTCAAAGTTTGTTATAAATTAATATTGTCAAGTAAATAATATGTTGGATAAATAAGCTTTGTATAAAGCAGATCCACCATGAAAGAGGGTCTTATGTTTAGTAAATTGTAAAATGGCTTCAGTTTCATCCTTGAAAAGGCACACAATAATACGGTTTGAAAATGCACGGAATGTTCGTTGTTCAGGGACAGCTGGGTCCTGAGATTTGAGACCAAAGTGTAAGAGAGTGGGTGAGAAATTTGTGGCAGGAACGGTTATTAAATATCAACTCCACGGGTCGAATGCAGGTCCACGCATATTTTGGAATTGCGATTCTGCTTCTGACTTATCTCTAGTACTTGGAACATCTCCTTGAGGGCCTCGCTGGTGCCCGTCTTTCGGCGATTGCGTCTCCGCAGGGTCACGCCTCCCGACTTGAACTCACGCATTAGAGCGTCAAGACCTGAAAACAAACAAAGGTAAAACGCAATGAGACCTAGGCTTTGTTTCGGATTTACAATAAGACGCTACTAAAGCTTAACGAACATGCGGTTAGCTGTTAGGGTGACAAAACCATGGCCCCATGGAGCAAGCAATACTCACCGTCGTAATCAAGTAAGCCTGGGACTTTAAGGGACCTTTAGGTAGGTGGCAATTGGACATAAATCACTGTGAATACCAAAACGGGTTGATCTGAGCACCATGTCGGGCAGTCAGCAACTGTCACCGGCGGACAAATGAAGCTAGAGACCCCGGTACAAGTCAATGGAAAAATACAGTCTGCCCCCCGCTCCTGCCCAAAATGTGTAAGGGTGTATGTGTATGTTTACAGTTTGGGGGTGTTCAAGAGCGTACAGGAGTGGCAGGAGCAAGAAAAGTGGCGCAATAAAACACGGAAATATAAAACGCACAAATAATAATAATAAGCCATGGCCGGCCGACCAGTAACAACAATGCGGCTTGCGGTTCTGGAACGGTGCTATAGCTATGGCCCTTCCTCGTAAAAATAATAAATTGCGTCCTCTCCACCATCGTCATCATCGTCGTTGAATTTGATACGGTCCTGGTTTGACAGTTTTGGGAGGAGAAGTGGGGGCTAGGAGCCAACATAAAGCTGCAAGGCAAGCGTAAAATATAGCAAAAATGCCAGAGCTTCGTTTAAAGCCAAAAATTCAGGAAGGTTTCCTCCTTGGGTTGCCGGGGCAAGGAAGCCAGGCAAAAGCCTTTTTTCTCCAATTCTCTGGAACGGAACGGAACCTCGGCACAACACGGGCGAAACTTAAATCAAATTTAAGTTTTCAATGTATTGCATGAAACCGGAAATGGCACTCAAAGACGCAGAGAGCTTTACTGACGGGACAGGATATTGACAAATGTGTGCTGGAATTTCCGCTACTTCTGTTTCGCTCCCACTACCAACTCCCAACTCCCACTACTAAAAGACAATTCGTTTAAACCGTGCTCTAGCGCACACACATAAGCCCGTAGATTCGGCAACAGGGCAGGTCATGGAGGTCGGGCCTCCGTAGAAAGTGAAGCTGGTAGTATCAGGTATCTGGTGGCCATGGCAGCCACACCAACAATGGCAGCAACTTGTTGTTATGTATACACACGACACACAGCCTGGCTTGGACAATATCAGCATTTCCATTCGCCTCGCCTCGCTTCGCTCCACCTCGTTCCGGTGTGGAACGCTTCATTTGTTTTTGCCTCCACGCCGAGCAGGACGACGAGCTTGACTTGACGAGTGCGGCCAGGACACGAGCAGCGCCTGATGCCTAGCCGTAAAGCTGATGTACGCCTGGCTGGCAGCTCAAACGCTTCACGTGCCTCAAGAGACGCGCGCGCGTTCTCCGCTCCACTCCGCTCGTAAAGTGCTTCACAGTTGCATACAACCAAGTTCCCTTCATATATATATATCTGAATATATATCCGAATATATAAATCGTCACATTCGTGGCTGCGTTTTCATGGCTTCTAACAATAAGCGCGTTGATTGATTTTGATTTGAATGTGCGCTCGTTACGCATACGACTCGTGGTGCGCGCCAAAAAGTAGGCAAGTGAAATGAAACCAGCGCCAAAACAAAACGGAAACGGAAGTGCTTAGTGAGAGTGTGCAGTGTCAGTAAAAGGTAGGGGAGTATGTGAGCTAAGCATGGCCATGACATTGCTGGCTTGATCTGAAGATTGTACCCTCCAAGTAAGTGGACAAACGAAGGATTACTTTCAATCATTAAGAATAGTCTTTATCCTTTAATATACTGTAATAACCTGTAGCTGAATATTAAAGACTAGCTCCTGGATCAATACTTTATATATATATATATATATGTAGACACATGTTTGCCAAAGGTATATATGTATATTTATGTGTATAATGTAATCATGCATTTCCTGCCTTGCTGCACACACGCACAAAAGGTTCCGCAACAATGTACACGGGTATATTTACAATTTGATGCGGGCGTATGAGTTGATTTCATTTTCATTGAGCTTATCAAGCAGCCAGCCCTGACATGTGCAGGCGGATGATTTCTCTATTCACAATCTACTGATTTAAAGTAGATTGTGCGTGTGTGTGTTTGATAGGCCAGCAATCGAAATAGGTTCGTCTTTCTCAAGTATTTCGCACAATTGTTTCATCGCAATAAAAGCGAAAATTAAACGGCAAAGATGGCCCACAAGTGCAATGGCAAAGTAAACACCTCGCCTTCGACGAGGTTCATGCTTATATACAGTTCGTTTACCTCGGCTTCGCTTTGTGTGCCAATATATATATGTACTATATATATTATGAAATGATGACAAAAAGACAAGCAATCAGTAAATCCAACGATTCAGCGGGGTAAAATTCCAAACCTAATTAAGTTTCCACTAGCTTTTCATTCGGACTGAAGGCATGACAAAATCGAGTATTCGAAAGTCAATTGAATTTATTTACAATGATGTTGTTATGGCAAGTGCGACATATAATTAAAGCTTTTGTGGCAGTTATATCTTAAACATAAAAGAGAGAGAAATCTATTGAGAATGGTTTTTGATATCTGATATCAGTATGTGCTAACTTTAATGAAACGTTCAGAAATATTCATAAAGTTCAATTCGATCCATCCAACCGATAAAGCAGAGCAACCTGCACCTTGTGCCAATAATTCCTATTGATAGCATTTCTGTCCAGGGCATCACTAACCGCTCCCTCCATGCCTGACCCTCTCAAAAAGCTGCTCGCAAACTTAATTAAGAAGTTGCTGCTGCAGCAGTCGACAGTCAATGGCAAAAGTGGAGGAGGCGATGGAGAAGGAGGTGGAAAGCCATCTAGTGAAAGCCTGCATTGAGCCGTAAAAGAAGCCGACGTGTAGGTAAAATCAATTACAATCGCAGACGGGTTGCTGTGTTGCGTGAACTGGGGGTGTAGAAGAGGAGGAGGAGGTCTCCCCAGGAAGAAGGATGAGTGGCGGATGGCGTAACTGACAATTGACAGCAACAAGTTGGGCCCTTCAACCAGATCTCCAGGACACGGCGACAATGGCAGGCACTTGTCAACGCACGGCTGGCAGGGATTAGCCGCAGACACATGGCTGGTAACATGAGTGGGTTTTTGGGGGAAAAGGAAACCTTCCGATGACAGCTTTTTTTCAGGCCAATTTCCCGAATTCAGACTCACAATGCAGGCAAACTAATCTGCTCAAATCGATTCAGGCCAATGAAACGCTCCGAACATTCAAGTATTCCCAAAGTCTATTCAACTTGTGCATAGTTTGTTATACCCATGGGTCCCAAGAAGTTCATCTGCTACCCGAGCTCCTTGAGAGGCAAATATTTCCAACAATGGTCAAAAGTTGCTGCAGAGCAGCTTGGAAACTTTATTAAATTTCTAACCCTTATGAAAGGTCCCTAAAGTACAAAATGAATAAAGGTTGACCAAGGATTAAGTCCGGAAAGCGTAAGACCAAGAAGGACGAAAGGAAACGTGTTTTGGGGTCATCAATGGGGCATTGACACTTAAACCCAGCCACTGGAACACACAGACATACACCAGCTCCATGCTCCATGCTAACTGGACCACTGGAAGGTATTTTGATTCTGGCTTGGATTTACATACCTGTTGCTGCCTCGGCCTGTACCTGATGCTTCACATTGTCGATGATCTTGTCGCCGCTGCCCTTGCGCAAGCTATGTCCGGCAATGTGGTCACTCAAGCTACTGCCACCGCCAGATGCCACCAATCCTGCGGGAGGAAAAAGTTTTCCCGGCATTGGAGGTGGTGGCGGTGGAGGAGGAGGTGGTGGCGGAGCAGCCAGTGACTTTTGCTCGGACTGCTGGTAGCGCGCCAATTGCTCCTCGGCATGATCAGCCCGCATCACTGCCTCGCGCAGCTGTTCCTCTAGTATCTCCAACTTAAGTTGTAATTTTTTTAGTTCATCGTTAGTAGTTTTGGCTATTGCCGCATCCATTAGATTTTGCTACAAATGCAAGAAAGAAGAACAAGGGTAGAACGGGGCGGGCGAGAGCAGGAGCAGGAAGAGATTAGGGGTTGGGTGATTTTTTGGGCAAAAGAAAATTAGTAGATCTATTAAAGCATATCTGGGGGCAGGTTAGTGCATCGAAAGCCTGGGGATTGTGAGTGGGGGGAAAAGCGGCGCACGGCAAGCTAGTTGCTTACGTGTCTCGGTGTTGGTATTTTGGTTGAGGAGAGAATAGAGGTGAGCTGACCCGACACCAAGATTAGGGAAACAACAACACGCCCAGCTGGCCACATTCTGTGCATTTCTCAGATCGTATTATATGTACAACTACATTCGGGGAATAGCGCCTTTACCAGCTGATCTTGTTGTCGTTTAGTTGCTTTTGAAGATACTCGAGAACGGCTTGAAAATGTCAAACACGCTGCGTGTTTGCTAATGGATTGACAGATGGACAGAATAGATAGTTTGATAGCCATAGACGACCAAGTGCAAAATAAAATCAAAATAACCAGAACTTAACACTAACCATTTCTACGATGCGCTCGTTGTGCTCCCTGGCCTGCAGCTGCACCTGGTCCTGGATCTGCTCGAACTCCACCTGTTCGTTTAGCACGCTAGATGAGGTACTAGTTCTTGATCCCGGCTGTCCATCCGTCAAGTCGCGTGTTTGCGCTGTAAGCTCATCATTTCGCTGCTTTAACTTGATCAGAGCCGCTTCCATTCTGTTGGAATAAAAATTTGATTTAACTTTAGGTTTGTTTTTGTCAAATATTAAACCCACTTTTGGCTAGTTTCCACACTCTCCTTCATGTTCTCCGTCAGCAACTTGGCTACTTTGGTCAAGTTAGTGTTCTCAGTACGCAGAGCTTCATTTTCCTCCTCCATTGCGTGTTGCTATTTTAGGAATAACAGAAGAAGTACACATTAAGATAGTGAATAAGTCGTTAAGTAAAAGCTACACTTAATTAATTTAGTTGATTTCCGATCATTTCATCTTACCTGCTCCAACAACTCAGCCATCTTTTCATTGGCCTCGTACAACTGGAGCTCCACGGCATTGGTGGTATTTTTGAGAGTCAAAAACTCATCAGCCAGACGTTCTACAAGACCACTAGTGATGGGTACACCTTCCGAATTGACATCAACCAGACTGTCGAGCTCTTGAGTGGTGATACTGTCCGCGCTGTCTGCACTGCCCGACTGCAGGATCTTGAAAAGCTTTCGCTTAAGTTCCACGGATCCAAAAACTGGACGGGGACCAAGTTGAGGGGTCTGATCCTGCTGCTTTTCCCGAATATGTTCCAGCTCGCTTGTGAGACTGCATTGTATAGAGATTGTATAATAAGAATCTTTCTTAGGTGAAGATTTGTTAACATACTTGTGGATCTGGTCGACCTTCATTTTGTGCAGCTTGTCCAGAGCATTTCTTTCATTGAGAGCCTTGTTAAACTTTGAACTGAGCTCCTTGATTTGAGCCTCGAAATTGGTCTGCTGCTGCTGCAGTGACTCTAGGGCCCCACACATTTTGTCGTGCTGAGACTGCTGTTCCTCCTGTGTGGTTTTATCTGTAAGAATTTTAATTAATATAAGTAATTAAATAGGTTTTGAAATGGTAAACTTACGTGTTTCGATCTCCAGCTTCAGAGCCTTGTTCTCCTCCCTGAGTGCAATGTTATCCTCCAACAGAGTGAACATATCGTGCTCCGGGTCTTGCTCATTATAGTCTGGCTCCCTCACGCGACTGCGACTGCGTGTCTTGGCCTCTTGGGTACGGAACTTCGCCACCGGTATGCGTCCTCGTCGCTCCATCTTCAAAGAGATTTATTGCCTGGCAAAAGGATTAAAATATTTGTATATTTAGTAACTGATTAATAAGAAATATAACTTAAACTTTGCTTACGTTTTGCCTAAAAGCCAAATCCATTACCACTTATGCTAAGCAATGCAAATGGAACTTAATATTGCCATCACCAAATGATGAGAATGTGTTTGTTGGGTGTGGTGGATGCGGTTGTTTGAGTGTGATGTATTGGAGTAAATGGGGGAATGAAGGTGTGTGCTGCATGCCTTGAAGGTGACGCTTATAGCTCCTGAAGGATGGGGCCCACATTGAAACGCCTTGGAGTTTTACTTTTCGATTTTATTATTTGCTGTTTACAATTTCTTCTTGATTTCTGTTTAATCTTGCCTTGCCCGCCCCCTTTTTCTCCTTTCCTCTGTCACCCTATTTTTGCCCTTAGGTGCCACATATGTGTGTGCTTCTGCTGGGTTTTTGTGTTGTATATATTATTCGCTTGGATTTCAGCTGTGTTTGCTCTCTCCTCAATCTTCTGCTTCGACTGCTAAAAATGCAGGACACACCAGTTCTTCGACTTGGTTCAATTTTTACCAGAAGTTGGCCGAAAGCATTTGGAATGCCTGCCGAAAATTGCTAAGAAACTAGTTAAAGTGCCACGCCCACTGCTCGATTTAAGCTTACAAATGGTTTAGCTTGGCTTTAGAAATATTTTTCTTGATGTTAGTGCAGAAGCGTTTCATTTACCTCCTTTGCTTGGGTTTTCTTTTCTTTTTTTGTTTTTGTTTTTCACAATTCTTAACTATTTTAATTTAACTGTATTTTTGAATTGGTTTTTATGGTTTTTCTTTTGTTTCTTTTGCTAATTACTTATGCGTACAATTTCCTTCGCTTTTGCCGTAAATCAATTTCATATTTTGTCACTTGTAGTGTAAAAATAAAAAAACCTAAAGTTTATACACAAAACTTTCGAGTTTGGTACAACTCATTTCTTTTTCTTTCTTTGCTACTTTTGTTAGTTGCCTCGTTTTAAATATTTTATATATAAATTTGTTGAGATTGAGTTGCTTTTGTTTGTTAATTTAGTTTTTTGTTTTTGTTTTCATTCAATTTTATAAAAATAACTAATTAAAGGCGGCTTAGAGCTCTTTGTTTTTGCTTTTTTCTTTCGTTATTTCTTGTGTATGCTTCTATGCTTGATTAGTTCTTTTTTTATATTTCTTTTGTTTTTTTCTTTCAATTTGGTTTAAATAGCTATATAATGTTTTTATATATTTTCGAAATTAATATTAGTGTATTTTTTCTTTCCTTTTTACAGCTAATTTTAAGATTTATCTTTGGATAATCATGCTTTGTGTGCTAAATACTTTACATGTCTTTACGAATTTTATAATTTACATTTCTTTTAGTATACATACGTATAATTTTTTATAAATAAATATTGGTATAATTTATATTTATATATATATATATATATATGTATATATATTATTTTAAATATACGTGAAAACTCTGAGTCGAACAAGAAGCCTCAGAATTGAGATTGGAAATACAGATCTGTTAGGAAGAGAGGGGTTAATTTTTTTTGTATATGCTTTGAGACGCTCGCAATGAAAATACATAAATAATTACTGATGTAATTGTTTATAATAAATCAAATATTAAAAAAAAAAAAAAAAACGAATTCATAAAGCTTTGTACTGAAAGGTAAAATAAACAAAAATTCGTTTAAGGTCTAGAAAAGTATGCTAAGCTACGCAGCTAGTTCTATAAATGATGTCCGCATTAATTTAAATGATTAACGAAATACTGTGGGTTTACGAAAGCGAATAGTCCATATGTAAATGTACATAAATATATATTTATATACCCAGCTTTTATTGGGTAACGCATTGTCAGAATTTGAAACTTGAAAATTTTTTTCGACATCCGAGATTCTGTTATACATAGTTTTTTAATTTTTTCTTCATTTTTTTTTCTTTTTTATTCTTGTTATACGAGTAATGTGTAAATATGTTTATCTTTGTGTTGGTTTATGACCAAGTCATAGAATGGAAATCATTTTTGCTTTCTTTTAAGGAACGTGTTGTGATACAAATGAAATGGATACTGTCTTGACAGGTTGTATGGTTCACAAAGGGAATCTGTGTTTTAAAACAAAGAATTTTCGTTTTGACAGATCTATTCATCTTACAACAAATAAAGGTGTTAGGACGACACTTGGCATCAGCCACCCACACTGTGTTGTTGCAAGCAATTTTTTTTTTCTTGACTGATCGTTCGATTTATGTTCTTGACTCGACACTTTCGACAGCGCCTAGTATGCTGTTGTTTGTTTCAGTTAGTGATTCATAGTTTTCTTCGTTGTGGTTTTTTGTTTGGTTGCAATCGGTTGGTTTTACTTCGTCTACATCTCCTCGATGAATCCACGCAGCTTGTCGATGAATGGGCGTCGGTAGGCCGACGAATGGGCAATCTCTAGCTTATACCACTTGTCGAATGACTCCTTGGGGATCACCTCGCTCTCGTACAACACACTGAATGTGCTGCAGATGGTCTCGCCAGCGGCCATCTCGTCCTCAAACTCGGTCATAAAGTGCTGCTGTAGAGAATCCACGGCCTCGTCTATGCAAGCGATCTCCAGCGCCTCCTGGGCGTCGATGCAGAGTCTGAGCAGTGGTGTGCACCGGCTGCGGAAGCTTTCCGTGTTCAGCTGCTGCGGCCTTCTGTTACCGCCGCTTTTGTTGTTATGGGTATTTGTCATCACAGTCAGCGCGAAATCACAGCACAGGAATCTAGTGAGCTGCCTCACAAAGTTGTCATTGATGGCAACGTTGGTGTTAATGTAGTCGATGGCCATGTCGCAAGACAGTGCCAACAGGTATCTAATCCGTTCTACATGCTCCACTGGCGACCGCGGGGTGGTCGGCGTCTTCGCTTTAGCGTTTCCCTGACCCTGACCGGGTCCGTTGTCCAGAAAATAAAAACTATGCGACTGCACAAACTCCTTATACTTGCGCACATCATTCCAGAACAATTGACCTCGATCCAGCTTATAGTCGTTGTGCCACAGCTTGCGAGCATATGCGGCTCCAAACTCCTGCACGAAATAGCTGACGAAAGCATACACGAAGCGTTCCGTGAAGATCAAGTCATCCAACCAACGCCTCTGCCACACATCCTTTAGATCTAGCTTTCCAGAGTGTATGATGGGACCCAGGAACTCGAACACATAACCCCAGCCATTTGGCACGTCCACCAGCAAATCAGGGAAGTCGTCGCTGAACCGAGAGTAGGCCTGTCCAAAGATCTCCTTGTCAACCGCTTCTTTTTCCATAAGGTAAGCAAAGACGTTTCCACTGGCCTGACGATGCTGGCGCTTAACCGTCGTCTTATGAAGATAGTCCATTAGAAGGTAGTGCAGAGCCTTCGATTGCTGTGGACCGCTGTGCGAACGCCAAATGGTCAGCACCTCCGATTGCCAGTCGCGCGTATTTAAAGCCTCCTCGACCATTAATTCAATGAGTTCTTGGCACTGCTTACCATCGAATCCGGCATCTGCTGAATGTTCCGTATGGCTCCTGTTAGTACCCGCAGTCGGTACGGATGAGGCCAAAGGTGGTGAAGGCTGCTGATACGGTGAAAATCTATAATTTTGGCCCGGACGTTTCAACAAAGATGTAGGCGGGGCCACATTGGTTGTGTTTACTGTCGATGTGTTGACCGGACGGTTGTCGGAATTGCGCCACTGATAGTGCGAAGAATTGCCTAGTTTCGCAAGTGAATCGTCGCTAGTGCTGCTGCTGCTGAAGCGCAGCTTGCTGGGATCAATGCTAAGTGTCTGGTTCTCGTGGTGCTGCTTATTGGGCATCTTCTGCATGAAGTAGTTTCCGCCATCGTGACCGTGTTGGTGATGCTTTTGTTGCTGGTGATGCATTGATTGCTGGTGCTGATTCATTCCACCGCCGCTACGTCCTCCGCCACTGCTGTGATGTGACTGATCTTTGGAGTCGTCGTGTTGCTTGTGTCGCTGACCTCTTCCACCTTGCTGTCCTGATGACTGATGGGTGGACGGCTGATCCCAGTTTCGCAATCTCAAGTCCAACACGTCCTGCATCATAAAGCGTACGCGACTGCTGATCTTGATTTGTATTTGCCCGCGGTGCGACGTTCCCCGACATCGGTTTATGATGTCCTGAATGCGGCGGAATATCTTTTCATTTCGATCTCTTAGCTGATACTGCTCAGGTTGGCAAGCCTCCAGTAAATGGCCCACTGTTGTTAGCAATTTGCACATATACTCTAGCTTTTCCTCGCATCCATGCTCGAGCAGTGACTCCACACAGTTGAGTACTCGATCGCTGGTCAGCGACTGTAGTTTAAACAGCTCACCAATGAAACGAACGGTGCCCCAGGCACGTCGTCGGAACTGATACTCCAGGTCCTCCATTTCGGCGCGCAGTTCGGCCTTTCTTGCCGGGTCAGAGCACTGGTTCATTCGTTCCATCGTAGGCTGCAGTTTCTTCGCCTTCGCATTCGCATCGTTTACATTTGATTCGAATTCGTGCTGAATTCGCGTGATCAGCGAGCTGGTAAAAAGTGACTTGTTTTCGGCCTTAATTTCGTGGAAAAGCACCTTGCAGAAGCGGGCATATGTGGGCGCAAAGTTCGGCTCACTAATGGTCTTTTCAAAGATTAGCAACATAACCTAAAAAAATATTTTGGTTGTTAACAAGAGTTGGATAATAATAATCGTTAAAGCAAGTCAGCTTACGTTTGTCATTTTCGCTTCATTGTCCATCTTGATGCTGGACATCTCCTTGAGCAGCACCTCAAAGTTATCGGGCGTAAGTTTGTTGAGAATACCACGCACCTTTTTCAGCACTCCCTCGACGTCGTCCTCATCCTGGCCACCGGCCATGGATGTGCGCCGTAACGTACCTGGCTGCCAAGCATTTTCGCATTCAGATAGCTTGATCTCCTCTTTAAGCGATAACTGCACCCGGATGATGTCCATGTGACGCTGATTCGAGTTGATTCCACCGCCACCTCCCACGTTGCCCATGCCACCGGAACCGCCCATCTGCTGATGCCCATCGTGATGCTTCTTGTTGGGTCCGTGGCCACGCCCACGCTTTCCGGGAACATAATCCATAGATTCGTTAAAGCTCATATGTTGATACTGCTGGATGTGCTGGCCGTGCCCATGGCCATGATGTTGCTGCGGTTGCTGTTGGCGGGAAACGAACAGCTGAGAGATGCAATCGCCCTTCTGGCACGGCACAAGCGGGGGCTTAAGCGAGTCGCTTCGCTTGGAAAGCTCACGTAATGTTTCGATGCTATAGCGATAGTTTTTGGGGACCTGAAGACTGGGACTTGGGCTTGGGCTGGGACTGGGACTCTTCGATTTGGGTACTTTTTGCTGACTGGCTTTAGGTGAACCCGGTCCCTTTCCGGATGACTGATGTATTGGAGAGGTCTCTTTGCTTCCTGCGCTCTTTTCTAAAGAAATTGGTACGTGAACTTTAGGAGCACAATCCACATTATCCGCACTCCTGCTGCTCTGCGAGGAGTCATCTTCCGCTGCCTTGCTAATAGTCGAACTCGACCATGTGGAGCTGCATATGAAACCTGTATCGTGACGTGCATCATCTTGGAAGTCCCCAAACTTGATTTCCATATCTGCATTCTCATCTGTTCTGTCAACGGCTTTAGAACCCACTGGAACTGGCTCATCTTCCTCGCAAACTGAGCTGCTGCTGTTGAGGAACTGCAGCTGATGCGTGTCGGAAGCGGCCGATGTATTGGGGCTGACCGTCTGCAGAAACTTGGCTACAATCTCTTCGTTGGCTAAATGCTTCTCCGACTTTCCCACAGGAATATTCGATACGCTGTCCTCCTTGCTGTCAGCTGCAGAAGAAACCAATTAATTAAGTATTTTATTTATTTAATTTTAAAGCTTTAAATAATTTAAAAAGTATTTGTTACTCACATTCTAAATCGCTGTCTGCCTCTGCGTCGACGTCACCCTCATCGTCATTGTTGTTGTTGTTACTAGTCAGCTGCTCCTTCGAATTGAGCATAGAGTTGTCTCTTAGAGTAGAACTTACGTTAGGATTATTACTAGTTGCACTAAGCTTATCAGTCATCGGTTGCGCCGTCGCCTTGTCATCGACAGTCGTGGTTCCTTGGTTGGTTGCTGGTCTTGCCGTAGGTGTTAGAGTGGTTGGTGATGTTGTGTTCACTGTGGCAGCATTATTGTTGTTTGTGTTGATCTCTGGCGCGCCGTTGCCATTGCCCTTGCCATTGTTGTTCTGCCCTTGGCTGCTTGTGGTAGTTGTTATCGAGGATTTTTGCTTTTTCTTCTCCAGCTCTTTGGCCCGTTTTTGGGCCTTGCGCTGCTTTTTGGTGGAGCTGGTGGTATTTGTGATGTTGGTGTTGCCTGCGAGCAGTGTAACGGCGGCCGAAATGCGGGGAGTAGCCGGTAAGGCTGCAGTTGAGAGTTTTCCTGGAATCTGCTTCCCCTGCTGTTGTCTTGATGCGTGTGTCGGCGTGGAGGCTGCCGACGACGAGGCCCCCGAGCTGGTCGTGGTCGAGGTGGTGGCCGGGACACTTGACTTTCTGTTGGGTGAGCCTGATGTTGGCTTTGCTGGGGCTGGAACAGCTGTGGTCGCAATTGACTTTGTTGGCTTCTGTTGGGCGACACGTGAAGCTGGTGGCGGTGTCGAAGGACCCGATGGTGTCAGCATCGGCTGGCCTCTGGACAGGATAGATATGCCTGGGGAACCGCTGGCCGCTGCCTCAGCTACGTCATTCGCTATAGATGTAGGTGTAGCTGTGCCTGTTGAGCAAAGAAATTAGTCGATTAGAAATAAGGTAAATGATTAAAAAGCTAAGACTTACTTTGCTTGTTAGCCGATTTGGGGCGCTGTTTCTTGGCTTGCTCTTGAAACAGAACGGGCTGATGACCCGCGTTAATGGCTTCGGGTAGTTTTAATTCTGTATGTACTGGCTGCAGTCTATCGTGGGTCTCCGTGACATTGTCCACTACAAAACGTATTATTAGACTTGGACACTAAAGGAATGGCGAACTTCGGCTAGCCGAAAGCGTTACATACCCTATGGCGGGTTTGTATTTGAAATCGATTTGTTTACAGTTTCGGTCTATATTTTGTTTTGACAAAAAAAATCAATTCAATCTAAGTGTCACTTTTAAGTGTCACAATATCTGACTGTTTATAAAAATCGGATAAAACAAGTTACTGGGATTATTTTCTTTATACAAATGTACGGAAATAAGTCCGCGACTGCATTGGTTTCATCAAAACTGGTGGGAAAGTTTTGCTACGTAAATAGCTAGGACTAACTCACCGTCACTGCACTGCCAGAAACTTAGATGTTCATCGGTGTTCCCTGAGTGGGCCAGAATGTCCTTAACAATAACGCTGATTTGATCCTTATCCATGGGACCGGGCGAAGGGGGCGGTCCGATTTCCTGACCCACAGAATCCTCGCCAAACACCATACCACCTTCCTTCTCCAATGAACCAGATTGACTAAGAGATGCCGCCGTCTTTGCAGTCTGCATCTCCTGATCCACCATTACGCCCGATAGAAGCGACGACGCCGATGCGGAGTCCATGAGGATGGGCCCCTGGTAGATGCTATGCATGGTACTATCGGAATCAAGTCCCATGTTCGGTGTTAGCGTAGAGTTTGAATCTTTTTTATTAAACACTGAGCTTTTCGGATTCATAACGTCCTCATAGGTGTCAGGGTGGATGATAGGAATTGCGTATTTTCGCTGGTTGGCCTTGTCGTTCTTGGCCACCACTTGTTGGGATGAAGCTACTGGCGGTGTTGGGAGAGAGGTCGTTGAGAAACCTGCCACCGCCGGCACTCCTGTCACACTTGGTACATTTGGCAATGTTGTTGCGCTGCTGCTCTGTAGGTGCGGCGCGAAGTTGTGTAGTCCGCCAGGAGCTTGGGGTGGAGGGGCCGTCATCGCAGCTGGAGCCAATATGGGGGCTGGTGTCATCCCGGCTGGTGGTGCCAAAGCCAATCCGGGCATAAAGTTGTGCTGCAGATGAAAAGCAGCAGCTCCATTCAGGGCACCGTTACGAGAATTCATCATGGGTGTCACCGTTGCCTGAGCAGGTCGCGGGGCGTTTCCCGGTGGCATAGCATATGTGGTAAAGAAGTTGGGATGCTGGGGAGTTGTCGATGTCCTCTGGCCGCCACGGATATTACCCCGATGCGAGTTGCCTCCACTAACAACATTATTCCCGCCAGTAGTTTGTGGCGTGGGCCCCAGGTAGTAAGTAATCGTCGGAGTTTGTCCAGCCCCCGTTGCACCGCCAGGTCCAGTTTGTTGATTGTTCGGGGGAAAGGTCACCGCCGACGGCATGCCCATCAGCTGAGCGGTTTGATTAAAGGGTAAATAGGTCGCAGTGATGTAGGGGGCACCAGCACCGGGACCAACATGCCCTACGTTATGTGAATGTGCCAGCGGGTTGTTGTGTAGTCCTATAACGCCTAGATTCTGCCGACCTCCGTTAAGGCTAGGATTCTGCTGCATCTCTCCCGGAGTATTGCTATGAACTCCCATAACACTCATATTCTGCCGTCCTCCGAGGTTGGTGGGTGCCATCAGGCCAGCTGATTGCGAGAAGTGGGGCGGTAGGGTTGGGTTACTTAGCGCCCGGGTTAGGTTGGCCCCAGGAGCCACGCCATTGGCACCACCATGATGGCCACCACTGATGGGATGCCCCAACGAATTGCTGCTGGCATTGTTGTTGACCGCCGGAGTGTGGGCGGCGTAGGACGGTTGGGGATAAAAGATGACCGGCTGGTGGTGCGCCTGGACCTGGGCCTGGGCTTGCGCTTGCTGCTGCTGTTGTTGCTGCTGCAGTATCTGCTGCTGCTGTTGCTGCTGGTGGAGGTGATGGTGATGCGAGTGCGCCGTCTGGTGGTGCTGGGCTTGGTGGTTGTGGTTCTGTTGATGTGTTGACTGTGGCCTAGTTCCCTTCCCACCCCCTCCCTGTTGTGGGTACATAGGAGGACCTTCGGAGGATCTGCACACGCACTCAATCGCACGGTCACACGCACAGGCACACACGGAGAGTTAAGAAAACCACGGCCGGAACAAAACAGATGTACAAATCGTAATGTTAGTAAGATGGAAATGGAAGTGAAAATGGAGATGGCGATGTGGGAAATGCTTGGGGTATTATATTTCAAGTCAAAGCCGTGAAATTTATGCTTATGAGAACCGGTGAGAATGGGTGAAAAAGCAACCAAAAAGGGACATGCAAATCATGTGTTCAAAACTTATTTCTAAGGGCTCCATACTACAGGAATGCACTCCCTTCTACACCGCTTTTTTCTCTCAGTTTCTCACTTAATTGAGCTCTTCAATTGGAATATAGAGTACGATGATGTCACTCGTGGGGCGTGTATAGTATCCAAAATCGCCTTATCGCCGCGTTTATCAATAGAAAAGTCACTAGCGGAACCCGAATTACTTGCGAATGGATGACACACAGTAACAAGTGGCGTTATTAGTCAGTGTTGGCCTCAAAGACGGAACAAGACAAAGGCAGCCACAAAGAGGCAGCAGCCAGCTGGTGTGGGAGGTGAGCGATGGTCCGCTGTTGGGTGTATTAGCACAACCAGTTTGGCATACCGTCAGCACTTTCCTCAGCACAGTGGACGCAGCCAAAACTGGATCACTTGAAACTGATTACTATAGGATTTTGATTGAAATCGACCATATTGCATTTCATTGCTTTTTGGTTAAGCAAATTTAAATCAACTACAAAACAATGCTGATCGATAAGAATATGAATGAAAATCGCATCATCATTTCTGTAGCTGAAGTACAACTGATCAGTTGCAAAGTGGTTATTGGGGCGGACATTTAAGATAGGCCTTTTTAAATACTATTCATGTTCTTATTGCATAACATTTTGGGAGAAAAACAAAAATGTTGTAAACATTGTCGGCATCTTACATTAATGAGGTTTGTGTTTTGACATAAAGATAAGATTCAATTTTGTATCTTATTAGCCAGTTTTCACTGTGCTGTGCCCATTGCAGCTTTGTGCTGGCCTAGAAAAACCAACTCCGATGCAGTTTAAGGCCAAGCACCTCAAAGACAGGAGAAAACCTGTTTTCCAGCCAGAGAAGAAGCTTTCGGTGCAAACCGAGTTTAAAGCCTCATTTCACTCGATGGCGAGGAAAACGAAAACTGAACTGCCAGAAAGGTTCACTTTTTTCTCGTTTGTTTGTAAACAAAACCAGTTGGACCAATGTGTGGGTGATGCTCTAATTGGAATTGCTGATTGGGAGTGCATTCGTATTGGAGACTGTGTACGGCAAGGTGTGCATTAAAATCAGAAATTAATAACTAAAGCAAATTATTTACACAAATAGTAAAAGTTAAATGTATGATAGGTTTTAAGTAGAAAACTTACCGCTTCCTGTACTCCTGTTGTCCTTGGGAACTCCACTCCTTTGGAAGATGTGGTGTTTTGACTTGTTTACGGTTTATCCTTATGTCAATAATGATGCTACTGCAGTGTTTCGCGTCAAGATCCTACTTGGGATCTGAGTTCGTGTCTAGCTATTGCTTGACTCCTGGTCAAGCCCTACACCTCTTTGTCCTGTGCCTTACTTGCTACTCCGCTGGCTTTTAGCTTTCTCTCTTCTCGTGGATACTCCTCGTCGTCGTATTGGTTTGCTGTATCCGGAATACACCGATATCTCAGATATTCCATGTATAAAAATACGCGAGTTCTACGATGCACATGCACAACCACATTTGTGCAGACGGACGAGGGGCACGTACACGTACATACGTACAAAAATATACAAAATAACGTACGGCTAGTGCTAAAATTTCACGGTAATTTGTTCTGTAATTAGGCGTTAGAGAAAGAGATAAAAACGTATGCTTAAATTTTGCATTTACATGGAATTACAATTTGATTACAATTCTATGAACTCCCGAGCGGCGCCTGCTACGATTTTATTCCCTCTCCTTGTCCAACTGAGCAGCCTCAGCCCCAGATTGAGAATGAAAAATGGGCAGGTATTTCGTATTTTGAGTGTGCTGGCAAAGGGTTCTAGTTTTTCAGCTTTTCGGTTTCCAGTTATCAATTTTCCTGCGAAGGCGAGGCGTTGGTTGTTTTTTTGTTATATTTGCCGTTTCGCCTTTTGCAGTTCGCTTTTTTGCGCTCTCTTTCTGTCTCTGTCTGGCTGTCGGTACTTACCGCTCCACTCCTCTCCTCACTCGCTTATGCCCTCTCGCTCTTGCACAGCTAACACACAAAACTGAGGAAAGGAAACAAAAAAAATGCAGTTCCACGCGGGGAACACGCTAAAAAGTTGCACTGGCACTTTGCCTTTACATCAGTGCATCGTCTGCTACACCTCGTTATGTATACGCGACTCACTATCTGTTACAAATAATTTTGTAAATGTAAATAGTTTGCAGAAACACGTCCGTCCCGTTTGATGAAATCAGAGTGACCATAATAGGTAGAGGTGGAACAGAAATTGACGTTTCCTCGATAGTATCGATAGTGTGCAAAAATTTGGCAGTATCGATTGCTTTTTACAACTATCGACGATTTTATGTTATAAATATACCTTGAACTTAGCGTGGGCACAAACCTTGATGTTCGTAATAGGAATTAACATAATGAATGCAGCTGGCCTATACATACATGTGTCAGAAGGGCACAGCAAGTGTCTGTTACTAGGGTATTCTAAAATGATGTCTTAATGCTTAAACCTTAAATATAGTTAAATTTTTGTAAACTTGATTTTTGTATAATAAAAATATTTAACTATTAAGAAACCAAAAATGTGAAGTTTAGATAGAAAAATATCTTTATTGTAAAAAAGATCGCCGCCAGATGTCGCCAGATTTCTATACGGTTTTCTGGGAATCCCACAATTTGAAATTTAGCATTTTAGAAAAAAATAAAGTAAATTAATACCTTTTAGATTTATTTAGAAATTTTTAGTTTTTTTTATATGTATCTTTTATAAGTACTTTTATTGGTTTAGATGCAGGCATTTAAGTTGTTAACGATCCACTACTTGCATATTTTGTGGTCGTTTAACAGAGCACACGCGCAGAACTCGGCCATACATTCACAGCTTCCGCTTTACCAACCCGTATTTCCCACCGGATTCCCCTTCGCGGAAGAGCTCTGCAGTGTTTACGCGCTTGTAGTAAAAGTAGAGTTCTTTCTGTTTTGCCGGATGCGCCGCTCCTTTCACCACAAAATCCTTCACTCATCACCTCAGTCTTGGATCCGTTTTATCAGTTCCCCTTTTTCCAATGGTATCGCCTTGTCCATTTCTTTGAACCTATTTTAAGCACTAATCACTATGAGTAAACTTCATGTTAAATAAAGGCAAAAATAAACTCTTTGCCTTCTTGCAGCAGTTAAATAAAACATACACAGGAGCACCCACAAACGGGAACAGAAAGGATTATTTTGTGGCTGGGAAAGCAAAAAGACTAAACCGCAAATGCAAATGTTTTAAGTTGTCACAACGAAACCGCGCACAGACAGTCAGTTTTTCCATGCAGTTGCAAAGTCATTTGCATGCTTGTTTTCCTGTGCGTTCTGTCATGTTTTTGTGGCCTCTGCGGTTGCAATAAAGACAGTGTGGAAACAACAAAGAACAAAAGAAGAGGGTCAAACTTTATTTTTTATAATTTGACTCGTGCAAAACAATTTTGAATTTAACGGTCGCTAAGAGCGCCACCTATACGGCTTGCGTTGGAGGCTGACTTGCTATTTTGAGTTGTCTTTTTAGGAGCTATGGCCGATATTAAATATTTTCTATAACATTAAAAACGTTCTTCTGCTGTAAGTGCATTTTTAAAAGATTTTCTTTAAAATTAATATTTGTCATAAAACTGATAAAAGAAATGAAAATTTAACTGTCTCAAACTTAACCCCCTTCTGGAAACGCCCCTGATTTAATATATACCTCTCCACTAATGCAATTACTTTTGGTATATTTTCCAGCAATAAACGGTATTTTGCGCTGTCCACACTGCAGTCACACCAATATGAAATGGCCTCGCTCAAGCTGCGGTCACACTAAGTCTGAAGCTCGATTAGCCCTGACGCGCGTAACGCTTTTTTTCCCGCATCACTTTCCTCCACTTTGGCGCTGAAAAATCTCCACAACAAAATAAAGGATGCACCAAACCGAATTTTTAACCAAAACTAAAAACTGCACCTAAGCCCGGATATCTGAAATAACTATTCATTTACTAATTCAAGTTTTCCATCCATGTAAAAATCAAATAAAAAATAGTGCGCGAACTAAAAACCCGTAAAAACGAGAATGGGCATAGCCCAAAATAAAACTTTTTCGTTTCTTTTTATACCGTTAATTTAACACAATCAATTAAAACCAAGCGAAAAAACAAGATTTACTCAAAGTAAATTGCGTTTAAACCAACTACAATAAATGTTAATGTGAAAATTGTGCAATAATTTAGAGAAATTTCTATAAGAAATTCATAAGTGAGTTAAGCAAAAATTTTATTATTGGAAATACAAAAGAAAATAAATGTTATTCAACTTAAAGTTACAAGTTAAAACAAAAGAATTAACCAAAAAATAAATAAGCAACCTAAACGCAGTATATACAGATAAATGTATATATAATATATATGGATGGCATGTGTGTATATAGACGAGTTTGAGACCTCGAAATAAGGACTTTTACAAGGACTAAGGATTACCACACTTTGCCGCCAAGTTTTTGGTCGACTTTAAGGAAAACCCACCAAAAATCAAGAGAAAATAATCTGAAACAAAATCAAAGCGAGCAATTTTAAATGCCCACCTGAGCCCCGCCCCCCGGAAGCACCTGTCCCCAAAACCCGGGCATTTTCAACCCACGCACGCAAGCGCAGGCTCCTGGGAACAACCGTGTCACCCAAAAAAACAAGAAGAAAAAAATAACACAAAAAGAGAGTGGAGAAATTAGAAGCTGCCAAAATTATTTTTGCTTTGATTCCGCCTTTTGTTTCAAAAGCGCAGCCGAAAATGTGGAGGAAAGCGTGCAGGTTGGTCAGGGAAACCACCTTGTGGAAAACGCGTCGTCAGGGACAAATGGAAGCCCCAACAACGGCAGTAGCTGCAGGACCACTACCAACCAAATCATCGACCAGGACGAGGACACCGGCTGCACGAGGATTAACCATCATCACATGGTCGCAGGTTGCAGTTGTTGTCGCTGTTGCAGCGCTCCTGCAATGCCACGTCAGTCAAGGTGAGTGAATGATGCTCCATCGGTGTGTCCTGTGTGTGTCCTTCAATGTGTATCTGTGTAGGTGTCAAACGACAGTAGAGGTCAAATAAATATGACCAAAAGGGTTGCCAATGATTACAGCTAGCTGATCTTTTATTAAGCTTTAAAATCGAATTATTCTAATAAGATTAGTTTGTGTTTACACATATGATAAATATGATATTAAAACCTCATAATCTATAATATTGAATTTATGTCAACTTGAAATACTATTATTCTGCTAAGCACTATGTATTGGGAATTGTGCAATTTATTGATGAGGCTGCGTGCAAGAGACTTTCACTTTTTTTTGCTGCCATTGGTTAAGAATGCTGAGATAAATGCTGTCTTGTGGTTTGTCTGCAAATCCAACATCAATAAATGCCAACGCCAAGTCACAAGTATGACTGATTTGGCCTTAGGCAACTTGGCTAAGAGTGAATATTTTACCGAAACCTCAATTACTTCGAGTACCCTTTTTTTCACGGGGCCTCAAAGCCCTCGAAGGTTGCTCAATCTCAATTGAGGCTTGGCAAGTGCGAACTCAATAAAACGGTCGAATGTATCGCAGATGATTACAGCTTTGGGCTATGATGTACTTTTAATGACTTTTCAACTAAAAAACAAATGGAAATTGATGCGTCATTTGTATACCATAGAGTTTCTTTTAACGAACATTAAAAACTTTACTGAAAGCAGAAAAACAAATGAATGCAAAAACTATTAGCACCCATCACGAGATCTGTAATTAAACTCAAACAAAAAGGTTTAGAAGATTTATTATACTAAGTACTTAGCAAGACTATTTACGCGCACCTTTTCTCAAGGAAATAAAGTGAGATTGGTTTTTAGGTTCTTTTTTGCTAGCCAACCCAGTGTAAAGTTAAGAGATGACTCTGGCCTACACTTTTTAGTGCATGAAAACTCAAATTAACGTCATTAACGCCGTTCAAGATAATTCATTTCCAGCATTTATAAGAGAGATTTCACGCTTTCACAATTTAGGCCAACAATTGTCACAGTTAAGATCATAAATACCATTTGAGCATTTAATATAGTTATAAACATACAGTCATGGACACCTTTTTCAAGCTCTACCCGCCAATTTTGTTGGCTTTTCCCTCAATTTATAATCGTGTGAATAAATTATGTTAATGAGGGACTTTAAATCAAAGCATTCCCATTGTTTAGCATATTATTTAAAAAAAAACTATGACTACTTAATTGCCATAATTAAGCTTTACTGGTCAGTGACGCAATGCCAACGTGAAGTTCAATGAACCAAGTTGGTCACGCAAAAAAACAAAAAAGGCAGAAACTCAGGTACTAGATAGGTACTACCAATTTCAATGTGGGAACGGAGTTTTGTTAAAAAGGTGCCACCCGGGGAAGCGCTTAACCTATTGGGAGTTCAAACTGGCAATTACCGGGTGGCTTAAGTTCTCCCTCCCTTCGAAAACAATTTAAATTTCTGCTTTTTGTCTTTATCTAACTGAATAATGGGCAATTTTACTTTACTTTCGATTCATTTGGCATGCCTGACATTTGCTTATAAATTTAGCCAACTGTCGCCAGCCAAGAAAATTCTAATTTATTGCCAAAAATTACTCTTCGCATTATGCAAAACATCACGATAAGGCATTAGAGGGGCCAATGAACCGCAAGCGAACTAAATCATTCATATCTCGGCCTAGAGGTACTGCCAAAAAATCGAGCATAGGATGGTGTAATGTGGAAACCGGTTGACAGACCGAGGAGCTTTGTACTTGGCCCGCGCACAGTTCCCAGATACAAACCGACTTGGCCCAAAAGAAACACACAAACATAAATGAGTCGGCGGCAGTGGCAATCTTGTCGCCCCAGTCTCACACTTACGTAACCGAGTTCCAGTTCACAAAAATAAAAAAGTGAAAAATATAAAAAATGAAAATGATGCGAAATGCAGCCCGTTGAACTCAGTTGAAAACCCAATGGAACGTTCAACTCGCCGTCAATGTAAATTAAAACGGCCAAGAAAAAAACGAAAGTGTGTCGAAGTCGTTGCAATCGAGCGGTCTTTAAAAGTGCGTGTCTTGACTTACGCATGCGATTCCAGTTGGCGGTAAATATGTACTCAAAAAATCATAAAAATTCAAAAGAAACGAGTTTTCAAAGAGAAGCTGGATGCGTGATACATTCAGTCGAATGTTTACTGCACAGGAAGTTGCGTTATTGGATTAACAAAGAGGGTTTATAGGTAACTTAAACCAGGCATTTATTTAACAAAATAATCAACAATAAACATAATAGCTGTAATGGTGAATTATGTTTTATGTCAGGTCAAGACCACTACAAAAAATGCAAAATGGTGCTTCGAGCAGCCAATAAATAACTATAAAATCCTTCTGCCTATATCTATTAAGGGTTAGAGGATACTCTAAATAAATCATAAAAATAGTTTAATAGTTAACAAAATGAGAGGTAAAGAGCAATTAAAATCATTTTCTAAAAGATTAGATAAAGAATAAATCATAGGCATCCGGTGGCTAATGATGCTAAACTATGGGAAGCAAAGTAGGTACTTAGTATTGGATCCATTGTGACTAATAGCCAAGTAAGCGTTCATTTAGAGTGTCATGGGACGTAAGCACTTGGAATAAGTGTATAAAAATCCATCGTTAAATTCTACTTAACGTCAACGCACGTTTATAAACAAGATCCGGGTAAAGAATGATTATATCTTATTTTAAATAAAGAATTCAGAAATATTAAAAAGGCATCCAATTATGCCAGTCATAGAGGAAACCCTAACTGGGCATCTATGCCATTTTGCCTACAAAATAAAGAGCCATGCGCCCACGCATCACAGAATCTCATATGAGATTCGCCCACGTTTCGATGGGGATCTTTATAATCCCGCATATGGGACATGGAGCGGCCAATTAAACGTCGTTGGCCTGCATTTTTGTCCAACCATTTTTGGTAACTTTCCGCTGGCTTATTGAAGTTGGCAGTTGGAGCAGCGGTGGTGCGGTTCATTGAATTTCAATTGTCCACCGGTGGGCGATGGGCGGTGTAATGGAACGAAAACCACGAACCATCGACAGACCAAAGCCATAACAGCGAAAATATCAAACTGATTTGGTTGTGCAATGTTTTTGCTTACATCACATCACTTCCCTTTCCTTTGCACTTTCAAATGTCATTGCGTATGGAACACGGCTAGTTGGGGATGGGGAATTGGGATTAAAATTCAACAGGGAATTAGATTAATGCACAGGAAAAACTAGCTGCCTTTAAAAAGTGATTTGTATATAATAATATTACGATAAATATAGTTTATATTTTGGGATAGAATTCTAGATTGTTTTTAGTTTAATCTTGTTCCAGTTCCAGCCAGCATTTCAACGCCACAAAATCAAAAATCAGAAAATAAATAGTACAAAACCATTTGTTTTCAAATCGAATATTGAATGCTGACCAATTTATGTTTATCAAATTTGTGGGAAACTGGAAAAGTGCAGCTTTTGACAAGCTTATCGCTTGTTTGCAGTCCACAGAGGGGGTACTAACTTTTTTTTTTGTTGTGAGGTCTGCTGCCATGCCAATGTAATCTAATTCACACCAGCCAGCCACTCCACATCCACATCCCTTCATATAATATCCCATCTACCATATACCATATCCCGAATCCGTTGGGGGTGCTAGGATTTCACGTGTGTGGAGCAGTTCTCTAATGCTGGGCAGATTGTCGAGCAATTTGCAGCGATTAAATTAGCTCAAGCGTGCCGCCGAAGAAGCGATTCCTCATCCTGCCTCCTGTTGCTGCAATCGTTGTTGTTATTGCCGTGGAGGACTAAGGTATTAAGTGAATACAAATGCCCGAAATGGAGTTTCGAGTTTTTGGGGGATCTGTGCGGTTCCATATGAAACCACCACCTACAGAAAGAGACGGGACGATGTCCTTGCGGGTGTAAAGCCGCCACGCCCCCCGCTTAAACCACCCACTGTGAGCCGCATAATTCTCTGTGATGTTGCCGCGCAAAATGTTCTAATCTCTACGCTGGATTTACACATTGCTTCCCAAGAAGCACACCATCGCACACCACTCCTCTCCTCCAGTTACATTGGAACTTTGTGTACATATTTGAGTTTCATTTCGTTTGTGGCTAGGTTTCGGCTAACATGAAGTCATAAAATTGAAATAAATACAAATGCGAGTTGCGCTGATTTCCAGCTGAGCGGGCACGCCTCCTTCTAAGACAGGGGCGGTGGCTGTCCCAGCAGGGAGCTCACAAATCTCCCAGGAGTGTTGGCCTCATCCGGGCGCAGATAGCGCGCCACGGGACTCAGCTCAGGACTAAAGTCTTTAAAACAAATTACTGGGAAGGAAGTCCGGTCTTGCCAATATCATTGGACTCAAGTAGAAGATTAAACTTCTTGTTGCATACTTTTTGGTCGTGTTTTCTACACAACGCCACCTAAAATTCTCAATTGGTTCTAGCAGTTTTCTCAAGGAAACCCTGAGGTAGAGCTGAAAAAAGCATACTTACCTGGCGTAGAGGTTAACCGTGATCACGAAGGCGGTTCCTCCGGAGTGAGGCTTGGCCATTGCACCTCGGCTGAGTTGACCTCTGCGATTATTCCTAATGTGAATAACTCGTGCGTGTAATTTTTGGTAGCCGGGAATGGCGTTCGCGCCGTCCCGACATTAATAATAAATTCACAAAATTCATTAGGTACATGACAGACACACATGTGCTAAGTTGGCTTCTTTATAGGCTAACTCGGCTAATGACTATAATTTGCCAGAGTGTTCTCGAGTTGCTAAAAAAGAAAAACATTTAAGTCGATTGACCCAAAGATGACGGTTCGTTTTACTTTCAGGCTGATTTCGGAAATTCCACGTTTTGGCCAATTCTCGCATTTTTGATAAGGTACCCCCTTATCATCCTTTTTTGCTGAAAATAAGGCTTGAATGCAGTTCTTCTAGAAATGAGAAACAAAACCTAACGCACCACAGTTGTTGTAATTCCCATAATTACATTAATACCATCTTGAAGGGAAATAAGAAGAGACAAAATATGGTATTCTTGATAAGGGGTAGCTTCTTTTTTTTTTGGAAAAAATTGAAAAATTTGTACATTTTAAACTGTGATAAAAGTTCGAATCGGAATTAAAAAACAAGCTCAATGAGGTATGACAGTCCATATTCGGACCGTTCTTAGCTTAGTTGTGGACATATTACTGAGACATTGAGGATAAAATCTGAGATAACCAATTTTCGCATTTTCGATAAGGGGCAAAAAATGGCAAAATTTTGACATTTCAAACTGGAAATGCAGTTCGACTATGAATCAAAAAAACTAGCTCAACGAGGTATTACATTCTATGTTTGGACTATTATTGGCTTAGTTATGGAAAAAACCCTGTCCGTTTGAGGGGAAAATGGGGAAAAACCAAATATTGCATTTTCGATATGAGGTGAAATCATCTCTTTTTGCGAAAAATGGTTAAACAATGAATTTCTCAGCGTTGAATACAGTTATACTGGAAATTAAATTTCTGGCTCAACGAGATATGACATTACATTTTCCGATCAATTTTGTCAGTATTATTTTTAAGGATAAACCGGAATAACTTGCATGATTTTTTCCAGTGTTTTAAGCTATAAAATAGTCAACACAAAACGTGAAACAAAAAACTAAGCTAACGACCAAAACCTTATATTTGTATAATTTTCCGAGATATTTTGATAATTTAATTTTTTTAGTAATTTTTTGCTTTTTTAATAAGGGGTAAAATCACCTATTTTGCGAAAAATGGCAAAAATGTACTTTTTGAGATGTGAATGCCAGTTGATTGGCAACTAGGAATATTAGACAATATTTAACCCATTATAATCCTTGTATTAGTCAAAATATGTACGTATTTTACGGATGAGAATAAGGTTTAAGAACTAATACTAAAATGCACATCAATTTTTTTCTCAAAACCTATAGCCTTACCGTTTCATTATTTCTATTCTATGAAGAATCCTTACAAACATATTTTAATATATTATACCAATTATTTCTTAAACTCCAATATGGCTGAACAGGAGAATAATGTAATGTTTAAAATCTACCTGCTTTTTATATCGTGATTGTTGTCTACCCTTGCTAAAAACAGACCCTACTAACGGGAATGTTACCTTCCTCAGTTGCACTGATATAATTCCCAAACAGTTCTAGTTGTTTTCTCAAGGATACCCGAAGGTAGGGCCGAGGAAAGCATACTTACCTGGCGTAGAGGTTAACCGTGATCACGAAGGCGGTTCCTCCGGAGTGAGGCTTGGCCATTGCACCTCGGCTGAGCTGACCTCTGCGATTATTCCTAATGTGAATAACTCGTGCGTGTAATTTTTGGTAGCCGGGAATGGCGTTCGCGCCGTCCCGACATTAATAATTAATGAAAAGAAACATTAAGAAAACTTTCGTTAGTTATAGGTTCTGATTGAATTCAAGAAGAGAGATAGTCTAGTTAAAAAGTGAAAGTAATTTGAACAAATGTCTGTCCGACTAACTAAAAGCCATTTCGGGTTCCAAAGACCCTCAAAATTGCCGGCTTCATCCATTAACAGCCTTTGGTTTTTGTTTGTGCTCTCCTTGGTCGGGTCGGTCGAGTCGTCCAGCCTCCTTTTTCGCGCTTTCTTATTTATTTATCATCATTTATTAAACGCTCTCGCTTCCCTGCCAAGTTTCCGATGCCAAGAAAGGAGTCAGTCGTCGGTCCGCGTTCGGCAAAAAATTGTCGCTGTCAGATTACGTTGCAATATTGCTTCCAGTTGCCATATCCTGCCGACTTTCCGCCCAAATTCATGCTGCGAAGGACGAGAGAAACGGTAGAATCCGAGGGTCGGGGTCCGTGTCCCCCATCCTACATTCTTTTGGCTTTGACACAAGCAACAATTTACTCGGTTTCAGGTTAAAGTCATATCGTTAGCATTAACGCTTTTTGATTTTTATTGAGTCAGCTAAATTTTATTCGATTTACCATCCACACACACAGAAGCACACCCCCACACACACACAAACACACACCCTCGCACTGGGAAAGACAAATACAGATGTACCAGCAGCAGCAGCAGCATCCCCCATCTGATGAACACGGCACAACATTCCTGGGGAGGAATATTTCCGAGCTTTAATGAGGTTGGGCCACCAACCAATGAGTTTTTCGGAGAAGGGGAGGGCGACCTGTTTTCCGCCCAGCTCCCTTTTTCCACCCAGGAAGAGTCTATTTCGGAAGTAAATGAAAATTTGATTTGGAATTTCGTGTGTCCTGGTCGTGCGTGCGTTACAGGATCTCAGCTCAAACCAAAGAAATGAACCAAAACTGAACCCCCGGAACGAGGATGCTGCTGCTGCTGATGATGATGATGATGATGTTGCTGATGACGACGTCAAAGTCGAAGATGGGCATGTGATAAAATAAATTACGGGCAGATTAGTGCGAATTTAATTATCGTTTGTTCCTTTGATGTCGCGCTAAGTAAATAAAGGGAATAAATATGATGATTATTCAAACGGCAGTTCTAATAACATTATTTCCGTACCCAGTTAATTCCCGAAAATGTGCGTGGCATTGCTTGAATTTGTCTACCTGAATTTTCCAGCCCCTACTCCAGAGGCTACTTTTCGTTTCGTACACATGAGGTCCTTGTGATTCCCAACTGGTTCTAGCAGTTTTTTCTAGGAAACCCTAAGGTAGAGCCGAGGAAAGCATACTTACCTGGCGTAGAGGTTAACCGTGATCACGAAGGCGGTTCCTCCGGAGTGAGGCTTGGCCATTGCACATCGGCTGAGTTGACCTCTGCGATTATTCCTAATGTGAATAACTCGTGCGTGTAATTTTTGGTAGCCGGGAATGGCGTTCGCGCCGTCCCGATCTGAAAAATAAATGAAAAAGTCTAGTTAATATTTACCTTTGACCTGTTTATAAGCCAAATCTTGACATTTCTTAATAATATTCAAGATGCAATGCAATAATCCTCATGTAACCTTCCCTGTCTCTGATTTTTGGTACATCATCAGCAACTGCTTAGTGCAAATATTTGCCAAAAACTGAAAGTCAATCATTTGTCCATCCATCTCCGTCATTCATCATTCGCTACCTCCAAAATCAGATACAGAATGATGCACTGGTTGCCTGTGGTTACACGCTATGTACGGAACACCCACCCACCCCCAAAGGCACTTGTCGAGAGCGGATTGGAGATGGGATTAGGGATATAGCTAGAGGGTGAGATGGACCTGAGAACCCTTTCTGATTTGATGGTTATATGCAGATTCAGATTTTGGGAGAGCAGGAGCAGCTCAAAGGGAAAAGGGATGTCAAGGGGATGTCCTGCTAAGTATCCCTGGCAACCCGTTAATTTATAGGGCTTATGTGTCTGCGATCCTTTCCTCTGCCCAGCTGGGCATTAGTGGATTAAAAGCGTTTATTGTCTTCGGTATCCTTCACTCCTTTCGGACTGCACCATCCTAGTAGTCTGTGCGTCATTCAATTCAATTGACAAAGTGACTGGGAATGCCAGGCGGGAAAAGTGGGTCGATGCCGAGCGTTGCCAATCAATTTTCCTGGGAGAACCTGGCAACAAGTCAAAAATAAAGCCATCTGCTTGGCAACGTCTGTGCTCCGTTTGATATTTTTTGGGTTTGTATTTATCGGTTGCAAGAAATCTTATCGCTTTTTAGTGACGAAATATCAGGAGACGAATGCCCCAGACACACAACCACTCAGTCAGCCAGCCAGAAAGATAGACATGGCCATTGACTATTATTTGTTAACCCCTCAACCCATCAGCCTCTCAGCCCACCGAGCAGGCAGCAACCAAACATTATTAACAACAACCATCGGCGGTCGTGTGCCGGGCAGCCTCAGGCGTTGGCTATATTCTATGCCATATAGCTAGGGGTTTTCCTTTTGGGTTGGGGGATGTCAACGTGCTCGTCATCACTTTGTATAAATATCCTCGAGCACGTATACGTCCATGGGGCCACGTGCTCGCTATGTATGTTGAGCTTTTGGGGTCCAGGACTTCAGAGATTAATGCACGCATTAGTTGATTTAATTCATATTACGCTTTTGTTGTTGCCGTTGTTGTCCTGGCTACCCAGCAACCTACCCACCTACCTACCTACCCAGCATCGGCAATTGAGACATTCTGGGGAATCCCTGGCAATAGCAATTGCCGAGGAGCAGCTTAAGGCATTGGGATTTAATATCGTAGTATCGACCAGGACAGAAACAAACTGAAATTGCATCCCCATTTCCCACCGCTGACACCTATCAATTGGAGGCTGTCGCTGGCTGTTTCTGGCTTCTGTTCTTTTTAAACATTTTGGCATACATTTGCATTGTTTAGTTGGAAGTTGTTCGGCAACGAAGTCAGGCTTAGCATTGAATTTCAATATATTTCATGGTTTTCAATCAATTTCATGGCGCAATCCCAAAGGGATCCCCCCTGGGGACTTGTCAAGAGTTTGGCAAACAGAGCCAGTTCGTCATAGCCATCATCGTAGTCACATCGTAATCATCATCATCATCATCATCATTATCATCAACCACTAGCATAGCCTGTTCAGGGGAAGCTACACGGCAGCAACTTTTTGTATGGCAAAGTTCTTTCGTCTGAGGATTAATTTGCAAAGCAGGTTTCGCTCTTTGTCCATGTCCAGCGATTTTCTTGAGCCTCCGGATTATGAATCCGTAGCAGAAAATGCACCAAAAGCACCATTTCCAGGTGCATCGCATTGAAGGTTCTTCTCTTCTCCTCTGTGTGTTTGTGAAAGAAGTGGAAAACTTATTTTTTGGCCGCCCATTTCAATTAAATCTGCTCTGACTAACGATTTTCCAACCCGTTCTTTTCATTTGCAGCCGCCAGACGAGCACCACCGGAACCGTACTATGGTCGTTATATCGGAGACTTTACTAACTTTGCCCATGGCATCAAGGTGAGTTTTAAATTTCGTTTATAAATAAGTTTCTTAGTGTAAGAATAAAATAAAAATAAGAAATAAAATCAAATTTCACTTTATTTACTTTTGTAAATCCCATTTCCCCACAGGGTCAAATCTACGCGGTGGACGAGTCGACGCTGTTCGTCAAATCCTTTGCCTACGACGGCACTGGACCAGACGCCTTCTTCTGGGTGGGCAAGACTCCACGGCCCAGTCCCGAGGGCTATATCATTCCCTATCCGGAGGAGTACACGGGCATGTAAGTATCTCAGTTCCTAGGAATGCATTCCACTTGCCACACAAACAACATTTTTGGGGGCTAGCCATTGATGGCCGGACAACTGGACCTTCGTACGTTCGAGATGGAAATGGGAATGGAGATGTTGATGGTGATGGAGATGTCCTGGCTACTCGAGCGCAGCAGGCCATTTCCTCGGAACGTGAGCGTGAATGTATGCCCGTATCCTTGCAGACTTTACGTTACGCACGGCTGACAATGAAACCACTTTCAAAAATTAAAAAACATTTTTCATCTCGCCTGCCATTTGTGCTCGTTGTCGTTTTCCTTTTTGCTTCCCGGCGCCTTTGTGGCTCTCCAAGTTGCCGTTGGTGGTGTCGCTTCGTTGCCTCCTAATGTGAAAAACTCATTTATTTCTTCACGTTAGATTTGCGGTCATATGTGTGGCATAGGAGGATGGGTGGCAACCACAGAGCTCCCACCGAAAATAACAACAACAACAGCAAAAGCAAACAAAGAAAGGAGGGGGAAGAGGAGGGGGTGGTGTAGGAGAGATAGCGAAGTTTCAGCCTTTGCTACTATTTACTTTGAGTCGCCACAAGGTTAAGCCGCTCAACTATTTACCTTGCCAGTCTCCTTGCGCTGCCACTTGAACGCACTAAGCTGGTATTAGCCAAGTCCCCGCTCATGAAGGCCCTCTCTACCCCCTGAACTAATCTTACATTGCAGCCACGCGATACGCACACAATTTGACGTCATTTGCCTCCTTAGAAATCGGGCATTGCATATTTCATTATCACAAACAATGCAGCACCAAACTAATTCCCTGATCCTTAAACCTAAACCTAAACCTAAACCATCAAGGCAAAGGTAAAGTGGCTTTCCACTTGGCATTGACATTATCTCAGGCATGAAAAATACGCCTCAGGTGAGTGTCGTTTTTGATTTTCATAGGTTCATAGGTAACTGGGCAGAAGGAGTAGACCATCTCTTTGAGTTCCCAAATGCCAAGGTTAGGGAAATCAAACACTCAAATATGTTCCTTATTCTTATGTTAGCTTTTGCATATCCAATCTTTGGCAAAATATTTCCGCAAAGACCAAGAATAACAGAAGGCATCGTGAGAGGCATAAGCGATTCCCGAATAGAGGTTTCTTCCTCATTGCGCAGTCTCCGGGCTCCACAACCCTCATCCCCATATCCTTACCCATTCCCAATCCGAACCGAAAATCACGCGGCCAAAAAGAAAACCTGAGAATGTTTACGCATTGGATTTCCCCATTCGCAAAATGCTCGACGCGGTTTCGCGCTTGAGAAATCGTTTGAAGATGTGTATGTTGGTTGGCCTGGCAGACTAGAACCAATGCACAGGAGAACCATCCAAGGCGAATCCGTGGGCCCAAAAAACCCGGGCATTCATATTGTAATCGACTTTAATGCGTTTCATTGTTGATGCCACGTGCCGGGCTTTATTAGTTCAATGTACAACGATGCCATCGCCTCCATTTCCATTTCCCTCTCCTCTCATCCCTCATTCCAAGTCCATAGTCCTTCGTCCTTCCTGTCCTTCTGACAAAGAGCAACATTGTGCTAAGAGTAGGGGTTTTGGTGATGGGGTGGAGGTGGAAGCCCGGAACGCCGTAGCGATTGCACGCTTTTACGCTTTCAGACACATTACCCATACCACCCGTTGGCCCATGCACCTTCTCAAATGGGAATGGGGGTGCTGGCTGACTGAAGGTCGGCGATGGGGTGGCGGTGGCAGGCTGGTGTTAGCACGATGATGATTGCTGTATTATGTGGCACACCGCTGCTATCGCAATCGCATGCATTTGAGCCAACAAATTGCGCGCGTTTATTATGTCTAATGATTTATATATATATATACTATATATGTGTATGCCATGAGCGATAATTGATAAGTGCATCTGATTGGCAATGGGACAGGTTCTGTCATAGTTTCCTGCCATTTTCCTCAACCTACTGCTGGTGGAATTATGGTGGCAAGCATGGCAAGTGACAGCCTTAAAACTGGCTTCTTGCTAAGCTTCTCGGGCAGGCCAATCAGCGTTAATTATCCCAACTGCTTTTGGCAGGCTTCGTTGAAGGGCTGCCAATCCCGCTGCATCAGGAGATTTCACGGCACTCAGACAAAAGTATTTGATGAAAATATTAAATGTTTTTAAGAGCTTTTCAATGTTTCAATTAAAAACTTAAAAACGTGAAGGAAAAAACAATAACAATTACGATTTTTCGAATGACTTCTTGTTGTTTATCTCGAAAAATCTATAACATAAGCTATGTTTTTCTTTGAGTGTCCTTCAACTTCTTGTGCTGCTCACTTCTTTTTGTGTTCACGCTCGCTTTACCTCCGTCCTGGAGTGGGTGGATTGGGTGGAGAATGTGTCACAATGGATGCATCGAGCATAAGTAATTAAATTAGAATTTTTTGAGAAGCATAAAAGCGACGCCGTGCTGATTAACGCCCGTTGCCATGACAATGAGGATGACGCCGTTGCCTTGTACTGCCTCAATACCATCCCCTTGAACCACCCACTGCCTGTGGCTGTTGCTCATTTGCATCTGCAGTACCGAACCCCCTGCTTCCCTCAACCCTTGCCACCTTGGCGCTTGCCTTTTCGCTTAACGCTGATTTATGCAGATTTCATTAAAATTTGCTGCATGCAAAGTAGCAAAATGAAGTTTTTAGTTTTGTCCTTCATTGTCATTGTCGAGCGGGCAAACCATTCTTTAATCCACCATTACCCATTACCCATCACCCACGTTCCCGGATCATCCTTCATTGTGTTAATCAACGGTGACAGCGCAGCCGCAACACGAACAACTGTTTTGGCTGTCAACTGATTTCGCCCCTGGCTGATGTGCCAACTGCCTTTAACTCCATTAAGCACCAGCAAGTTGGCGGCTTCATTCGGCATCCAACTTAACCCTCGGTTGGCCCTTGTTTTCCCTTGTTCTATACTTATATTCCAGCCCTCAAGTAGTTTCGCCTGTTGCTGTCACTTCCCCCTCAATGCGCTTAGAAGTAGGCAATGGTTTTCACACCTTTCAGGGATTTTATGGAGATTGTTTGAGATTCTTTTCAAAATGTTTTCAGTTTAGGCTGTTTAAAATTATATTAAATTATATTTGAAGTTGGCTAATATGAATATAGATGATGCATATAGAAACATGTATGAAAAGTATGTGTTATTTTAATGTAAGCTATGAAACTTTGAGGAATCCTTAAACTCTGAAAGAATAATGTTAAGATTGAGTTGTTTTTCGGTCACACTTGATAGACTTAATAGTCCAGTAATAAGTTTTCACCAACTACTTGCTAGAATATCTTATAATTATTCCTAAAGCCCTCTTATACACACTTCGTTACCTTTAAATACACCCACATTTTGCAAGAATTTATTGCTAACTAGATTTCCAGGAGCTCGTTAGGGGACATCTTTCCGTGCTTATCTAACCGAGCGCTCTCCAGGCAAACCTCTTCTCCGGACACCAAAGCCGTACTAATTATTATTGTTGTTGGCGTGATTAATGCCCCCGACCACTGCACTTTAATACAAATTTAATTGAGTAGTCGCTGCCGGGTACGGGGACTCATCCGTCTGCGGCCTGTCACCGACACAAAAATGCGGGGGCGTTGGCTTGGTTCCGTGGCGCTTCGTCACGGAAACATGAAATATTCATAATAATTTTAGAATATTTTCGGTGGTGGTTTTGTCAGTGGGCCGCCTGCCTTTGTTTTGCAAAGGGGGTGTGGAGGGGGAGGGTTGGTATTTAGGAGATGGGGTTGAATGCTGGATGATTGGATGGATGGTATGATGGTTGGGCTGGCTGTCTGCTGAGTTGGCGCGTTTTATTGTCTGCGAAATGGCCTCGATTGTTGTGCGTTTTGTTTATCGACCGAATATGCAAAGTGCCAGTCAGCAGGCAGCAACAAGTTGGCCAGTTTAGTCTTAGTCAATGGGAAAGCACACATGAAAAGACGCCTCTCCACTCTTTGCAAATCTCTCAATCTGAATTCAAACTAATTGGGTGAAAGTGCACAGGGACTTATGTAACTGTATAGAAAGATATTCTATATATATATATAAATGGCTGGGCAACGAGCTGAACGAGAGCAAATAAAATAAAATCGATGGATGGAATAGACCAGCAGAAACCCAAACTAAAACCCATCCTGAGTGCATCAATAAATGTCGAACGGAGACGGAGAGAGGTCCTTGCCAAGTGGGAGGACAAGCAAATCAAATAAAGCAACAAACATATTTGCCAGGCGGAAACTGTAATGGAACTAGGAATCGAAAGCAAACAGAATTCGAGGAAAACTGCTTCGCCACAGTGGAGAGGAGTTGAGTTGTAGTAGAAGACAAAAGGGCCGAATCGCTTGGGGTTGGTGGCACCAGGACAGCGTTGTGTATCCAGTAGATACATTTGATGCACTGTGTTGACACAGAGCCATTCAATTTGTTTTGGCTCATTAGAGTGTTGCAACTGTTGCTGGAAATCTGTTTGTGGTTCTGGTACTGGTCCGTGGGCTTGAGCTTCTGCTTGTTCCAAAATCTGGACACGACCTCGGAACAAGGATCTTGGACCTTCTGTCATTGTTCCATTTCAAGGGTGCTGGTGCTAAGTGCTTAGCCGTGTCTAATGCGGATTGCGTGGCCTCCGTCGACATTCATTAGACGTCGACCTTTCCACTTGAACGGCTGACTGACTGACTAACTGATTGACTTGCCGCCACCGCCGCCTGCCTGACACTTGCCCCAGTTGCGTTGAATCGATTCTGCAACGCCGCCGCCCCCTCACAAGGAGCTCTACATACATCCATCCCCGCCATCATCCAAGGATGTGGCTTTAGCAGCCCACGACGACAGATACAGATTCATCTGGGCAAACACTCGCTGACTGTTCAGCCCCCTTGGGATTGGCATACTTAGACTTCAAGTTGATTATTAATATACCCCCAGGGCCTTCTACTTCGTCCCGGCAGTGAAATGAGATGCAGTAACTGCAGTAATGGATATGTAATCATCGCAAAATCCACATGATTACAAAAGTTCTAAAGCTCAGCTGCACTCGGAAAAGCAAACTAAAGGTTTTCCTTAATTCCAATGCCAAGGTATTTGGGAAGTTTGTTATTAGCCTAAGTGATTTGACTTTCTCAAGGGAAACTATTTTTAACTCTTCAAATAGTTTGCCTTCGTTTTTAATCTCATTTAATTGATATACAAAAAAGGTGAATACATTTTTCAATGGACTTAAATTGCATTATGAAAATTTGTATAGAGATTTGCATTCCCACAGATTCATTGCTTTGATTCCGTTGAGAGCGAAGCCCAAAAAAGTCGTTAATTGGCTAAAGCTTTAAGCCGAGAGCAAAAAGTTCCTATGGCAATGGCCACCCAACTATTCAGGCATTGAGGTTCCTCAACCCATCATGTACGTTGAGGGGGCATGCGACGTGTGTAATGCCTCGGTCCGTTGCATTAGCCATAAATCTTCATCAGCGTTCGCTTCATAAATAATGCGAATATGCGAAAATGAGAAATGTTTTTGGTTTTGTCGTCGCTCGTTCGGTTTTTGCTTTAATTTTAATGACATCAGCTGGCGTAGAATGCATAAAAACTATATATGTATATATATTATATATGGAGCTATCGAGGCCAGTGTTCGATCTGTTGCATTTTCTGGCTGGTTTAACTTTAATCTCTATGTACATACTAACAATAAACCTGCAAATTGAAGGCGTGCCCTTTGGACGAACTAGTGACATTTTGTGGGCTGGCAAACAAATGTGTTTGATTTTCATCGGCGTTCGGCCAGTTAACTGTGTCGCTTTTTAGGGGATTAATGAAAATGGCATATAAAGTTGGTTATCACAAAAAATGGTTGGCAATTGGGATTTTTATAAACTATATAAAAAGAGTTTCGATTTTAGATTTATTTAACTAATTTGTGACTTTGTTTCGTTAACATGAAAAAACACAGCACAATTTTAGGTTTATTTTCTACCTTAAACCTTAAACTAACTTTGAAATTCCATATAAAATGAAAAACTAAATGCTTTTTAATGATAATCCATGGCTTAAGCTAAGACTTGTTAAGCTCCTATGTGTGATTTATGAAATCTTTTTAGCTTTGAGTTCTATGAGTAGGAAATTTTAAGTTATTGTCCTAGTTTTTGGACTTGTATAAAATCGAAATTCAATTTCGATTTCAAAACTTAAAAACATTTGTTATACTCGGGAACACATATATATTTAAAACATAAAACTGATTTAGCTTTGTATTTTCTTCATGCACTTTCTAATAACCCCTTACAATGGTTTGGGAAAACACACACTTTGCCTTGATTGTACCCACAGTTTAGTATGCCCTGGACCCCTATTAAAATAAGTATCTAAAAATCTATCTATCTCTTACTCATGCTCTTACAACCTCTTCTTTTTGGTACCACCCGCAGGGATCCCCCCATTCTGCAGGCGCACAACCGAACGGACATCATACTGCGCTTACCCATGGGCAAAAGGATTAAGGACATTCGATGGCTGTCAGTGTGGTGCAGACGCTTCACGGTGAGTCCTTGCTCCTTCTTCATCTATCCTATCTCTTCTTTTTTTCTTAATATTTTTTTTTTGATTTTCTTTTTGCGGATGGCACGCGCCATTCTCCCAGATTTATGTGTGTGTGTATTTTGCCGAAGCTAGATCCTTTTTTTTGTAATTACATTTTTGTAATTTAACTGCAGCTGCACAAAGATTTTAGCATTATGCTTTGCCCAGCTATCGATTATGTTCTTAATAGCTTTTCAAAAAAAAAAATATAAGAAAGAAAAGGAAGTTATTTGGTTTCTCGTATCGCGTTTGTTTAAGAGTAGATGAAGGATTTACCAAGGCAAATATTCCCTTTGTGAGAGCGGGCGACTATAATATGGGTCAGCTTGGCCTGGAAGTTTGTTTTCATTAGAGTTTTAGATTTTAATTACAGTGCTGAATATGCAAATGCCATAGTCCAGCTGGCAATTATGTTTGCCTTCGTCCGGCGAAAATTACTTTTGTTTAAGTTTCCTCCGGAGGAGGCGGCGTACAACTGCATTTCCAGATAAATTCCCCAAAAATGCGAATCGGTTTTTCTCTTTTTTGGTGAAAGAGGGGAGCTTCGGTGGAGTTTGCTGCACGTTGGAATAAAAGATGGCGGCCGTAGTAAAATAAATTACAGCAGACATTTTTGATTAACTCAAGTGGTTGCATATAAACACACACACACAGCCGCATACAGATAGAATCCCCCATCTCGTACACAGATACTCACACGAATGGGGGTCGTGTGTATCTGTGTGTGGCATACAGGGTGCTCGTTCCACGACTTTGTTTGCCTGTGTTTGTGTGGGTCTACGCTGCCTTCCATTGACTGACAGCCAAAAAACTTCTTTGGGGGCTGACTGCCGCACACCCACACACCTATACAAATGCAGCCAGATTGGGGTTAGTTTGTCCCTGTGTGTGCGTCAGTATGTGTATCTGTGTGCGAGTGTTGTTTGTGGAGTTTTGAGCGCGCATGCCCGATTTTTACGAGAGGTTGGGGTTTTTTGGGGGCTCATTTTAGGGGGTTCGGCAAGGAGGTGTCCACCCAACACAGAGGCATACATAAACACACACATTATGTACAAATGTTTTGGGTATACAACAACAAAGCGCTTGTTTGCTTACTTAGAACCGCGTCAAATGTAGACATTGTGTCGCGTAAAATGCACATGTAGAAATGAGGATGTGCCCTTAAATGATTGCTATTATTAAGGGATTGTTTCACAATTAATAACTGGAGAGGAAGGAATTGATTTTTTAATAGTTGAGGATATGTTAAAGCTGTCTTACAGATTATAAAGCTTTCTAAATTAATAACTAGCATGATGGAAATGTTCAGAAAAAAGTTATTATGAAAAGATCTTAAGAAAAATCCTTCCTTTTACTAAGATATCATAATGATATAATTACTCAATAATTAATCTATTACAGTCACTATATATAATATCCCCGTGTATATAGGGCATTCCTCATTCATTTACTTCCTAATAATGTAAAATGCATTCACCCCAGCTGATATGTGATGTAGAAAGTTCATATATTATGTAGAAATAGGGAAAAAAGAGTACCAGCCACGCCTTAAATATCTGGAAAAAAATCAGCATGATTTGCATGAAACCTTTAATGATATGCCCAAGAAGCATCGTCTAATGACCTTAACCTCCTTTCAGGTCGATTTCGGAGAGGTGTTCATACCACCCAACCTAGATGTGCCCAAGCCGCGTGTGCTGCCCGAGTTCAAGCGTTTGGCCCACGGCCTCCGTTCCAGCAACATTAGTGTGCTGGATGCCAAGACTTTCTACATGTGAGATTATGCATTTTTAATGTATCACCAAAGATTAACATTTGTGTTTTATTTAGACCCAACCTGCACTACGACGGAGCTGGACCGGATGCCTACTTCTGGGTGGGCAATGGCAGCGAACCGAACATCATGGGCATAAAGGTCAGTGACATCGGAAAGGAAAGGTTATTTTAGTTACTCATATACTAATTTATACCTCTAATGCAGGTTCCCAATGAGAGTGGTTCCCTGGAACCTTTGCGTGGCTATCAGGGCGAGGACATTGAGATCCAGTTGCCCGAAGGACTGACTGTCTACGACATCGACTGGCTGGCCGTTTGGTGTGTGGAGTACAGGCATAACTTTGGACATGTGTATATACCCAGGGATCTGGATGTACCGCCAGCTTTGGGCCAGACCAAGATAACGGTAAGTGTGATTGTCTCAAACGGAGTTAGTTAGTTCCGGAACATTGCCCCGTTACATATGCTAGCATTTGGTCATTTGCATAAAACTCATAATGTATATCTCTTTGACTTATGCGCGCCGCATTAGCCTTCATGGTGGTATTCACCCGTGAGTACTAGACTTAGCCTCATGCATGTCCAGCCTTCCAAGCTGACCATCTCCACTTACACTGTCCCGTTGATCCATTTCAGACAACCACGACACCTCGTCCGGTGTACAGCAATTGCCGTGAGCTCCTGCCGAATAAACTTCAGGTAAAGTGGGAGCTTCAGGGCGATTATCTGCAGGTGGAACTCTTTGGACGCATCACCGAGGATCAGTATATGGCATTTGGACTCTCAGGAGCAAATGGTCGCCCTCAGATGGCTCAGTCGGATGTGGTGGTGGCCTTCTATGACACCACTACGCGTGTGTTCCGCGCCGAAGATTACTTTATCTCAGATTTGTCCCAGTGCGATGGCCAGCGAGGTGCTTGTCCTGACGAAAGGATCGGAGGTCGCAACGACGTGATCGTGTGTAAGTTTAAGCCTTATTATTAAGTAAAATAAAAATATCTAGATCCTTCTAATAATCATCTTACCTGTAGTGAGCGGGGATAGAAAGAATGGGGTCACCAGCATTCGCTATAAGCGTCTCCTCCAGCCCAATGAAGCCATCTATGATGCCCCGATTCCCACTGATCGCGAGGTCTCGGTCATTGCCGCCATTGGTCCTCTTAATGCCCGGAAGGAGGCCAACGCCCACTTGCACACCGCCAGTGATCACAACCAGGACGACATTCGCATCAACTTCGCAGCAAGGGTAAATCAAATCAATAGGTGATAAAGATATCTAATAACCATGTTGACCTTACAGAACGATCATGCCTGCAAGAGTTCACTGTACGATGTTAAGGACGAGAGTGGACCCAGGCCATGGCCCACGCGCAAAATCGAAGGTGTCAGGAAGTTCCGTGCCAGCATTGGACCCACGGGCGGCAAACGTGGTTATACCTCCATTACGGGGGTGCCCTCGTGGGGCATTGCCTGGTATGTGAACGATCTGCTGATCCCTGAGATCACTGTGGAGCGTGGCCTGACTTATGAGTTCATTATTGAGGGCGGCAATGATCCCTCGCAACCAGCTAGGTAAATAATAGTTAATCTACCAAACAAGAGAAGTACACTGACCATCCTATAACCTCTTATTCAATCTAGATATCATCCTTTCTACATCACGGACTCGCCTGAAGGGGGACTGGGTCAGAAGATGGGTCTGGAAGCACGTAAGCAGAAAGCCTATGCTGGAGTGGAATACGATGAGGATGGCAATGCAATTCCAACAGGAGGTGAGCTAATATTCCAGCTATATTTTCCCGATATTCGATTATTATATATTTGGTTAGGTGGTCGTTATTGCGAATGGGAGCACCAGACCGTTGATCGATCGGCGGAGATCGAAACTTTCGAGGAGTACATGAAAACTTTGGTCTTTAAGTGTGAAGAAGGTGAACCTGGCTATCTCAACTGGACAGTGCCCATGAATGCTCCCGATCAGCTTTACTACCAGGTGGGATAGATAACAGACACGAAATATTTATGTACTAATCTCAACTCCTTTTACAGTGCTTTACACATAATAATCTTGGCTGGAAAATAAACGTCGTGGACATGGGAGCCGCCGGTGGTTCAATAGCCAGCAGTAACAAACTTATTTTATACGGAATTTCGACAGTTGTTAGCCTGGTCGCGACACGCCTACTTTTCAGTGGGCATGTACTTGCCTGATAGTGCCAGTAAATGGGGTTTGAATTCTAGATGTCTAGGCAAAATGTTCGGCAGACCAGGTTCTGAGATTTAAACACATATCCATATACTAACATATCCATTAACCATTACCATATTCTGCCCAAAACTTATAGCCCTTCCATCTTCCGACCTTTCGATACGAATTTATAATTTCACACACACTCTTGGACCTTGCCTGTCGAAGATTTTGGGCCACTTGGCGACTTTCACAACCAGGCTAATATCATCTGAAAAACATATCTTGACAATAATTCGTAAGATGTAAAACTGTTGAAATTTGTGTGTGCATGCGTGAGTCGAGTGTTCACTGTACTAGACTACAGTGGACACACAGAATGGGTGTTGAGGTCATAATAGCCGAAACTGGATCGGTTTTTGGCAGTAGATTTTTGTGGCTAGGCAGCGAGAACTTTTTGTACATTTACGAGTATGGAATTCTACTTTTTTACATGTATACTTATTAAATTTACTTATACATCTACATCTCTAGTACAGTAAAATTGTAATTTTTCTAGCAACTACTACAAAACCTACACACAGGCATGTAGATACAGAATCATGTTTAATATGCGGTTCTATGGAAATGTAAACCGACAATAATTACGCGACACAGCGACAATAAATACATAATAATATTAAGTGTGTGGAAAAAGCACACATAAAATATTAAAAAATGAAAAAAGAAAAACAAAGACAATGTACAATAAGAAAATGTATGGATTTAGGAAGGGCAAAATACCGATGCAATTTGTATGACAATAAAATCTACAGATTTGTGAATTTTGAGAAAGTTTCGCAGACAATACAATACTTTTACACAATTTGAATGTACTAAGGAACTAATGACAAATAAGAGAACTATGTTATTTAATGCTACTGACTACTGTGGTGCTTCTTGTAACGATATTAGATGAAATGTAAATCAAACGCCGCACACGTTTAGAATGGAATGCAAGGATTCCCCCCTCTGGACGGGATCAAGTTTTTGTTATCAGATGGTTTTCTTGTAACTTTTTTAACTATATTTGCATAAGCGATATGTTTATAAAGCTAAGTAAAAGAGAGAAACACAAAACTAGGATGTACGACAATAAGAGGAGGACAAATAAATATGCTAGATGAGGAATATTTGGAGAGATATTGAATATGTAATATTATAAACTGATAAATATGCATGTATGGTAAATCTTTTTGATAGTTGTTCGCATTCATTTCGGATAATGGCCTGTTGTAAGCTAAAAATAATTCAAAATAACGAAAAAGAATAATTTAAATAAAAGAACTAACTTTTCCTAAGAGTATAAATGTATAAAAAAAACAACTATTGGACACTAAAGTTTGTTAAGTTTCTGTTGTTTTTGAATCCTTTGTTTCCTTTCCCCTCAATAATTTTACATATCTTAAGGGCCACTATGCTGTAGTAATGTACATTTTCGGGAAAAAGATTAAGATACAGAAATGTGTAGAGATCCATAAGCTACAACTATGGAGAGTTTTGATATTGACAAATTTGACATGGTCTAGTGCAGGTTTATAAGTCAAATTGATTTTTGTATAGATAATGCAGCTAAGCGCACAAAAGTCCAGAGAAAAACGAAAAAAAAAAAAAAATCGAAAGAAATGATAATGGTAACCGAATCAAACGATTTATAAATAAATTCACACCTTTATATTCAATTGATATACATATACATAAATACATATTTACATTTAACAAATGGCAAGAATATGACTTTCAAAGAATATCCCAGAATATAAAAATTTCCATGTCGATTATAACTTAACATCTCGTACTTAGATAGCAACATTTTTCTGCATTACCTAAACGAAATACTTTCATTAAAAATAATAACAAAAGAAAAAAAAAACAAGAAAAAACTAAATCAAAAGCAACTTGCATTCAAAAATCTCCAATTTAATAAATAGATATGCATGCGACGCGGGCTAAAACAAAGGGTGAGGCGAAAACTAATCCATTTTTAAATGTTAATATAGATCCCATCAGAGATCCAGCAAAAATAAACCCGATTGACAATATAGCTTGCCATGAGAAATTGGCCAGTTCAGATAAATGGTAGAGAATTGAAAGATTGATGTCAATATTAAGATGCTTCTTAAGAAGAAAAAACAAAGGGTGTAAAAACAAGATCCAAAACAAATATTCTACAAATAAATTTCCGAAAACAAATGATTTGGTTTTATTTTAATCAAGGGGGAGTGGAATACGTTTTTCACAGCGCTCGTTGGTCGTTGACTACACACACTCACATACAACATATAGCTCAGATTTTTTATATAAATCTAATTTACTTTTAGCTACTTTCACATTTATTATTTATGTCGGGACGGCGCGAACGCCATTCCCGGCTACCAAAAATTACACGCACGAGTTATTCACATTAGGAATAATCGCAGAGGTCAACTCAGCCGAGGTGCAATGGCCAAGCCTCACTCCGGAGGAACCGCCTTCGTGATCACGGTTAACCTCTACGCCAGGTAAGTATGCTTTGCTCTGCTCGGCAGCAGGGTTTCCATGCCAGAACGGCTAGAAACAGTTGGGAATTACAGTGAGCGTGCGACGAACAAAAGCAACCCTGTAAGTATGCCACACAAAATGTACTAGCATGCGCACTACACAGTATAAGGCCCACCATTTCAGTTGCCAGCTGAGACCGTTTGGATGGTAAACAAATGTTTTGCCTTTGTTATTAGCCATAAATAAAAGTATGTTTGTTTTTTGGTTTAAATGTTTTGTATTTTTATCCCAAGATTTTGAAAGCCAAGTATTGACTGTTTTCGATTAAGAGTAGAGAGAGATAAGGTTCTGATGTGAAGGAAAGTTCCGATAAGCAAATTCCAAATATAAATTCAGTTGGTTAGAACTCTGTTACTTAGCCCCTCTTTCAAACTTTTCATTAAGCCGGACAGTCGAGTAACAATCTTAGAACATTACAACCTTCCAAATCTAGGGATATGGACCAGCCAAAACTCCAACTACCAGGAAAGGCTGATGAACAATCTGCTTCACATCTAAATGAAATGAATAATCACAAAAGTAATCCCCATTTTGATAAAAAAAAAAAAAACGATTGAAAGTGATTACTTGCATACCACAATCCGCAATTAAAAATTAAAGACACGAATAATCATTTATGTGTATTGCTAGAAAGTTTTTATTTTACATTTTGTATTTATTATGAACTATTTTGTTGTTTTGTTTTTGTTTTGCAATGTTGTGATTTGTTAACACACCGCGGCGCAACATTAAATGAACACACAAACGTGTTTAATGCATACAAAATAATAATACAAATAATCGTAATGTATAATAATAATAAGGTGTAAGATTAACTAACTTAGTAATGCATAATGCGATTTGGGCAGAAAATGAATATCAACATACATAGATCGCTGCAAATATATTTAAACCTATATATAGATCTAGACATATGTTGCTATCATACTTAATGCGTTCAATTTCGTGAATTCGCTTTATTTATATGTATTTTGTTGACAGAGTTTTGAAACTGTACAATGTTGTTCATACGGTTTTTGTTTTTCATTTTTCATTTTTGTTTATCGTTATTCATTATTATTTGTTATTTAGAATAATGCTTTACCATGTTCTTTTCATTTGCTGAAGTTAAACTGTTGGTTTATAATTGTGTTAGGGTTTCTCCTTCGATCCATCATCCATCGTCCTAAATGTAAGCTCTAGATTTGGTGAGAAATACGTAAATGTTTGTTGTTGCTGCCCATGGGTTGGTTGCCCCTCGCCATGTGGCAATGCTGTTGGGTAGTTGCCTTTGATTGCGAATAATTAGGTTCAACGATTACATTTCAATGTGGCTTTTGTTTTTACACAATTATACACAATTTATGCGGCTTGCTATATAAATATATCTGCGATTTACATTCGGTCTCAACTTTTACAATTATGCAAGTTCGTATGGTTAATCTGCTGCTGATCATTGCGATTTGCTTTCATTATTAATTCAAATCATTTTTACATTATACAGTTGGGAAAATCAAAAATCAAAACATGAAACATTAACATGCAACTTTGATCGGGTGAATGGGGTGTATAATGGGAGAGCGGCTTCGTTAATTTCATAATTAATCGCATTGATTTGCTAAACATAATGCAGCAATTATATATAGTAGCAATCGAATAATGCAAAACCTACCAGTCGGAGACACAACAAATACAAAAACTTTACTTTGATTAAGTTTGTTCTCCTTTTGTGTTTGTTTTTGTTTCATTTAATTCAGTATTGAGAAAGTGTTTCCGCTTTCTGGTTGCATTTAAATGTTAATTAAAGATAATAAATAAAGCCTAGTTTTAATGCCTGCTTCAAACTTGGACATCTTTCAATTACTACAGTATCTATATAGACGTAAATACAATTGTTTATCCATTATATTTATATATATATATATTTAATCTAGATTATCCTGGAATATTAACTTTATGTAGCCAGTCGCTCCGTCCAACGGCGTCGCACAGAATGGACAGACGGCCTGAAATCCGTTGGTACCATGCGGTATCTCCACATTGGCCCAGTATCTGAAAGATTCCAGATTAAAGATTAGATACATTTCTTAGCCATTGTCTAGCTTCAGTTACTCACTTGACAGTTTTCTCAGTCGCCATGTGTCCGCATGGATTGAACGCGTACGTCGGAGCACCAACGTCCACGTAGAAGGCCGGTTCCAAGCCCATGCAGAGGGTGACCACCGGTCCGAGTTCCAGGCACATGGGACAGCGGCGGGCGCCAGTGTTCTCATCCTGACCCCAATCATGATGGCCTGTTAAGGAAATAGACCAACATTATAGCTTTTTCTATCAGCTTAAGAAAATTCCATTCATGCTTACCCTGGACATGGCCACAGTTTAAGTACACGTAAGGCTGGTTCACCTGATCCCCAATGTTAACTTTGCGTGGTATAACCAGCGTGTTCAGGCCCACCGGGCACTGTGGACGACCGGCATTAATGGCATCGATAAGTTTCTCCAAATCGTGTTTGGTCTGCAATTAATGAAAGGTTAATGTCTACTCGCATGGAGGTAGAAATAGATACTCACCGGCGAATGTTGCAAGCCCTCGGCGGAACGCCAGAGCAAGGTTGCGCCGCAGAGATCAATAAGTGTGCCATCCTGTAGGATGTTGCATTCATCATAGATCTGTGAAAGGTAGGAATTTTCATCATCTGCTACGGAATCAATAATCTTAGGACTTACCGGTTGACCCTTTTGCTGGGCCGAACGCGATTCGCGCAGGCTGAAGACATCACCGCCCACGGAACACTCGCGCCAGAGGCCGCACTTGGCATTGCCGCCACAGAATGATCCTTTGGGATGCATAATCAGCACGCCATTGGTGGTCAGGCCATCGATTTCGACATTGTCCTGCCACTTGGTGGCCTTCTCCTGTGCACACAAAGTCAAGTTCATAACTCATTAGAATCAGCAGGAGATTAGCAAATGGACTTTGGCTACTTACCCCAAGGAATATGTTTCTGCTTGAATCGAAGCCGGCGGCGAATATTCTCGCCTTGGCAGGCTCACAGCGGTTGACCAGAATGCGGCAGGCGAACCGAGAAATTGTGCTCTGCATCACCTTGGCATCCTTCTTGTCGCCGGGCAGCGTGTCCATCACCACAAAGTCAATGGGGGACTCCGAGGAGCGTCCCACCTGGCGAAACGCAGAGCAATCATGATTAGTCAGAGGAGAGGAGAGCAGAGGTAATTTATCACAGAGCAAATAAATGACGAATCATGCAATATTGACATTACTCTTGTGGCCAATGAGGAAGAGATATTTGGTTGCCACGCTGCCGATATAAATATTGAATGTCGCTGTCTGTCTGGTCGGCTAAAGTCAAAAGTCAACAGCGAAGACTTCTGACCTTCTGGGCCAGTGCACTATTTCTGGCCCTTGGCCAGCACTAATTAGTCAAATAACATTCATCAAAGTCAGGCCGTGAAACCGAAGCTCTTGGGGATTGTCTAGCAAGGGTGCCTCACCTGAAACATATCCGTTTCCGCGTCCTCCTTGTACTCCACAATGACCGCCTGGTTGCGTGAGAGCGTGTACGAGATTGAATGCTGATTGGCATCCAGAATGGCCTTCGAGGTCTGTGGCGATTGGACGATATAATGCTTGGACCGCTTGACGCCGCTTGCCTCCGTTCGCTTGTGGAGCACAAACTTGGAGCGTCGCCGACCGCGATCACCCTGTGGCAAGTAACCATTGTAGCTGCAATGAGACGATGAGACACAGTTAGCGATTTGGTGTGAAATACACTTTTTTTTCTGTGACAGATGTGGGGCAAGTTGATAAGAGACTCAGGCATGCGGGA